GTTTACATGTATTAGTTTGTGATTAGGTCAGTTCAAGGGGGACCATTAGTGGTAGGCCAATGTTAATTGGTATTCAGTTGTATAAGCATTAGCACATCTCATTCCGATGTAGAATATTTAGCCCCGCCTCCTCAGTCATGGTCTATTGACTTTGAAACTTTTGCTTAGTTTACATGTATTAGTTTGTGATTAGATCAGTTTAAGATGAACTGCTAATGTTAAGTCAATGATATTTGGTATGCAAATTTATTGGCATTTGGAAGTATCATTTCTATGGAGGTTATATAGCCCCACCCCCTCATCATGGTTCATTGACTTTGAAACTTTTACATAGTTTACAAGTTAATGTTTGTGTTTAGGTTTGTTTAAAGGGAACGACTTATAATAAGTCAATGGTATTTGGTATGCAGTTGCATTAGCATTGGCACATCTCATTTCCATCAAGATTGTTTAGCCATGTACCTTCAGTCATGGTTCATTGACTTACATGTTAAAGTATTGCTATTTTAATTTCAACATTTGCACAATCAAAATTACAAAAAGCATTTATACTTTCCCTGACCAGTTGATACCAGTAATTTGTTTAATATCAATGTGTGGTTTGTTTGATTTCAGTTGTTCATTGGTCAAAATTCAACTTTGACGTTAAATTTTCATTCTTTCATTCTTTCATTTGAATTTGCTATTATGACATCACAGAAAAGGAGACCCTTTCTGATGATGTCACATAGAAAGAAGACTTTTTGCAGATTATTAAAAAAGAAAGATAAATTTTGCCTACATATTGTCTAAAAATCATTAGAGAAACAGATTCCATCACTGAATCTCAACCAATATGATATATATATTCACTCTCAACAGTTCAATTTTAAATATTTAAAATGCTCCGCAAGCAGTGCGTTTTTTAATTATACCACAAGCAAATTTTTTGTGAAGGGTATAATGTTTTTGACACGTCCGTCTGTCTGTCTGTCCGTCTGTCCGTCCGTCAGTCCATCAGTCCTGTTTCTTGTCAACACATACCCCAAGCAAATTTTTTGCTAACTGTATAATGTTTTTGACCCGTCCATCCGCCTGTCTGTTCGTCCGTCAGTCCGTCAGTCCTGTTTCTTGTCAAGGCAACTCCTCTCAAACCACACAACAGAATTTCATGAAACCTTTTCAGATAAGGACATACTATGTAGATGTGCATATCGACAGGAATTTACGAATCAATTTTTTTCCCAGGAGTTACGACCCTTTGAACTTATTTGCCCAATATACTACTGCAACCTTTTGTCATCGCAACTCCTCTGAAACCACACCACAGAATTTCATGATACTTTGTAGATAATAAGGACATACTATGTAGATGTGCATATCGACAGGAAATTACGATTCAATTTTTTTTTCTAGGAGTTACGCCCCTTTGAGCTTATTTGCTTCAATGTACTACTGCAACAGTTTGTCATCGCAACTCCTCTGAAACCACACCACAGAATTTCATGATACTTTGTAGATAATAAGGACATACTATGTAGATATGCATATCGACAGGAAATTAGGATTCAATTTTTTTTCTAGGAGTTACGCCCCTTTGAAATTATTTGCCCAATATACTACTGCAACCTTTTGTCATCGCAACTCCTCTGAAACCACACCACAGAATTTCATGATACTTTGTAGATAATAAGGACATACTATGTAGATGTGCATATCGACAGGAAATTACGATTCAATTTTTTTTCTAGGAGTTGCGCCCCTTTGAACTTATTTGCTTTAATGTACTACTGCAACAGTTTGTCATCGCAACTCCTCTGAATCCACACAACAGAATTTCATGAAACCTTTTTAGATGATAAGGACATACTATGTAGATGTGCATATTGACAGGAAATTATGATTCAATTTTTTTTCTTACACTTATTTTATTTCTCCAATGACAATGTGGGGATGTGGGGTATGTTAGCGCGCTCACTAAGGTTCTTTAATTCAAAATTAAATATATCAAGTGGAGAAATATTGTATCGCACTCAATGCAGTGCAAGAATTTTTATATAGATATTGTGCATCTGAAGCACTTTTCTTGATTTACTGTCATCCTAAACATTCAAAAGCCAGGGAGGTTATAAATACGAGGAAACAGGAACTATTTGATCAAAGCGGGCTTAAAAGAAAACCAAATTTATCTTTGCCAGAGGGAAGATGCCATAAAGATTGTCATGACTCAAATCTCTTGTTTGTCTATCTTGTATTGCTGATCATGTTCCTCTCTGTCTTCTTCAGTTTTTGCCATAAACACACAAAAAGAAATGCTGACCTAAATGTAAAAAAAAAAATCATCATTAAAGGGCAACAACTCCTGTAAGGAGTTGACTAACAATTTCAACCATGTTGACTCATTTGTAGATCTTGTCATGCTGATCATTTTTGTTCTTCTAGTTTTAAGATAAAAGGCAAAAAACACAAACAAATTTTGAAAAAAATGTCATTTAAGGGCAATAACTCCTTTAAGGAGTCAACTGATGATTTCTGCCATGTGACTTACATGAAGATCTTGTTTGCTGATCTTTTTTGCTATTCAAAAATTTTATCTATTATATATAAGTTTTCAAGATATTAGGCTAGAAATCCTCATTTAAGGACAAAATCTCCAAAAAGTAGTTAGTCGACTGACAATTTTCACCAGTTGGATTATTTGTAGATCTTGTCTTGCTGATAATTTTTGCCATAAAAAGTTTTTCTCTATCTGTTACAGTTTATAAAATAAAAGGCAAAATTGAAAAAAAAAAAAAAAAAGAAAAATTCATAATTTAAGGGCAATAACTCCTATCTATAAGAAGTTGTCTGACAGTTTTGATGCAAATGGACAGTAGGTAGATCTCAACATTCTGAACATCTCTGCCCCAGGTCAGATTTTCTCTATCAGGTGAGCTTAAAATAAAGCAATCAGAATGAAAAGTTTCTTTTGGAAATGTTTTATGATAGGAAGAAAATGAACATTTCAAGACACTTCCATACATAATTAGGGCCCTGAATCCTTGTTGCGGAATCCCTATAGTTTTCACTTTTTCTGTTTGTTAGTACGTTTGTGAACAATTTTTGTAAAAAAAAAAAATAGGTAGGAGGCCGATGAAATTTTGCACAATTGTGCATAATATGTAGCATATTATATTTTTGGTGAAATTCGACTCATTAATTTGGGATAAAAACTTAATTTTTGTTTAAAAATCACAAATTTTATCATAAATTTTGTTATAAAGCTTCTTTCTGTGCTAGGATTACAATAAAAAATTTTATATAGGTATAATAATATACTATTCAAAATTTATGAATTTGCAGTAAAAACTATTTTGGGTCAAAATAAAATGGAATTCTTACGTGTCAGGCATCTTTTTCAAATGGTGCCAAAGTATATAAATTGAACGTTCTTGGATTTTGATGTTGATTAGATCTCAAAGGGAATATGTATTTTCCAAGAAATAATGATAACCCACAAACATGCATTGCTTTTTTTTTGCATCAGTATAAATTATTTGTTTCACACAAATATAACGACAGGGATCTTTCCGACATGTCATTTTTCTAGTTCCTGCTGATATTTGTTCACCATGGATTTGAAGGTTCAGAAGAGAATGCGAGTTCAAAAACAATTCCATGAGAATATACAAGGCATTAGTTCCACAATTAACATTTACCAATCTACTATAGTATGAGGCCTTACATCCGACCATGACATACATGTATCTAATACTAACCCTTCAGTTTACTACAAGTTGGGGTTTTTGTTGCTCAGTCTTTAGTTTTCTATGAAAGTGTTCAATGAACTTTATTCCATTTTTTTTCTTGCACTGTAAGTGTTTTTTAACTGATGGTTTTTTAATTGCCAACTGGGTATCTTCTTATTTTTTGTACACATGTATGCTCCCCAACCACACCAATATATCTGACCATAGATATAATAGCCATAGATAAAGTACTGGACCCACATCAAAAGCAGATGATATTTGCCGAAATTTTATCACCCTCTTATTATATACATGTCACGCTTGGTGTTAATTAGCCTTCATTGGCAATTGCCGTCGATCGATATCTAATAAATTGTGAATCAGGAGACTTTTAAACACACGAATGTGCTACGTAATGACTTTTAACCATAATAAAAAAACGACTTTTTTTTTAACTCTGCCAGGTCCAAAGCTCGGATAAAATAGGAGGGAAGTCATGAGAAGTAAATATTGTAAAAGCTCAAATGTCCTATAAAAAAAGCGCAAATGTACTATATAAAAAGCGCAAATGTCCATTTAAAAAAGCACAAACGTCCTATGTAAAAGCGCAAACGTCCTGCGCCGGAAGGGATATATATCTGTATTTATAGTACGAATCACACCTCTAACACAATTGTAAGAAGGAAGAGGAAAAAACCATGAATGACACAGGACAAAAAATTCTATATTTTCATTTTATCATAGCCAGTATAACGCTTAATCTATATATTGTTTACTTCAAAAAATTTAATGAAATCGACAATCAGATTATACCACCATCTATTTAATAGCAAAACAAGCACAAAAATGGTAAGCGGGAAGGTATATAGAAGAAACAAATTCAGAGACATGATTGTGCTATTTCCCAATTATTTAATGTAATTTTAATTTAATAAGACGAGTGCCCGATAATTTGAAGATAATTATGATAAGTAATTAGTCTATTGGGAGGATGTCGGCAAATATCATCTACATCATAGGCCACTACGCGCAGTGCCCTGCTTTTGATATTTCAAAGGAAACTACATGGGGCTCAGTGTGACAAATTCTGAGTACTTTATCTATGGCTATTATATCTATGATCTGACAATGGTTTCAAGCCAACAGTGAAATTATAGTGAATATCCCTTAAACTGGTTCTAAGCTAACAGTTAAGATGGTAAGAATCAAATAAATGAAGCTATTTGTGTGCTGTGCTGCTGGTTAATTTGTTTTTATAAGGGTTACCCACTTAGTATACACAATAAAACCATAGACATGTAAAATATTTTATTTTTAATCGAGACATTAACATAGTTACTAACAACAATCAGAAGTTAATTAGCAATAAGTCTTGTAGCACATTAAGTTGCACCATAGTACCATTCAAGGTAAATAAAAGTTGTCAATAAATTTTCAAATTTGATAATGTAATTAATATATACTTTAGAGTTGTTTCATTCTGAAACTATAAATGGTTGGTCTAACATTATAGATATTAACATCTATAGAGTAGAGAATTACTAGAGATGGCAAGGAATACTTAAGTATTGTCCAGTAGTTTGTGTTGTATATAAAAAATACTACTAGGAAATGTTATGAAAACTGTTTTAAAACTGAAAAGAAGTCATATTCTTCATGAAATAGAATTGTATGTATGATTTATTGTGCATGACACAAGTTTCTGGAGTATTCTTCATAAGATATGTTAAAATAACCTTCTAAAAGCCTTAATAAAACAAAAGCATCAAAACCAAATATAAGTCCTATTCCCTTCCAATCCATAATTCCTTTAGTGAAATTAACAATCAAAATGTATCATTAAATCAAAGTATATTTAACTGTAGGCAGTGAAAAAGATTTTAAGATGATAGTCAAAACTAGATATCATTGAGATGGGAGCCATCTCTGTGGGCCCCGCTGTGAATAATGTGTGGTAAAAAATTTGTATCTTTATCATTGGACATGGGTTTGTCAACTGAAACCAAGGTTTATGACCTTGACCTTTGACCTAGGAAGTTGTACATAAATTATGACACACCCTCTGGTGTTGGTTTATATACATGTCAAGTATAAACATTGAAATCATAACGGTTCTCAAGATATAGAGTGGACACGATCTTTACCATAGGACATGGGGTTGTCAACTAAAACCAAAGTTTTTGACCTTGACTTTTGACCTAGGAAGTTGTACATACATTATGACACACCCTCTGGTGTTGGTTAATATACATGTCAAGTATAAACTTTGAAATCATAACGGTTCTCTAGATATAGAGCGGACACAATTTGTTAAGGACAGACGGACGGACGGACAGACTGACTGACGGACAGACAGACAGACGGACGGACGGACAGACTGATCACTATAGGGCGTCCGCCATTCGGCAGGGCCCTAATAATTAGAGTAGTTTGAATAAACAAGAGTTCACACGCTGAAATGTCTCGCCTGCTTTACTGACCATTGATTTTATGTTGAAAGTCTTAAAGATAAAGGTTTTACTAAAAGCATTACAGAAACTTAACATTTATAAAAATCTATGACAATGAGGTCAAGGTCAGATAAATTGTGTCAGACAGACATATACACCTTACAATTTTTTCATACACCAAATATAATTGACCTATTGCGTATGCTAACTGAAAAACATAACAAAACACAAAAACTTAACATTGACCAATGAACAATAAATATGAGGTCAAGGTCAGATGATACCTGCCAGACAGACATGTACACCTTACAATCATTCCATACACCAAATTTAGCTGACCTATTGCTATTAGTATTTGAAAAATAGACCAAAACACAAAACTTAACATTGACCATTGAACCATAAATATGAGGTCAAGGTCAGATGATACCTGCCAGATATATAAATATGTGACAGACAGACATGTACACCTTACAATCTTTCTATTCACCAAATATAATTGACCTATTGCTTATAGTACTTGAAAAACAGACAAAAACATAAAACTTAACATTGAGCCATGAACCATGAAAATGAGGTCAAGGTCAGATGATACCTGCCAGACAGACATGTACACCTTACAATCCTTTCATACACCAAATATATTTGACCTATTGCTTATAGTACTTGAAAAACACACCAAACAAGTGAAACTGCGAGCTACTGCTCACTGATGATACCCCTGCCCAAATGTAAGTATTCGGTAAACAGGAAGTTGTTGAGTGATGAATCTGAAAACGCATCACGCAGTATAGCTGACTCATATAAACCCTGAAACCAAATTTCAGAAATCCTTGTTATGTAGTTCCTAATAAAGATGCAATGAAAAAATATTCATGGGACTGACGGACGGACAGACAGAGGTAAAACAGTATACCCCCCCTTTTTTAAAGCGGGGGTATAACCACAAAAACTTAACATTGACCAATGAACCATGAAAATTAGTCCAAGGTCAGATGAAACCTGCCAGACAGACATGTACACCTTACAATCCTTCGATACACCAAATATATTTGACCTATTGCTTATAGTACTTTAAAAACAGACCAAACCACAAAAACTAAACATTGACCAATGAACCATGAAAATGAGGTCAAGGTCAGATGAAACCTGCCAGACTGACATGTACCCATTACAGTCATTCTGTACACCACATATAGTTGACCTGCTGCTTAGAGTATTTGAGAAACGGACCTAATCAAGTAACTTTAACCTTGATCACTGATCCCTGAAATGAAGTCGAGGCCAGGTGAACCCTGTCTGACGGACATGTAGACGTTGCAAGGAACCCATATACCAAATATGGTTATCCTATTACTCATAATAAGTGAGAAATTTACATGACAAAAAAACTCAAATTTTTTTCAAGCAGTCTTGAACCATGAAAATGAGGTCAAGGACATTGGACATATGACAGACGAAAACTTCATAACATAAGGTATCTGCATACAAGATATGAAGCATCCAGGTCTTCTACCTTCTGAAATATAAAGCTTTATACAAATAGTTAAGCCGCCGCCACCACCGCTGGATGGTAAAACCTATGTCTCGCATACTGCGACTTTCATCGCAGGCGAGACAAAAATTACTAACTGATTTGTTAACCCAGAAATGAGACATTAAAAACATACTTCATTAACCTTTCAGATTATTAGTTAAATTTTGTTTGACCTACGATATCAATTTGACATATTACAAACTTGCACGATGAGCAAACTTTAGATTTAAAATTACACTTGATAAAACCAGATGGGTTAAGGGTATCATACTATTATTATATAACAGGAACCATATCTATAATATCCTAAACGTCTTCAGTGAAATACATGCAAATCAGTTATCAATAAAATCCTAAATATAAATACATATCTGCCATCACTAAAAATAAACAATATAAGTTGTTGTAAAGTAGGTAAATAAAAGTTTGCATTAAAAACAAATTTTATTCTACAGTGTTACTATTGAGTACTCAATAATTTACAAAGATAATTACAGATATTACATGTGTACTTTTTTTATGAACTTAAGGGGTGATACCACAATTGTTTTCCCCTATTAGTCTTTGTTAAATTGGCATTATACCACAATAGTTTTTCCCCTATTAGTCTTTGTTAAATTGGCATTTTTCAAAAAAAAATGTGCAGAATTTATCTTTGTTTTATATAAAGAAATATTTGGCATGAGTAAAGTTTTATACTGTCCAGTATTACAGTAAACATTTCACATCACATTTCATACCATATAAGAAATTAACCATCACAGGAAGTAAACTATTGAACTTTTCAACCTTTTTTCCTCTGTTAACAAACTTAATAACCAGATCACCTTGAGTTTCTAAAATATTTTATGGAACACTTAATAAAATAAAATGCTTCGCTGAGCGCAGCCTGATACGACCGCAGAAGTCGAACCCTGAACAGTTGGGGCAAAATATTCAAGCTTGATACTGTCTGAATTTGGATTGTGATTAAATTTTTGACATAATATAGGTTTCTGACAAAAAATAAATGTGGTCGAAGATCTTATAAATCAATTGCACAATACTGTGCAATTGAAGATTTCTTCTTGAAACTTTTCAAAAATTCGAAATTTTAAAAATTTTGAAAAAAAAATATGAATCCCTTAAAAAAATTGGGAAAAAAATTCCCCCCCCCCCACTTTTTGAACCCCCCCTTGGAGCAATAACCCCAAAACTCAATCCCAGCCTTTCCTTTGTAGTATGGAACCTTGTAGTACAATTTCAGAGAGATCCATACACTTACACACAAGTTATTGTCTGGAAACTAGCAAAATGCTTGTTTTTGGCCCTTTTTTGGCCCCTAATTCCTACATGTTTGGGACAATTAACTCCAAACTCAATCCCAGCCTTCCCTTTGTTATATGGAACCTTGTGGTACAATGTCAGAGAGATCCATACACTTACACACAAGTTATTGTCTGGGAACTAGAAAAATGCTTGTTTTTGGCCCCTTTTTGGCCCTTAATTCCTAAACTGTTGGCCCCCATAACCCCTGAAATGAATCCCAACCTTCTACTTGTGGTATTAAACATTGTGGTACAATTTCAGAGCAATCCAAATACTTATATACAAGTTATTATCCTGAAACTAGAAAAATGCTTGTTTTGGGCCCCTTTTTGGGCCCCTTATTCCTAAACGGTTGGGACCATCATCCCCAAAATCAATCCCAACATTCCTTTTGTGGTATTGAACCTTCTTAAAAAATTTCATAGAGATCCATTCACTTAAACTAAAGTTATTGACCGGAAACCAATGTGTCTTCGGACGACGACGCAGACGACGACGCAAACGACGACATCATACCATTATACGATCCCAAAAAATTTTTTGCGGTCCTATAAAAAAATGGTGCTTTGAAACACCCAAGATAAATGTTTATGAATCAGAAAAAAAATCCTGTAATGAAATGCAGGGTTAATTTCCTACAACTGTCAAATTCATGGTAATGTTTTTGTTCGTCCCTTTTTAACATGAAACCAGGGTGACTACCACATACTGGTAGTCTTACACCTTAACCATCCCTAGATTTATTTGTTAGCCTTTAATATCTATTTTATAAAATAAACACTGCACTGTATATCAATTATATTTCAATTCTTGTTATAAATTCAACTGCAGTTATACATAATAGCAACATAGGAAGACAAATATACATCATTGGAGATATCACAGTTAGCACTTATTTTAAATGTTAAAATCCTGAGGAAGTTTAAGGGGTAGCTGTCTGTTGTTAAACATAAATATAAACAATAGGCTAATATATACAATTATTCTACAATTAATTCAAATCAGTGGAATAAATTAGTTTACTGCCAAACGTTGGGATTAATGTCTAATGCATACAAATTTTGGAACAAAATTAAAATAACTGGATTTAACTGAAAAAATGGTACAAGAGTATTTGTAAATGATACAATTATATTTACTTGTATGGGACTTAGAAACAAATCAAAATATGAGGCTTTCTAACTGTATTTTTCCTGTTTCATGAAAAGTGTACAGTAAATAAAATTCATATTTGTGATAGTTTCATATACTGCAACACTTAAAATTTATTTTGATTGAAAAATGTGAAATTTTGGACATTGTAAACATTCCTGAAAGCTCTGCAAAAAATAAAATTTGACAGAAATAAATTGTTCACACCAAAGGAAAGGGGCTTTCTATGATCACCTTCTGTATATCAAACATTTATACAGACTATAAAATTTTAAATTGCATTTATGAGATATAAAATGTATATCATTTTAACAAACATTCTTGTCCATAGAATTCATTACAACAAAAATAAATATGAACATAAGATAAAAGTATATTAAAAACTTAAGCATTTTCAAGAATTTACAGAAAAAATAAATACAAATCTTTTAAATAGAGAAAGGATTGTTGCCTGTTATAGTGGTTGAAAGTGAGGATGTAAATTAAAATTCTAACCTGAATGTATGGAAACTAATGCCACATAAATATAGAATAATGGCATTTTTATTTTTGATACTGACTTTATCAGCAAGAATATTAAGCTAGCCTGCTAGGACAAGCTGATATTCAGGCCGATGAAGTGAGTATCAAAAAAATCAAGTGCCATTATTCTTTTCATCGGCAATTTGTCTTAACTGTATGATTTTTTGGTTTAAATATGAAGTAAATGAAATAGTTAGTAAAACTACTTTTACGTGTACAAAATGTTGGAATAGTTGTTTGGTTGTATGAATGAAGTCGTGTGCATTTCATTGATAAATTGACGCAGATGGACTTGAGCATGTGACGTTGCTGCACTGATACATGACGTCATTGCCTGATATTTTAAAGTATCAAGTCCTGTCAATGATCCTAAAAATATTAGGCAGTAAGATCAAAGGAACAATGTACAAATTGCCGATAATATGAGATATCAATTGTCTTTCATACGTACTTCTCATACAACATATACAAGTATTGAAAAAAAATTATTTCATTAATGCCCAACTGATTGAAAGAGGTGATTTTCTCACTTTCACTATAGCTTGAAAAATCACTGTGTATCATAAAGAAAATGTTTAAGATAAATCTGCAATGGACATTAGTACTAATCCTCTGAAATGGACAATAGCACAAAATCTTTAAAATTGAAATAGAATCATCTGTAAGTGATACTACTTGATAAAGATTTGAATTTAAAATCTATATTCGATTATAAGTTGCAATTAACATGTTGGTTTATTGTCAGACATAACTCCTCAGATTGTTATAGCAAACTTAGGTTATACCTGGCTCTGTATCTTATTCTTTTTGGTGAAAAAAAAAAACTTGTGTCAATTGGTAAGGTAATTCATCAGGTTTTTTTTTGTATTTTCTTCTAAGAGTTGCATTATTTTATTGGGAGGAGGTAATTCCTGAGTGAATCAGAAATGAACGATATCACCATCAGATCATGAAACCAACATTTGGTCACAAATGACTGTTGTTCTAGAGACAATGAAAAAAAAACTACTATTACGGTATAAATTTAATGTTTGTTGTTTGATTTATATATTTGATCTGATTTTAAAACTAACTTCTTGTAAATGATTGTTGAAAATTGGTTTCATAAGTCCCTGAGGTTTCAAATACTTTCCTGAAATTGTTTATATTACAGACAGATGGCCATGTGATAGCAATACCTGATGTTGCACTATTGACCAGGTGAACTAAAAAGATAGTAAAAATCTGTGGATCTATAATCAATGTAATTGTAAATGTAACGGACAAGCCTTTTATTGTTTTCAACAAATATGATTTTTATGGCACTGATATTCAAAAAACTTTTGAAACTTTATGACATTGCGACAATAATAGATATCCCAATGGATTAATGACCACAGTATTCTATTGACTGAGGACATCCTAGAATGCCAAAATGGACAGACCAATTAAATTGAATTCTTGTATATCTCTATTTATTTATTTATTTAGTAAAATATAAAATTTAGCAACTTTTCAATACATGTAGCAGCCATTCAGAAGATGATATGAATTACTGTTTAACAGAATATTTCATATCACTTGATGAGAAATCTCTCAGAACATTATTTTGAAAGGATTAGGACAATATAGCTCTAACATATGAAAAAATAATGAATTACATGCTGATTGAGGCAACATTCTATAATCTTCATGAAATAAATACCCTGTCTACTAAGCATGTAATTTACCACTAAAAATACTTAATGGCAGAAATATTCTTTCAAGTTGAGGTAATTCAGTCTCAATGGTTTATTTTACATCTTCCTTACACAGTATATGTGTGACTATACCATAAAAATCTTTGAAGTGTACAAAGTCGATGAAAATTTGAGAAAAATTTTCAGAAAAATGTTTCGGAAAAATAAATATTTTTATATAGAATAATCTGAAAATGTACCTTTGTTAATTAGGATTTCATTACAAACCCTTATGAAAAGGTTATGTAAGCTGTCAAAGGCTTTAGGATTAAAACAAGCATGGGGATCTTATAAGGATGCAAAAATAAAAATTTGGTAGGACACATTCAATTACTTCAACTTGACTTCAACATTGATGTATTCAAATGCACAGAACTTCATTGTATGTTATGATGACATATCAAGTATCTTGTTATTAATTAGCATTCATGACTTTGTATCAGAAATTTTTTTTACTATCAAACACACTGGCTTGGTCCAATATCAGATAAGCTCCTTTGATCAAATGCTGTTAGCAGAGAATTTCTCCTTTGATGTATTTATGTTTATCACAGTTCTAGTAGTAGTAACCTGCAAAAAAAAAAGAAAGTTTATATTTATAAATTTCTGTCTTAAAATATCGTCTTTCTGAGAATATATGTGAATGATAATGAAAACACATAACAGTACTTTCTTTGGTTTCATACACAACTTTAATGCATACATTTTGCTCTAAAGAGTCTTTTATATCAGTTCTGATACAAAAATCTCTGTAATACTCATCAAAGATACCAGGCATACTTTGTTTAAACCTGTTTATTTACTTTTGACTTTATTTATCCCTTGTAATTTTTTATTAACTGTGTATTTGCATTCAGGTGTCACAGGTCAAATTTATTCGTTCATTGTGTGTTAATTTACGTTTTTTGATTGAGTTAAGCCTTTCAATTGATATTTTATAGTGTGTTTTTCTATGTTGTGATGTTATACTATTGTTTCAGAAAAGGGAGAAGGTTTGGTATCATTAAAACGTTTAATCCCGCTGCAAATGTTTGCACCTGTCCTAAGTCAGGAATCTGATTACAGTAGTTGTCGTCTGTTTATGTAGTTCATATGTGTTTCTCGTTTCTCGTTTTTATATAGATTAGACTGTTGGTTTTTCCTTTTGAATGGTTTTACACTAGTAATTTTTTGGGGCCCTTTATAGCTTGCTGTTCGATGTGAGCCAATGCTCCGTGTTGAAGGCCGTACCTTGACCTATAATGGTTTACTTTTATAAATTGTAACTTGGATGGAGAGTTGTCTCATTGGCACTCATACCACATCTTCCTATATCTATATAATTTGGTATGCCAGACATTTTGTTTTGTTTATATAAAGACTCATCAGTCACACTCAAAACAAACAGTTGGAAAGCCAAATCAATAAGATAGCTAAAAACTTTAAATAGCAATATGATCAGCAAGACAAGATCTTCAAACAAGTAAACATGACTGAAATTGTCAGTCAGCTCCTTATTGAAGTTATTGCCCTATGATGTTATATTTTTACCAAAATATTTTTGGGTTATTGCCTATTATCTTGAAACATATATTTGATAAAGAGACACTTAAAATAATCAGTTAGTCAAGTTCTACAAATTTGTCAACATTGCCAAAACTGTTGGGAGACTCCTTATATGAGTTATTGCCTCTCAATGACGACTATACTACTTACAAATTTACCAGAAGAATTATCAATCAGATATTGAAATTCTTGACAAGAAAGCCATACAAAGAGGTTTGATAAATGGATATTTGACAGTACTGGTAAGTATTATCCACAGGAAATCTTGATGTGATAGCTAATGTCAAGCAAGCATTTTACGAAAATCTTAAACCTTTAAAACAGAGTTGTCTCCCATTGGATTTTAACACTATCTTATTTAATGTTCTATAATTAAATCACTTATCCATACCTGCTTCTTCTTTGTTCTATAATGGAGCTATAAACTGGTTGGCAATCAATTGATCTAAGTATCTAAAAGTAAAAGTGTTCTACCTTATAATCTTATAAAGTTATAAATATCTTTTTTTTTATTGCAAACCAAATGAAACTTTTCCACAGACTCTTGGAAAAGTTTCATTTGGTTCGCAATAATTATTAATTGTTATTAGTATATATAATAGTACATTGCATTTATTCAATTTGTCCAAAACTGTGTGGCTGCTCTTTTTGTGTGTGACAAATAATATTATATGCTTTGAATAAATTGAATTGTATTTGGATATCAAAATGATTGAAATTTACAAGGATTTTACTGTAAATTCATAATTTTTTTTCGATGTTTTATTATCTTGAGTGAAAAGTGTAACGAAACAGGTATCACAAAAATAAAACCTTGGATTTTAAATTCTGATAGCATAATTTGTATGCAGTACTGGACTAACTGGAGTACTAAAAAATCTAGCTCAAATATTCATGTAAATGTCAGGAAACTCAACTCTAGTTGTCTTTGTTTATTTCTCAGTCTTTTTGTCCATTCAGACATTGAGAGATCATAACTGTTTAGATCGTATCTTCACATATATTACACAATATTATGTCTTCTCTTGTTTAAACTGGGAGTTGTGTAGCCATCTCATTGCATTTACCTCACATCTGTCTTTTATTCATCTGTAACAAATGATATAAATCTTAATGCTGTCTGCTGATAAACCCCATTGTTTTATCTAGATCAGTGGGATAAGACAGGCACATGAACATTTGACAGGGATATACTGATAAACGCTTTTTTTAGCACTTAGTATAAAATGCTGTACAGATAATACCGATTTGTACTTACGCTGGATTGTATTGTTCTACTCTTCCTTTGAGAATGTTCGGACCAAGGAAACTACTTAATTGGTTTAAGCACTGACTAGCTGCACTTGATGTTAATGCACTATCACAGGTCTACAATGAATACCATATATTGTAATAAACACAAAACAACTAGTCTATCCAATACAAAACTAGAATAAATGAATCATATATAACTCATTAAAAACTGAAAAAGTTGGTTAATTTTTCACATTCATTAATCTAAATATCAATTCATCTTTTAAGGGATTGGTTAAGACATTTCTATCTCGTTTTCAAATGAATCAACTACTCTTCCACAACCATGTTCTCCTTAGTCAGCAATGCTGACATAACTTTTTAGAAGATTCAATATAGCTTGTGTAAGTTAATGGTATCAAGAAATATATATATTGTTTATACTTTTAAGAAGATTAATATAATGAGAATTAATTGGTCAATTTTTCTTTTTTTTTCATTTACCGGTATGTAATTATAGATTATAGATATGTTTCTAGCGATAATTTTCATATCACTCGACTCCACTGAGAAAGGAAATTATCAGTCAGGAAGATCAAAGGAAAAATTCGTATAATAGAGATAACAAGGGATATAATGAAAAAAATGTGTAGAATCTGATGTCTATCTATCAAAGTGTATTTCCATGGTAGAAAAAGATGTTGGTTATGTTTGTATCCTCTCAATCAAGTAACAGTAACAATTCATAAGTCTGAACACATGATGAAACTGTCCACAGTATTGACATACAGTGTAATATGCAGCTTACAATACAGCAGAGTAACGCTCTAGCAAAACAGAACACAAGGTTGAGTTATCAAATAACTATAAGTTCACAAGTTCTGTAAACATACTGCATTTGTACTGGGCTAAATCAAAAACTTCAGGTAAATGTTGACATTTATACTCCTTGGCTACCAAGGACTTTCTTTTTTCAAATGCTATGAAAACAATTTTAACTGAAGTGTTTTATCCCAAAGATTATAATGTACATACCATACTGTAAAAGATGGAATCAAAAAATAATTCCAAATGTGGCTTGAAATGTCTCTTTCCTATACCTTTGGCAATATTTGGCAACTAAAATTAAGAATTTAGAATTAAGCATATTAAAAAGTCATTTTAAATCAATAAATATATGTCTAGAGGTGGTTGTGACTTGAAATCTTTTAAGCTAAGTTAATAAATATCCTTCAACATTTCCTTGTTTTGATGTTCAAATACAAATAAGGAAATCGACTAAACATCAATCAATTAATCACTGGGCACATCTTAAGGCATACAGGAGCGTTTTCAACAGGGATAAAACATGCAATTTCTACTGGGATAAAATGCCATTGCAAAATCTATCCTTTTAAATGGCACAGAGGTTTCAAATAAATACACAGAAAAATCTGTGAAAAAGTATGTTTTTCTGCTAGTGATTCTATTTTATGTTAGAGATCAAGGTCAAATACAACAGAACACATCATCTTGTCTTATGGTGATACATCCACCTTAATCCTTGGTATGACTGATAAGAAAAGAAGAGTATAAATACTGGACGGCTTCTATTACAGGACCTACCTATTGTATTTATTGCTAATTTGTTCTCATCCTGAACATGAATGAAATATTTGCCACTGGATATTAAGCAACCAACAATTAATCAATATTTTAATATCAATTTAGATTAAACAAAGAACAATATACAAGCACATTTTATAAAAATTGAATTAGTTGGCTTCACATTCAAACTGTTTAATTTACTATATTCAAGGGCAAATTACATGTGTTAAATTGGTGGTAGATCATTAAAATGGTATTTTTACTTTCTTCAAGTTATTTATCTTTCTATGGTTTGATAATGTGTCTAGTCATTCATAATCCTGTTTTTCTTATATTCAGAGTGATGACATAGAGCCAGATAACCTAGCCTAGAAAACAACAACCATTTAGAGAAAACAATACCAGTTTGTCTTACTTCTTTGAATGAAATACTTTTATAAAATAAGATTACATCAAATTGTATCTTATTTACCTGTTTACAAAGTGTTTCTAATAAAACAACATGTTGAGGATAATGCTGAAATGATACTGCTTTAGCCACTGCAGGTAATGTCTGTCCTACTAATGCTGATAGGCTAGGGTTGTTTGATAATTCTGCTATTAAATGAAAACACCTGACACGAAAAATACAAATTTAATAGAGGATTTAATATTCATCCTATGTTCATGTCTTGCAATAAAGATTTTGAAAAAACTTAGACTATATTTCTACTTCTTCTACAATTATAAAGCCAGCTTAAAAGAAGTACATGTAATGCAGATTAGTTTTTATTCGTGGGATTGCAAACTTTCAAGATTTTGTGTGTCACAGCAAACCAAGAATTTAAGAATTCAAAGAAAATTAATCACTACACTTGAGTCTTGTGTATGGAACAATTAATTCATGAACACAGAACAGCCTATTTCATCGTTGATATATGATGTTCTGTACATTTCCAGGTGTTTTTGTATTTTCAGTTAGACAAGTGTGAGGAACCTGTTGTTGTTTAATAAGAAAACCTCTCAAATTTTTATATTGTTGTATCAAGAAATGTGCATTTGAAAGCAGCTGTTTATTTTTTACTTTGTTGTGCAATTCTAATCCATTTTTTATTATTTACTACATTTATTCATATCTTTAACTTTCAATCAAGCATTTCAACAAACATTGCATTATTGAAGTTGTCATTATTATTTTGTTTACATAGATAAGATCATTTTGCAAAAGGCCTTACCCATCTGTTAATTCCCACGGCTCTGAGGGTTTTTTGAACTTATGATCCATACATCCACCACCTCTTCCCATCTTAGGTGCCAATGACCCACAGGAATACATCTACAAGATATTGTCAATCTGAAATTATTATATGAGTCAAGATACTGACAGTTCTAATCGGCTAAAGTCATTTTCTGATACTCATAATATTAACCTGTATGCATAAAGTGTCCAAAAATAAATTGTTTTAAAGCCTGGCATATAGAAACTCACTGAAAGGAGAAGGACACCAATCTGAAAGGTTATGTATTGACAGAATCTATTACTTATTCAAATAGTAATAAAACACCCCTCCCAGTTAAAATAATGTCAGAATGCCATTTATTTGGTATATTTAATTAAATCTTTTTAAATTTCCTGCCGCAAAGGCAGCAACATATTTTTCAAACTTGTAAACTGGTGTCACATCACTACTCTCATTCCATACCCATACCGTATCAGTATAAGTCAATATCATTGTCTCTTAACATTTCAACAACAACATAAGCTCCAGAACCTACCTGTTTATCTGTATGTAAGTCCATATCATTGTCTCTTAACATTTCAACAACACCGTAAGCTCCAGAACCTACCTGTTTATCTGTATGTAAGTCCATATCATTGTCTCTTTATATTTCAACAACAACATAAGCTCCAGAACCTACCTGTTTATCTGTATGTAAGTCCATATCATTGTCTCTTAACATTTTAACAACACCGTAAGCTCCAGAACCTACCTGTTTATCTGTATGTAAGTCCATATCATTGTCTCTTAACATTTTAACAACGCCATAAGCTCCAGGACCTTTATCTAAAGCACAGTACTTTTCTGATGATGCAGGTTGTTTTTCTACACCCTCTAATCCCTCTTTCACCTTGCCTGTGATAGTTTCCATACTGGATTGACCTATAAAAAAGTCTGTATGTATTGAATCACTAATTTGATCCCAGAAATAAACTCTTCTTTACCATACCAAATATAATCTAAGTAATTTTGTAAGTTAATCTACATTGTTTTTATTCATACTTATGCAACAAACTGTGATACTAATGATTATTTAACTATGCCACCAAACACCAAATTTTGGCTTATATCAACTCCATTTTTTGTGGGCATGGAATATTCTTTCCTCATTTTGGAAACCATCATTATATCACAAAGTTAAAATAGCTGTTGAACTGTCACTTTTATGGTCTTTACAATATTTTTTGTTATGTGCAGACCATAGCTGCAGAACCATATCTCTTATTATATTTTTTGTCATGTGTGGACTAATAGATGTCTACAAATATAGTCCCGAGGATGGACAGTGGATTACTTGTATACCTCTCAGAAGTCTGTAAGTCTTTACCAGAGCTTATCATGTTCCAACTTCCTGTCTAACATGTATGTACAGCAATGATTACAGTTCATGCTGCTTCCTCTGCAACAAAGGTTATCACAATAAGCTTGTATAACATTGGCTAAAGCAAAAAACAGCACCCTATCTGAATGGTGTACTTACCATAGGCTTGTACAACATTGGCTAGAGCTAATGCAGCTCCCTGTCTGACTGAGGCAATATTGTCTTGTAAATTGTTGAAAAATAAAGGGTATAAATCTGGCAAGCTGTTTCTGCAAAATAATTATAATCACTACTGAGTCAGTTTGTCATATAATTAAATCATATCCTTTATTAGCAGTTTTACATAAGTTTTAACTGGAGAAGACAAGACAAGTTCATATTCTGTCAGGTGAAATAAAATATTGATACAATATGATAGTTGGTGTTACATCTGATTGGGATTAAAATTTCTGTTATAGGAAGTTTTCAATCTGATAAAATAAATTTATTAACCTATTTATTTTTGTATTATGACATAGACATTTATCCTTGTTCTGAAACCAATCACCTTCAGCAAATTAACTTTCTCATTAGTTCAGATTTTTCTACATTCTAAACCAGCTGTTTAAAATCTGCATGTATAAAATGAAAAATACTGCTATATAGGGAAAATATTTATATTCTCATAATGAAGTTGGAAATGCTAGGTTTGCCATAGAAACAAAGCAGTCAACATAAAAATTCTGGAAACCTGCACCCCATTATTATATTAAAGATGATGTCCTCTTGAATCCTATTATATAGACAAGGTTTTATACAGCCATTGACAGTAAGGAATCCTATTATATAGACAAGGTTTTATACAGTCATTGACAGTAAGGAATCCTATTATATAGACAAGGTGTTATACAGTCATTGACAGTAAGGAATCCTATTATATAGACAAGGTTTTATACAGTCATTGACAGTAAGGAATCCTATTATATAGACAAGGTTTTATACAGCCATTGACAGTAAGGAATCCTATTATATAGACAAGGTTTTATACAGTCATTGACAGTAAGGAATCCTATTATATAGACAAGGTTTTATACAGTCATTGACAGTAAGGAATCCTATTATATAGACAAGGTGTTATACAGTCATTGACAGTAAGGAACCCTATTATATAGACAAGGTTTTATACAGTCATTGACAGTAAGGAATCCTATTATATAGACAAGGTTTTATACAGTCATTGACAGTAAGGAATCCTATTATATAGACAAGGTTTTATACAGTCATTGACAGTAAGGAATCCTATTATATAGACAAGGTTTTATACAGTCATTGACAGTAAGGAATCCTATTATATAGACGAGGTTTTATACAGTCATTGACAGTAAGGAATCCTATTATATAGACAAGGTGTTATACAGTCATTGACAGTAAGGAACCCTATTATATAGACAAGGTTTTATACAGCCATTGACAGTAAGGAATCCTATTATATAGACAAGGTTTTATACAGTCATTGACAGTAAGGAATCCTATTATATAGACAAGGTTTTATACAGTCATTGACAGTAAGGAATCCTATTATATAGACAAGGTTTTATACAGTCATTGACAGTAAGGAATCCTATTATATAGACAAGGTTTTATACAGTCATTGACAGTAAGGAATCCTATTATATAGACAAGGTTTTATACAGTCATTGACAGTAAGGAATCCTATTATATAGACAAGGTTTTATACAGTCATTGACAGTAAGGAATCCTATTATATAGACGAGGTTTTATACAGTCATTGACAGTAAGGAATCCTATTATATAGACAAGGTTTTATACAGTCATTGACAGTAACAACATTAACATGATATGGTATACACCAATCTCAAGATGTTTTTTTTATGAATGAGTTACGCCAGTTGACCCGAGGTCAATCAGTGTAAACGAAGTTATTGAACAAGTGGTTCTTACTGTGACATAACAACATAAGCATTGTTACATTTGAAATTTAGGGAAAGTGAACAAATTTGAAAGTGTTCTATATGGCATTGTATTTCTTGCACCTATATTTTTGTCATCTGTACAACTGATATTATAGAGTCAAGTGCTTATATCTAAACTCATTTTTAATATATATTCTTCTTTAGACCTTTTTTTATTCCAGATTGAAAAAAAAGGATGAGTACTGAATAAAAGAAATAGTTTAACCCCATATTACATTATAATGTGTCATTACTACATTTGTCACAGGCTGGTGTAAAATAATGCTGACAAACCTAATGAACTTACCTTGATTCTTCAGGAAAACATAAAACAAAATTTCCACATGCTACACATGCAGCTAAAAGAAAGAAAAGAAAGTCTATGTATAGAGGATTCTGATACACTTTTATGTCAAACACAGAAAACATATTTTTACCCTACAGATCAATAATGCCTCAAATGCCTCCAATATTGCAACAGTAAATGTGAGACTCCTATTTCCATTTATCAAATCAGAAAATCAGGTTTTTAACAAATAATACATACCAAAGAATACAACTCTTTTAGCTTAATTATTCATAACAATTATAGAAATTTCATGGGATTACATGGAAAGGAACCAGATTTTTACATATAGCAGGAAATAAATTGCCCATATTTCTAAACAGTAATGTTCCATAACTCTAGAATGACAATCTAGAAAACCATCAAAATTTTAGTTTATAACTTGTGTTCAATATTCTGTAAAATTTTAACAAACCATAAATTTGTATGAATTGATCACAAAGTTGATAAATATATGAAAAACACCAGAAATATGAATACCTGATTCCAATATTTTTACCTTATAGAAATTTCGTTTTGCTTTTTCAGCACTAATTACAAGTTCAAGCCTACTAATAACAAAATTACCATCTCTGACAGGCCAGCTGTCATCATTAAAACACACCAATAAAGCAGCAAGCAGCCTGGGAACGTGTGATCTTACTGCATTTCTTTCAATCTGCAAAAGATTAGAATTCAAATAAAAAGAAATGCAAGAGACATCTTACTAATTATATGCATGTTTTGTTATACTTGTATTTTTTTCTTTTGTTAACTGCATCATTCTACAAATACATGTGTCCTATCGTTACTGATATAAAAATAAGTAGAAAGGGTATGATTGCCAATGAAACAAGTATCAATCAGAGTCAAAACTAAAAAGATGTCTTATTTTGTTTCTTTCCACATGTGTTTTTCCTTTCTTTACAATTTAGTAGAATTTTGAACACACTGTAGCTTAGAAAACCACTATTGATAAAATATGATTCTTTAATTAGGATACTAAAAACTACTTTTTGACAAAGTATGACAAGATTACTATAAAGACAAAAAAATCTTTCAAATGACAATAATGTGACCCTTTTTTTTCTCCAACACCACTTTGTTATACCAAACTTATTTGCTTTGTGTGTATTACCTTAGCTCCTAGTTCAGCAATACAAGCACAAGCAGCTTCCCTAACTGCATGGTTATCTGCTACTGTTGATTCAATATAATATTCAACCTGAAAAAATAATTATACTAACAAGGTCAATTTTGTTTATCTGCAATTTCTGACAAAAAACTTTAAAAATCTTTTACCAACAAATTACAATCATTTTTTAATTTATTTCAATATAGATTTGAAAATAGATTCTAAAATATGTATTCACCACATCGTCAATATATTTCTCTACTAGATGTCTCCCTTCTCCTTCTGTGGTCTGTCTCCAGGTTTCTTGTGAATATATTCTAACACCTTCAGCTACATAGTATCTAAAATAAACCACATAAATAAAAATAGATTCTTATATTTTACCTGTAAAAGATTGAGATATACAGGCATATATCCATATATGAACAAGAGTGCACATGCTGAAATGTCTCGCCTACTATACTGACCATTGATTTTATGTTGATAGTCCTACATATAAAGTTTTACTGCAAGTATGACATTAACATTTATGATCCAAGAAAATGAGGTCAAGGTCAGATAAACCAAGCCGTAAATACATGTACACTTTTAATACAATCATTCCATGCACAGAATATAGATGACCTATTGCTTATAGTATAAAAGAAACAGACCAAACCATGGAAATTCTATATTGACCAATGAACCATGAAAATGAAGTCAAAGTCAAATAAAACCTGCCAGACTGACATGTACATCGTAAAATATTTCCTTACACCAAATATAGTTGACCTTTTGCATACAGTGTTAGAAAAACAGACCAAAACACAAAAACTTAACATTGAGCAATGAACGGTGAAAATGAGGTCAAGGTCAAATAAAACCAGCCAGACTGACATGTACATCGTAAAATATTTCCATACACCAAATATAGTTGACCTTTTGCATACAGTATCAGAAAAACAGACCAAAACACAAAAACTTAACATTAAGCAATGAACCTTGAAAATAAGGTCAAATAAAACATGCCAGACTGACATGTACATTGTAAAATATTTCCATACACCAAATATAGTTGACCTATTGCATATAGTATTAGAAAAAAAGACCAAAACACAAAAACTTAACTATAACCACTGAACCATGAAAATGAGGTCAAGGTCAGATGACACCTGCCAGTTGGACATGTACACCTTACAATCCTTCCATACACCAAATATACTAGACCTATTGCTTATAGTATCTGAGATATGGACTTGACCACCAAAACTTAACCTTGTTCACTGATCCATGAAATGAGGTCGAGGTCAAGTGAAAACTGTCTGACGGCCTTGTAAGGTACGCACATACCAAATATAGTTATCCTATTACTTATAATAAGAGAGAAATTAACATTACAAAAAATCTAAACTTTTTTTTCAAGTAGTCACTGAACCATGAAAATGAGGTCAAGGACAATGGACATGTGACAGACGGAAACTTCGTAACATAAAGCATCTATATACAAAGTATGAAGCATCCAGGTCTTCCACCTTCTAAAATATAAAGCTTTTAAGAAGTTAGTTAACACCGACGCCGCCAGATCACTATCCCCATGTCGAGCTTTCTGCGACAAAAGATGCAGGCTCGACAACAAACTAGAGAAAAGTGCTTTTTTTGTACTGGTTTTATTGATTTTTCTTTTAAGTATGGGTTGTACTTCAACTGATAAAGATTAAGAAGGGGATGGTTAGAACTAAAAAAAACTAGTAATCCTGTAACATTTTCATGTGCCTGTCCAAAGTCAGAAACCTCATCTGTAGTTGTTATATGTCATATCTGACTGTTTTTCTTTTTTGGAGTTTAAATGGTAGATGTTTGTTTTTCGTTTATTTATTTACAACTTGAAAAGACTCTGGATGATTTAGAGCTTGATATCTTATACAAAAACCTGTCTATCAATGAAGACTATGTTGCTCTGAAGATGACTTTTGGTTATATTTGTTTTGGGTTGTTGTCTCATTGACGTATCACCCACTTCTCATTTTGTTAAAACACTTTCATCTTAGGGATAAAGAACTAGTGTACAATAAATAAAAAACAACCTAATCACAAAGACCATTGTAGAAATAGTGGTCAATACCAAGTAAATATACAATTTTCCTAATTGTTGGTCAATGAATATAATACATATCTTTTTTTTTCCAATGATGTTATTGTTAATTACCTGTTAAGGCACATTCTTGGTATGAGTATACTGTAGAACTGATCCTTTACTTCCTCTGATGGTAAACTATGTAGAAACTTCCTTGTAGCTACAGATGCTGCTAGACGTACCTATTAAACAACATCACATATTTATACTGTAAGAAAATAGAATGGAAACAATGACAAAACCAATGTCTACTTATTACGGAAATGTAATAACCATCAATAACTTAAATGGTTATAAAGAATTGTATGTTTCATTTATGTGCAAAGTAAAAATCAACTAAAAATAACTGTTTTTTTATGCACAATGCTATTCAAATTGGCTGTATCCAATAATAACTTCAGTTTGTATTTAAACAAGTGACATAATAATAGATCAATTACAGTATCTGTGGTACATACATGTGTAGCTAATGAATTACAGATATTTTTACAACTAAGTCAAAATCCCCTCTCCAAACTCTTATTTATCAAAATCCTGCAATTGAAAACTTAAACAGACTAGCTGAGAACTTTAAAAATATCTGTTTATCAATACAAATTATCAGACAGATCAAATCAAAATTTTATAATTCAGAATTACAGAATGCAACAATGTATAAGTACTTACTACATTAATGGTATTTGGAGTTTATGGAAGTTAAGAATTAGTAAATAATCTGTAATTGTACAGCAGGCACTGAAAAACAAGTTTCTGTTGCTTTGGAGCAAAATTATCATAATCAATAATGAAGTATGTCTGTCATTCACTTAATTAAGTCAAAACATTCACACAACATTAACTTACCTGACTCCAATTGTCAGATAATCCTTTTCCAAGATATTCTGACAACTGCCTTCCATGTCTATATACAGAATTTTCTTCTTTTAACTTTAAAGTTGATTTTCCTATGAAAAAAATAATATTTTGTAAGATCATCTGAAACACATATAAATCGATGTGCAGACATCTGATACATTCAGGTATTTCACATCCAATCTTTTATGGTAATATTCTATACAAAGCACAAAAATGTAGTCGTTCACCTCAAAAGTTAACCAAACCTGTAAACAGACTTATTCAGAAGGGATATAGTTACCGTACAATGCTGTTGTCAGGTCATTAAAGATGGGATTTTTAAAAATTAATATTGATTCACTGATAGGGTCTTTGCATCGGAAATAAACACATTTATTCTAAAAACAGTTGTTGGCATGATACGGGTTATGTTCTTCTCATATATTTTATGATGGTATGATAATAAACCCCTAACGGGAGGGATTGTGCTTGATTTTCATATGATGGAGACATAATCTTTCTATCAGTTAAATTGAGGTTTGGAGCTGGCATGTCAGTTACTGCAAGTAGTCCTTAGTTAATTTATGTATCATTGTCATTTTGCTTAGTTTTTTCTGTTACCTATTCTAACATCAGACTCAGACTTCTTTTAAACTGAGTTTTACTGTGTGTATTGCTGTGTGTTTGTTTAAAAATGTGTCAGGAATCAAACAGTACAAGCAGTGCTTGAAAGCCTTTAGTATCAACAAATATAAAATTTATTCTCCAATAGAAATAAATATGCAATAGCAAAGAATCAAATAACTAAACAAGTAAACTGCAAACTCACATGCCCCTAACTATATATATGCCATATAAATGAAAAGGTACTAGCCAATCCTTAAAAATAATTCTCAATTTCTGATTTATTAGATAATTTATTCTTTTCAGATTTTATATAAATAAATTATACATGAGAAGGTCTCACAAAACATGTTTAACCTCGCCGCATTTATTCGCCTGTCCCAAGTGAGGAGCCTCTCGTCTTTGTTAGTCTTGTATATTTTTTTAATTTTGGTTCATTTAGACGTTAGAAGGATATCACATAAAAATCTGTGTGAAATGATGGCTGTCATTGACTTTAGAATCATTTATGAATAATAATAAGAATATATGTATGCAATGCTTTTTCAAGGTATTATTAATTTGGTGTAGGTTGGACATATGGTTCAAAAGATATCATTTGGAAACAAAAATTGTATCCCCAATTTCAGTCTATCAATAGCTGCTGTAACATTGACCTATTGACTTCAAAAAATCATTGCAGGTTTTTCTTACTAATTGAATTATGGTTACATTATCTGTTGACACAGAGATATGTCTCGCCTGTCGGCATAAAATTCAGAAAAAGACAATCTGACGGACAGCAACATTGCTAATTAATTGAAAGTCGCTGGACCATGAACTAGTGGACAAGGCCTTGAAATGGTCAACAAACTGAGATGCAAAGTAACTTTATAGAAAATATTGTTGTCTATTGTAAGTATTTCCTATCAACATAACTTAAGCAGAAAACTTTACATTGAAAATTGCTTATTAATTGAAAGTCACTGGACCATGACCTAGGGGGCCAGGCCTCAAATAGTCGTCAAACTGATATGAACTGACAGTAATGCAACTTTAAAAGAAAATATCCTTGATCTATCACAAGTAATTCCTATCAAACTAACTTAAGCAGAAAACTAAACACTGAAAATTGCTAATTAATTCAAAGTCACTGGACCATGTACAAGGGGGCAGGGTCTCATAATAGTTGTCAAACTGATATCTACTGATAGTAATGCAACTTCATACAAAATATCATTGATCCATCACAAGTAGTTGTTATCAAACTAACTTAAGTAGAAAACTTAACAATTATTGACGCCATCGCCACCAGAATAGCAATACCTAAGTCTTGGTTTCCGAAACTTTCATCATAGGCGAGACAAAAATAAAGCTTTAAAAGGAATGCAAGAATATAAAAGCAACAGCATCTGAAGCATAACAATAAAGACTGTGTCTGATCTTTTTCTTGCAATGAAAATGACCAGAGACTAATGTAAGAGTACATTATATTTCAATCTGAATGAGAGAAGATATAAGATGAATGTCAATGAGACCGCAATCCAACAATAACTCTACAAAGTTTAAAGTGACGCCAACCCAATTCAAACTTGTGTGTTTTGTGGTAATAAGCATTGTGAATAAGTTTCATAACAATTGGTTGAGGCAAACTAAAGTAAGAGAACTAAAACCAATTTCCGGACGTTCGGACAGACGGACAGACGGAAAAGGGTAAAACTTAATTTCCCCTCCGCTACGGTGGGGGCATAAATAAAAAGGGGTTAATGTGATTTTTTATCTTCAAATGGTGAATTATGATTACCAAAAAAACTACAAATTTTAAAAGATCTGTTTTCTTACCATCACCAATGACACCAATAGACACTATTGCTGCACACACATAAAATCCTGTCTCTCTAACAAATCTGTTTGTGTGTAACAGTGCCATAAATATCAGATCCAATAATTCTTGGTCTACATACTTATTGAAAAGATGACCACAAGAATTCACAACACATTCTAAGCATCTGAAAAAAAAAGCAACAGGTCTGAAAATATACAATGTATATATGAAATCTGCTCAGCAAATGAAAACAGTCAAATCTGAAATCAACATGTATACAAAAGATCAAGGGGTAGATAAGCATAGTTTCCAAATGTTACCCACTTTCTCATGTGGATTGAAAAAAGTTAATATTCCCCTCAATATGATTTAAGCAGGTAGAAGATGTATGATTCTGGTAAAGTAAAGATATCCATGACTTATGTTTTCAGCAAGAAAACTTCTACTAATGTCATATATATGAAGGTTCTGACCCAATCAAATATAATAGACATGTAAGTAAAATACAAAGAGATTTACTGCCACTTTCTCCATTTCTATCATAACTAGACCAATATTATGTCTGGACCTGTGTTGCACCATGCTGTTTTGAGGAACAGCCTTCAGTGCCATAAAGATCAATCTCCGGGGCAGAGTTCATATCCGTTCCTTACATGCTCCGCAATACTACACTAATATTGAGTACAGTGTTACGTAGTATGGAACGGAAATGATATGATCTCTGTGCGGGAAATTGCATGAAGATTGTAAGTTTTTTGTCATTTGTCATAGATGAATCCAATTATATACATTCTTTATGTGCCTGTCCCAAGTCAGGAGCCTGTAGTAAAGTTGTTGTCGTTGGTTCATGTCTGTCATATTGTTTTTTTCGTTAATTGTTTCTTTATGAAGCCATTACTTTCTCAATTGAATTGTTTCATTTTTTTCATGTCGGTGGGGCCTTTTATAGCCGACTATACGGTATGGGTTTTTCTCATTGTTGGAGGACATACGGTTGCCTATGATTGCTTACATCCACTGCATTTGAACTTTGGTGGATAGTTGTCTCATTGGCAATCATACCACATCTCCTTATTTTTATATGAATATGGTAGTTCTCAAGGTAGTATTGGTAGACTAAAGGTTTTATCTTTATACCACATGTGATTCAATGGGAAAACCAGCAGATCAAAATTATTTTTCACTTAAAAAAAAAAGTTTTCAGTCGAATCTAATCTAAGGTACCTGTCTTCTGGGGAAAATCTGCATTTCTATAATGTTGAGTTAAAACAGGTTTTACTGTATATAAAAACTTACTTCATCCATGTTTCTAAAGACTTCCATCCTGCAGTGTCATGAAAAATTTGTGCTGCATCTACATTTACTCTCTATAAAGAAGGTTTAAAATTGATCTTAACTAATGCTGCAGAACATTATAAAAACACATACACTTAAACATTATAAAGATTTTTAAATGGTGAAATCATGTGTTGTTTTATGTATACAAAATCTATGTAAAATAAGATTTATTTTCATACCATGGATTTATGTTCTATCAGTGATATACAAGTGTCAAGGAACCAATTCAACCCATTACATGATCTTTTTGATTAAATGTAAGACTTGGATTTAAGTTGGAATTTTTACTGAGTTATGTCCCAAAACAAGATACTGGATACCAATTAACATTGGACTACCAATAATGGTTCTCTTGAACTGACCTAATCACAAACTAATACATGCAAACTAAGCAAAAGTTTTAAAGTCAATAGACCATGATTGAGGGGGATGGAGCCAAATAATCTACATGGAAATGAGATATGCCAATGCATATACAACTGCATACCAAATAATATTGATCTACCACTAGTGGTTCACCATAAACTGACCTAATCACAAACTAATACATGTAAACTAAGCAAAAGTTTCAAAGTCAATAGACCATGACTGAGGGGGCATGGCCAAGTAATATCCATGGAAATGAGATGTGCCAATGATAATACAACTGCATACCAAATATCATTGACCTATCATTTGTGGTTCACCATAAACTAGACCTAATCACAAACATTGTTGACAACGCCGCCGTCGAAAACAGCATACCTATGTCTCGCTTTTTGACTCCGTCAAGACGAGACAAAAACCCTAATTTTGACATAATTGCACATCATTATAAACAAGTGCATACTTGATACAGGACTGACAGATGAATGGACGAACACACCTGAAAATGTAATACTCCTTTTCTATGGTAGGACCGTCATAAATAAATGGAGAATGTGTCCATGGGACACAGATGATGTCCCTGCTTGCATATAACGTTATAAAGGGACATAACTCAAGAACAGTAAAAGTGGCGCCACCCAAATTCGAACTTGATCTGAGTTTTGAGGTAATAAGCATTGTGTATAAGTTTCTCAACATTTGGTTAAGGCTATCTTAAGTTAAAGAACGGAAACGAAAAATTCAACAATTTTTCCATTTGTAAAGGGGTATAACTCCAGAGTGGAAAAAGTGACGCCACCCAAATTCGAACTTGATCTGTGTTTTGAGGTAATAAGCATTGTGTATAATTTTCATAACATTTGGTTAAGGCAAACTAAAGTTAGAGAAGGAAAACCAATTTTGGGACGTAAGGACGGACAAGGGTAACACTTAATGCCCCCTCCGCTGCAGCGGGGGCATAAAATTAATAATTCAGCATTGTTATTTGTCACAAAAGGTCAAGATCATGCATATACAATTGAAAGTGGATATAAACATTTCACCTTTTCCCCTCCAGGTGAACTACTCAGTTTCTCTACAAGTTTTTCAACATCATCATCATTTTGATGTTCATCACCAGTTGACATTTCTCGTTCTAAATTAGAGCGAATTCCATTCAAAATTTGGTCTTTTACATCTCCATAAATTTCTGGACCAATCTTTTTACATAAAGCACCAAGTACTTCACCTTAAAAGATAATTACAAATTCAATTACTCGTTAATATACATGGAAGATAATGAAAACAACAAGTTATAAATTTCATGCTGCGGAAGTGTTTTCTGGATTTACCTTCATCAGGAACGCTCAAAGCCTATTATTTGAAAGCCAAAGATGTATAAATATTCTTGTAATATCAATACTAATCACATGTATGCAAGTACAATGTAGGTAAACAAAACTTGAAAAAAATGATGAAATTGATGCATGTGTGTATTCTGTACAAGGAGGGACATCTGTAACTTGTACACAATTAGGTATAAGAAGGATAGATAAAATGAGTAAAAAGGGGTGTTGTGTTGTAAATGAGATAGAAACACAACAAAGTTGACCAGCAGTAAGTTTGTTAAGTAATATTCTTATAGTTCCTTTCTGAAACAATTAATGCATATATATATGCTAAGAACATTTTGAAATACAAACTGGCTCTGTGACCAAAACAACCTGTTCCCTAATCATTGGTTGTGTGCCTGAGAGGTCTCAAAACTGTCATTCAGTGTAAACAGGTAGCAGGGTCCATTTGCACTGATTCATGTTTACCCTAGTTCCTCTTTGCCCTAGGTCCGTTTGCCCTGACTCTTATTTTATTTCATAGTCTTGTTGTATTTTGGTATAATAAATTTTTTGAATGGAGTATTTTATAGGGCGTTGAAAATTTCAAATACTTATGTCGAATTGCTACTGCCAGATAATTATTTTGCTTTGATTTGCATCTGACTGAAGTGTACAGGAATACAAAGTATTTGATATAAAACAACTGAAGACCAAGTTATCTGTATGTATTATCTTTATGGATACATCGGACCATCAATAAGTCAACTCAGACTGTATATCAAGTCAACTTGGATTTCTACAATGCCAACTTAGACAAAGTATTAATGAAAGTTTTGACTATATAAATGATTAAATGAGTGTCTTATAAAAAGACAACTTGGGGGTCTATGGAGTCAAGTCCGTGTATATAAACAATTCAAGATCAAGAACTTTTTATGTGTAGACATGCATCTGTCTATTGTTGGATTGTTGTTATATATATGATTGGAATAATCAAATTTGCATGCCTGATTGTTAATTAAATCTAATTTCATTATGTGTATAGGTTAAATGCAATGAGATTATTATAAACAAATATAATAAACAATGATTGAATTCAACTAACGAATAAATTAAGTTTGTTTAATGCATTAATAAAGATTTCATCTAAAATATATAGAATCATCATGATTAACATGATTAAGTTAAAATTGATTTTACATTACACCAATTACATGTACTTTGGGCACCACACTTTATTTGCAAATACAGCAAGGTATAAAGGATACTTTTATGTGAAATATAACATTCAATCATATAAATAGCATACATTCTTTGTTTATCCAATTTCAAATTCTTTAATTTCCTAATCACAGGGCCCTTTCAGGCATTACAAATTTTGACACTTTCATACAAATTTGCTGTTTTTTTTTCTTTTAGCAAAATCACACTTTGGAACAAAAAATGTTTTGTCTTCAGTTATTATTAAGTGAAGACAAAACATGTACCTACATGTAATTAACATAATTACTCTTTCTCACTCCGCTCTCTGTGATTATGTTAATTACATGTAGGTACAGCACAATAAAGCTTACATAAATGTCATAACACAACCGGTGTGGTAGTTAGATCTAGCTTGTTGGATAAAGAGAGATAACTCTATATTCATAATTGACACTTTTACCAAGTAGAGGATACTTATAAATCAGTATTCAAATTTGCTGTTTTTTTCTTTTAGCAAAATCACACTTTGAAGACAAAAATGTTTTGTCTTCACTTATCATTACCAATATATACATGCAGGTTGGTTGTACTGAGAAACTTTATACATGTTATATATTGGAAAATTGTTTATCAATATGTGATAATAAAGTTCTTCTCCTTTGGTTACATGTATGTTGAGGACATTGGAGTAAAAAATGTACCTTGACCTCTACTTGGTTTAAATAACAAATCTGACCAAGTCGTTCACATCTGGGTAATGGTTCTAATTTTCTGGAGGAATTATATTGTCTTTCATGTGTTCCAGTCTCTATCGTAAGGCAATGATTACTTATTCTAAATTTTGACAGCATTATTATCTTTGTTTTCATATTCAGGTATTGTTTAAACTCATGAAACTGGCAAATCTCTATTTTCTTCCAGTATTTAAAAAATCTTCTCTCCATTGCTTTTTTATTAGTGCTTTAAATGGGGGACCTACATTTGAGTGAATTTGAATATGACAAGCATTACATTTGCGCGAATTTACCTGTAATTTACCTGAGTTTTGACCTTGGATTTAATCCAGAGAATGACCTGAATTAAATGTTTTTGTTTTCGGAAAATGAGTTATGTTGTTGGTTGTTGTCTATCATATTTGTTTTTCGTTTATTGTTATAAACATAAATAGGCGATCATACCACATCTTCTTATCTCTTAGAATTGAGAATGGAAATGGGGAATGTGTCAAAGATACAACAACCCGACCAAAGAGCAGAAAACAGCCCAAGGCAACAATGGGTCTTCAACACTCTTGTATTAATAAATATATGATAAAGAAGTCTTTATTTGTTTATATAAACATTAATAAACTGCTTCGCTGAGCGCAGCTGGATACGCCTGCAGAGGTCCAACCCTGAACAGTTGGGGCAAAAATGGACACAATATTCAAGCTTGATACAGGTCTGAATTTGGATTGTAATTAAATATTTGACATATTATAGGTTTCTGAATAAATGTAGTCAAAGAACTTGAAATTGGTTATATGAATTGAATTTATATTCAATTAAAGATTTCTTGCTGTTGTGCAATACACTGTGTTGTTGCGCAATACTTAACAAGAGTGGACACGCTGAAATGTCTCGCCTTCTTTACTAACCATTGATATTATGTTGATAGTCCTAAATGAAAGCTTTACTACAACTATAACATAAACTTAACATGATCCAAGAAAATGAAGTCAAGGTCATATAAACCCAACGAGAAATACATGTATACCTTACAATCATTCAATACACTAAATATAGTTGACCTATTGCTTATAGTTTCTAAGAAACAGACTGAACCATGCCAGGCAGACATGAACAGCTTACAGTCCTTCCATACAACAAATATAGCTGACCTATTGCTTAAAGTTTAAGAAAAACAGACTGAAGCACATAAACTTAACACTGAGCAATGAACCGTGAAAATGAGGTCAAGGTCAAATAAAACCTGCGAGACTGACATGTACATCATAGAATATTTCCATACACCAAATATAGTTGACTTATTGCATATAGTATAAGAAAAAAGACCAAAACTCAAAAACTTAACTTTGACCACTGAACCATGAAAATGAGGTCAAGGTCAGATGACACCTGCCAGCTAAATATGTACACCTTACAATCATTCCATACACCAAATATAGTAGACCTATTGCATACAATATAAGAAAAACAGACCAAAACACAAAAACTTAACTATAACCACTGAACCATGAAAATGAGGTCAAGGTCAGATGACACCTGCCAGTTCGACATGTACACCTTACAGTCCTTCCATACACCGAATATACTAGACCTATTGCTTATAGTATCTGAGATATGGACTTGACCACCAAAACTTAACCTTGTTCACTGATCCATGAAATGAGGTCGAGGTCAAGTGAAAACTGTCTGACAGACATGAGGACCTTGCAAGGTACGCACATACTAAATATAGTTATCCTATTACTTATAATAAGAGAGAATTTAACATTACAAAAAATCTGAACTTTTTTTTCAAGTAGTCACTGAACCATGAAAATGAGGTCAAGGACATTGGACATGTGACTGACGGAAACTTCGTAACATGAGGCATCCATATACAAAGTATGAAGCATCCAGGTCTTCCACCTTCTAAAATATAAAGCTTTTAAGAAGTTAGCTAACGCCGCCGGATCACTATCCCTATGTCGAGCTTTCTGCGACAAAAGTCGCAGGCTCGACAATAAATCTGTTGTCAGACTATAAACAAATAAAGTTCAATTTCTTCTCAATGTCATATTTGAAATTTATGAAAATCAATAGGGAGATTACATCAATAGCTATAAATAATTCATCAAAGTTTCATGAGAACTGCTGAATACATTTTTGAGTTATTGTCCAAAAACTGGAAAATCCCCCCTTTTTTAATGAATAAAACCCCATAACTCAGAAATGTAAAATCTAAAATTTATAAAATTCTAAAGGGAGCTTACATCAACAGGTATAAACAATTCACCAAAGTTTCATGAGAACTGCTGAAAGCATTTTTTAGTTATGGTCTGAAAACTGGAAAATCCCCCCTTTTTTATGTATAAAACCATGTAACTCAGAAACGTTAAATCTAAAATTTATAAAAATCCAAAAGGGAACTCAAGTCAATAGATATAAACAATTCACCAAAATTTCTTGCAAGTTAGTGAAAGCATTTTTGAGTTATTGTCGGAAAACCTGAAAATCCCCCCTTTTTTAATGAATAAAACCCCAAAACTCTTAACGTTAAATCTGAAATTTATAAAAAACAAAAGGGAGCTCACGTCAATAGATATAAACAATTCACCAAAGTTTCATGCATATTGGTTAAAGCTTTTTTGAGTTAATGTCCGACATGTTGATGACGGACGGACAGATGGTCAACGGTATACCATAATACGTCCCTTAAACGGGCGTATAAAAACGAGGAAATGAAGAGCAGTTAAAGCAAAACATGAAGGTGCTGAGCAAAATGAAAGAAGCAGACAGTCTTTTAGGCGGCAACAATCTAACACCAGACACTGTATGCAAAGCCAAGGAAAAGTTATCGGATGGTATGGCTTAAATGAACTATAGGCAAAAGTTGATACGTATTGCTGATTCATCCGAGCTCGGGTGGCATGTCATGCACGAATATGGAAACAATCCACTTGCAGAGGATTCGGAGGATGAAAGGAAATTGTATAAGGCTGAGAACAGAGCAGAAAGAAAGGCGAAGGCTGAAAGACCAAGAAAGCTAGACGAGTCCATCCCTATGTCCAACCAGCAGAAATAGCAGCTATGGCAAGAAAACCAGGCAGATGTTTCTATTGTGTTGTGAAAGGGCACTGGAAACAGGAATGTCCTGAGCTTAAACCGCAAAGAAAAAATGATAAGATAAGTAATCTTAATACTTTCAGTAGGTTTTCATGTAATTTAGAAGTACACGTAGATAATTTATGTGTAAAGGTTGATACAATTAAATCACCAGTCGATAGTCTGAGAAAACACATAAACAAGTGGAAAATCATTCAAGCAAGTGATTACATTTTAAATTAAATGTTATTGACAAAGGTTATATGTTACCGTTAAAAACTTTACATTGGCCTACCACTAATGGTTCCCCTTGAACATCTGGTTCTACTGTCAAGCAGGATATCGGGTCCGTTCGCCTTGAATACATGTTTGCCCTGGGTTCGTTCGAGTATCGAGTCTGTTTGCCCAGGGCGAACAGGTATTAGGGAGAATGAACCCAGGACAAATAGGTATTAGGGCAAACAGGTACTAGGGCAAACATGAACATGAACCTGGATTCGTCAAGCAGTGATACAGGATCTGAGGATACTAGGCTACAGAAATTAACAGAATACAAATTGATGCTGGACAGTCGAGGGTCTAACTTAAATAAGTTATTAGAGAAAAATAACATACATGTCTTTATTGTGGGCTAAAATATCAAAAAACTGTGATAACATATGTATGTTACATGTTTCAAAGAGGCAATATACATCCTTTACTTTGTTAAATTGTATACAAGTTCTATTGGTATTATTATTGTCTTTCTGTATACTAAACTTAAGAAAGATATAACAGTTTATAATTTGCCAATCATGTATAGTACACCTATGTACACCTATGATATTACAGAAAATATATGCCTGTAATAACTAAAGGGTGTTATTACAGCTTTTCTACATCTCTTCAAAGCCATTTCTCAGACATATATCACAATGTATTTTAATTCATTGTAAGAAATAATGATCAGAGCATGTAATGAGGTTCTGCGCAAGCTTCCCAGTAATTCCCAAGTGTCTCATTTTATAAGTTACATGCCTGTAATAACAAAGCTATTACAGCTTTATGTATCCCTTAAAAGCCTAGTCTCATACAACTTATCGATATTCCCGCGTGACCCAAGAATCTGTCCCGCTTGAACTTTTGACGTCATACAACAATCACTTTTCCATTGTGGCGTCAGATATTTTCGATTATGACATCAAAATTTTACGGGAACTTTTGTGATGTCCAATAATGGCGGACAAATAGCGATAAGGGGTATTGATTTACCATGGTTGATCAAAAATGTATTAATTGAATTGGAAAATTAATTATCAAGGTTATGCATTAAGTTTCAGTGCAAAGTTTCAAGAAATCCCAAGAGCCCACTAAAAATAAAAACATATTTTGATATATTAACTAATAACAAACATATGTTACTACAGATTAAGAAATAAAGAGCAGACAACTCATGAAAGTATCTGTAATAACACATGTATGTTATTTTTATCTAATAACTGATTTAAGTTAGACCCTTGACTGCTGGAAGATATTTTGTACATAAATGATTTTTATGTCATACCTGCTGCAATTCTTACACGGAATTCATTGTCATCAAGGTGATCCATGCATTTTCTTTTAATTTCAATTTCAAAATCATCTGAAACGTTTCCGTTTTCCAAAACTGCTTTTGCACCCATAAGACCTCCATGTTTAGATTCCCAAGATAATTCAGTGTTGTTCAATAAATTTGACAGATCGAACTGAAGATTATAAATTCCTTCTTCGTCGAGAGACTGGAGATGAGCGACAAGATTGTGATATCCCCTGTCACGCTCTAATTTTAAAAAACTACACAGTTCTTTCAAGATTGCATTCGACATTTTGTAAACAAAATCGTAAATTTTGAAACAGCCGTTTTCATTGGTTTTTATTCTGTATAATAACTAATCAGAAAAGATCTTTCTTAAAATAACTGCGGAAGTATAGAAAGGTCAAGGTCGATAAATAACAAACCAGCGTGGAAATTAAATTTAGACGGAAAAATGGGAGTACCGGCGTTTTTTCGCTGGTTAAGTAAAAAATATCCATCAATTCTACTCCATTGTGTAGAAGAGAAGGTAACATAAATTTGTAAGCTGGACGCAGTATGTGCAAAACTCTGCCTTTTTTATTTGTTTATAAATTATACGCTGAAATTGTATTGCATTTTTACAGAATAATACAGAATAATTGCATGTTAAATATTGGTTGAACTTATTAAAGGCAAGTGTTATCTGTGAAAGAGGAAACATTTCGTAATATTTTCGAGATACATTTTGGCAATTCGACATTCAGTGTCCAGGAAAGAATGCTCTTTCTTTGCTATTTACAATTAAAACTAAGAACATATTGGAGTTGCCTTTTTCATTTCAGAGCATGCCTTCAAGGCAGCTCTGAATCCTAAACATCCAGACGATATTGGTGTTGGAAGATTATTCCAATCTCGGATGGTCCTTGGAAAGAAAGATTGGCCTTGGGCATCTGTTCTGGTTCTTTCTTTTTAGAAGCGGTTTTTACCTCTGGCTCTGGTCCGGTTATAGATAGGGATTAGATATGCACCTTATCTCTATTTAGTCCAATCCAGAAAAAAACAGTCACTTATACAACTTCCTGTTTGGGTCAAGTCTTGCAAAAACAAAGATCACCAGTAACGAGATAAGGAAGGAAAAAGTTTAGAAAACACACATTTTGAAACTTTGATATATTATGATCCACTTTTTTAAAGTGATAAAAATGCTTTGCTTGAATTGTTTACGATGGTTTAAACATTTCGCTTTGAAAAGTTTTATACATATTACATTGTGTAAACAGGGCCCCAGAGAGCTTCAACTGGATGAAAAAGTTGTGTAATATTAGAACTTATCTGGATTTCAATAAATACATGTATCTATAAGGTGTATTGTTGACAATCTCATAATGTCTATTAGATCATACTGGATCTTGAATAGCATGCTGTTAGTTTTCCTCTGTTCTTCAAGGCGTTTTGACCATATTTGTGACACATCCAGGTGTTCTGTCTGTGTGGTTATTCACTAATCTTGTTGCACTTTTCTGTACCTGTTCTAATATCTTGATCTTATTTTGGTTTGTTGGGTCCCATACTGTGCATGCATATTCCACTGCTGGTCTTACCATGGATACATATATGCAGCTGCCTTTACATGTTTTGTACAGCCTTATAGATTTCTGCCGATAAATCCAAATGTTCTATTTCCTTTGCCAACTGTATTGATAATTTGTTTATTCCAGGTTAGTAGTTTACTGATTGTTACTCCTAGGCATTTGCTGGCTTAAACTGTCTCTAGTGTATGACCGTGGAGTTTGTCACTGGATGGTTTTGCTGTGATATTCTTATAGCAAGACATTTTTTGGCGATGAAACTCATTTGCCATTTATTTTCCCAATCTTCTAATGATGTTAAGTATTTCTGAGGAAGGTTACTGTCTGCCTGCTTGGTGATAGTTCGAAAGAGTAGGCTGTCATCTGCAAATAATTTGGTCTCTGATGTAGTTGTTGTTTCTGGCATGTCAGCCTGAAAAATTGCCAGTCCAACAGGAATTTTGCCAGCATCTGACAATCCTTCAAAATGATTGCATTGTCACTGCCCATCCCAGTAAGTGTAAAATATGACAATTCAAAAGTTGTTTTAAATATTACTTATTAAATAGAAGCAGCAGAATGTAGATAAATATATAACTGAACTAGTAAAATCTGACATGTCAGCAAGGGCCCTGCTTGCGCATTTTTATGTGAGGCAAAGAGACTGATGCATACAAAGCATACATTTATGTTCATAAAGATTTTAATTTTCATAAATTTTGACAGGCAATTAATTCAGGATGTATTCTCGGGTTAATATGTGGTGGGCATTTTCAAAATTGTGGGCAACCAATAATTTTGACACAGAGTGCAAACGCAAAAAATCCAAAAGAATAGGTACATTGTAGGAGGGCAAATGAAATTTTGCACAGTTGTTGTGCATAACATGTAACATGCATTAAAAATTTACTCTATCCCATGGCAAATACTCTATTACCCTTCAAGGAGACACTTGATCAAGAATGCGCTTTTATTAAATATGGATGGTTGGTGTGTACAAGACGTCATAGTTTATTACTTTGAATTTGAAATTTAATAGACAGTAATAACAGAACATTCAGCAGGGCTCAAGCTAGCAGGCGACTGGGGTAACAAAGTCGATTTCCCGTCTGTCAAAAGCGAAATCTAGTCGCCCTGTTGTTCAAGATACTCGCTTTCAGTCACTTTCGTCATCTGCAATATTCAACATTTACCAAGTCGATGAAACAGCAATTTTTCATTTGAAAGTAAAGAAATTCAAAGACATAAACAATTTATTTTCTTTAGAAAAGAGGTTAAAGCATTGATTTTAAAGTTGGTTGCATGTTGTTTTTATAAAGACAATTTTTTTATCACTTCTGGTACTTGTTATTTGAGAGCGTACATCAAATCATTCTAACTTTCAGCAAAATAAGCTTGTTAATTCATTAGAACGTGATGAAATTTGCCTGAAGTAAATTTGTTATCCTTATATTGCATTAAAAACGTCATATTCCCTTCCAATTAGCGTGTCAAACATCGTTTATTTTTGTAAATTTTCTTCGTCCGCCATTGAAATTTTTGGGCAAATTATTGTACAACTACAGATCAGAGTCGGGATTTAATCGGAAACGGACCAGCTATGACAGAAATTCTGGATTCTTGCGATAATGACTACGGACACATGAATGGCACAGCTGACAGAAGAAAATTGATCCCAAAAGGAAAAATTAGGCATTCCACAAGCATTAACATACTTTTGGTTAGATCTACTTGATTGATGTATATATTTCTATGTATATGCATTGTTTCAATTTATAAATTAAAGTTGCTCAACTCTGGGACTATAACACTAATATAATTATATTATGTCCAAGCTTAACTGTGTTAAATAAAACTGTTAAATTTAAATATATTTTTAATGAGAAATACTTAATTTCATAAACATGATAACAGAGTAGTTTTTAATTGAATTTTAATTGATATAACAACTTTCTTTTCCTTTTTGATATTAAAAAAAATCTTTTTTATTATTGCCAGATATTTAATTGTTTTTTCTGACGAGAGGACTAATATGATTGTGCAACTTGATATGATAAAATTAAATGAATTTGAACTGTTACTTTAATTGTATACCCAGGTACAAATTGAACAATATAAAAAAATAAGATACATATGGCTCTTTGTATTATAGTAAAAACCAAACATTGTAGCGAGCGAACAAGTACTTCTCATTCAAATCTCACCACTTCTCTTTCAAATCTCACCACTTCTCCCTCTCAGTTTCAAAAAGAGAAGTCACTTCTCCCTATGATTCTGAAGTAGTGTGAGTCCTGATTCAGTATAATAAATTAATTAACACATATCTTAGAGGGTGATAGAGCAGATTGTTACCCCTCGAAAAAACATTGTCAACCTTGGCTTTGCCTCAGTTGACAATGTTTTCTCGTGGTAACAATATGCTCTATCACCCTCTCAGCTATGTGTTATTTATATACTAATCCACCAGAGACCAAATGACATGGACTTAAGCAACTATTTTTGTTGATTTTTACAGATTTTCTGTTGCCAAGACCATTATACAAAAATTGTTTAATTTTTATCATAAAGTTTGGCAAATTTTACTAGGAATATTTATTTTAAATGATCTCAAACTGGGTTGTCAAAAACCTAGGGTGTATGAGTATTGCATGGACCAGTGGGACCTTGGTCATGTACATTGTTAAGCCTAAACCTTGCAATTGGCTAGTTAATCTTGTAACTTAAATTCTATTCTAACATGTGAAATAACTAAACAGTTATTTTTTTATTATTATTATTGAAGCCAAAGGAAGTTGGAGATGAAACAATTCCTGTGGACACAAGTCAACCTAATCCCAATGATTATGAATTTGACAATTTGTACCTGGATATGAATGGTATTATCCATCCATGCTGTCACCCAGAGGACAAGTAAGTACATTTTAACATTTCAAAAACTATATATATACATGTTGCAGTGGGCTGTGTAAGAGAATGCATATTTAGAATTTATTAACTGTATAATATTAGTTATCTTGGTGTAATTAGGGGGGAACAGATATTTGCCACAATTTTATTCCTGTCTGAACAAGGGTGGGTGTTATTTACACCATGATAAATAACCAATCAGATTGCAGGATTCTTGCTGCATAAGAAATAAAAAAAAATATATATCAGATTAAGTTATGAATAAAAGGAGATATAGGGGAAAAGTAAATGAGACAGTAACCCAAAGACACAAAAAACCATTACAGATTTATAACAATCATCACAGCATACAAAAATTATGAACATTTCCCAATGTGAAAAAATCCATCTCATTTAAAGTTACTGATCATTGTTCATTTGTTATAAAAATATTTATAGCATACACCTGTGTAATGTAAATTTACATTATAGCACAGTCAGTAAGATTTTATATTATCATGAATGTAACAAGGGAATACTAATCACTACAAAATACACAAATGTACCATGTTCAATTGGTATATTATTTTTATACCCCAGGCAACGAGTTGCGGAGGGTATAATGTTTTTGTCCTGTCCGTCCGTCAGTCCTGTTTCTTGTCATCGCAACTCCTCTCAAACCACACAACAGAATTTCATGAAACCTTTTCAGATAATAAGGACATACTATGTAGATGTGCATATCAACAGGAAATTACGATTCAATTTTTTTTCTAGTAGTTACGCCCCTTTGAACTTATTTGCTTCAATATACTACTGCAACAGTTTGTCATCGCAACTCCTCTGAAACCAGACTACAGAATTTCATGAAACCTTTTTAGATAATAAGGACATACTATGCAGATGTGCATATATTGACAGGAAATTATGATTCAATTTTTTTCTAGGAGTTACGCCCCTTTGAACTTATTTGCTTCATTATACTACTGCAACAGTTTGTCATCGCAACTCCTCTGAAACCACACAACAGAATTTCATGAAACATTTTTAGATAATAAGGACAAACTATGTAGATGTGCATATCGACAGGAAATTACGATTCAAATTTTTTTCTAGGAGTTATGCCCCTTTGAACTTATTTGCTTCATTATACTACTGCAACAGTTTGTCATCGCAACTCCTCTGAAACCACACAACAGAATTTCATGAAACCTTTTTAGTTAATAAGGACATACTATGCAGATGTGCATATCGACAGGAAATTACGATTCAATTTTTTTTCTAGGAGTTATGCCCCTTTGAACTTATTTGCTTCAATAAACTACTGCAACAGTTTGTCATCGCAACTCCTCCGAAACCACACAACAGAATTTCATGAAACTTTGTAGATAATAAGGACATACTACGTAGATGTGCATATCGACAGGAAATTATGATTCAATTTGTTTTCTTATGCAATTTTTTTATCTTACTGTTATTTTATTTCTCCAGTGACAATGTGGGGACGTGGGGTATGTGAGCGTGCTCACTAAGGTTCTTTAATAAGAAAAAGAACATAGACTGAACATATATCAATATGGCTCTCTTTTTCAGACCAGCCCCAAAGAATGAGAATGAAATGATGGTTCTGATTTTTGAATACATTGATAGAATATTCTCCATTGTAAGACCTAGGAAGGTGTTATATATGGCAATAGATGGAGTTGTAAGTTAAAATAGTTCAGTTTATAAATGGTTACCTTTTCTCATAATTTCAGTAATACTTTAGTTATAGATTGATTATTTCAATTGATCCTTTTATTAGCTCACCTGACCCGAAGGGTCAAGTGAGCTTTTCTCATCACTTGGCGTCCGTCGTCCGTCGTCGTTAGCTTTTTACAAAAATCTTCTCCTCTGAAACCACTGGGCCAAATTTAACCAAACTTGGCCACAATCATCATTAGGGTATCTAGTTTTAAAAATGTGTCCGATGACCCCGCCAACCAACCAAGATGGCTGCCATGGCTAAAAATAGAACATAGGGGTAAAATGTAGATTTTGGCTTATATCTCTGAAACCAAAGCATTTAGAGTAAATCTGACATAGGGTAAAACTGATTATCAGGTCAAGATCTATCTGCCCTGAAATTTTCAGACAAATCTGACAACCTGTTGTTGGGTTGCTGCCCCCGAATTGGTAATTTTAAGGAAATTTTGCAGTTTTTGGTTATTATCTTGAATATTATTATAGATAGAGATAAATTGTAAACAGCAATAATGTTCAGCGAAGTAAGATCTACAAATAAGTTGTCATGACCAAAATTGTCAGTCGACCCCTTTAGGAGTTATTGCCCTTAATAGTCAATTTTTAACAATTTTTCGTAAATTTTTGTAATCTTTTACAAAAATCTTCTTCTCTGAAACTACTGATACAAATTTAACCATACTTGGCCATAATCATTATTAGGGTATCTAGTTTAAAAAATTTGTCCGATGACCCCGCCTTCCAACCATCATGGCCAACTTAGTTAAAAATAGAACATAGGGGTAAAATGCAGTTTTTGGTTCATATCTCTGAAACTAAAGCATTTAGAGCAAATCTGACAGGTGGCAAAAATGTTCATCAGATTTAAATTTATCTGCCCTGAAATTTTCAGACAAATCCGACGACCCGTTGTTGGGTTGCTGCCCCTGAGTTAGTAATTTTACAAAATTTTGCAGTTTTTTGTTATTATTTTAGATATCATTATAATATCTAATATCTAATACTATTAATTATGATTTTAACCTTATTTTACATTATTTCCAAAGCATCAGTAAATACAGGTGAGCGACACAGGCTCTTGAGAGCCTCTAGTTTAAAAGATTATGGGTTTTGCTCATTGTTGAAGGCTGTACTGTAACCTATAGTTGTTAACTTTCTATAACATTTGGTCTCTAGTGGAGAGTTATCTCATTGGCAATCATACCACAACTTCAGTTCTTATTTTTATATCTATACATGTACTTTATCCAAAATAATGATGATCCTCCAAAGCCCAATATTTGATACAAATATAAAAATAAGAAGATGTACCAGATAACGTAGAAGTTAACAGCTAAAGGTCATCATACAATGAGCAAAACCCATACCGCATATCAGAGTAATATAGTAATGATATACCGACATAAGAGGTCTATAAACACAGTAGCTCCAAATGCATGAAATGGAACTTGTTCTTGGAAGCCATACATGTATATATTATGTGAATCAGCGGGAAAAAATATGTAGCAAATAAAATATAGGATATTCCAAAACACATAATTAACAGCACCTGGTGATGATTCATAGCCTGATCGGTTTTGGTCCTTCGCAGACCTTTTTCGGAGGCGAATAATGGATAAATAGTTGCACCGTATTTATATAGATCCAGTATCCGGCGGATAACAGTTATTCTGTATCCCCCAGATATCTTTACAGGTCTAATTCTACTTTAAGTTTAAATCCAGTTGAATTTTCCTTAGTTAAGTTAAACTGATTTACATGTTACGATAAACATTTAACCTAATGCATAGTAAGCTATAAAAGGCCCTGAAATAACAAATGTAAAACAATTCAAACGTGAAAAATTAACGACCTGATTTATGTATTAAAAGAAAAACAAATATCATATACAGCAACAAACAACAACCACTGAATTACAGGCTTCTGACATGGGACAGGTGTATACAGAATGTAGCAGAGTTAAACATGTTTGCTGGCGCCAAACTCTCCCCGAACTAGTTCGACCAATAATGAATAAAAAGTTTTTATAATTAAGAAGTTAAGATTTGATGTTATGTCACTTCAGGCACCTAGAGCTAAGATGAATCAGCAAAGATCTAGAAGATTTAGAGCTTCCAAAGAAACCACGGAAAAGATAGAAGAAATGGCAAGATTGAGGGGTGAACTTACTCAGAAAGGTTATGAATTACCACCAGAGAAGGAAAAAGGAGAACATTTTGACAGTAACTGTATAACACCTGTAAGGGATGTTACTTATTTCAAATACTTAAAAAAAAAATTATGAAATGATATTCTTAAGTCTAATTGTTATTTTGTTTTCAGGATGTCTTAAAGTCGCATTCTTCATCAGCTGGCCTTCTTTTTAAAACAGTTGTATGTGTTAACATCATTTTAATCTGAAGACCTTTTATTTGATGATTTAAAAAAGTTACTGATTTCATGAACCTACAAAATGAAGTGCAATTGGTATAAAAGTTTGAAACACATTGAATTTTACTCCGTTAAAAAGGTGGATTTTGGTAAGGACCATTCTATCAAAATAAATGTGGGAGGGTAGAAAGGGAAATTTGATTTTTAAAAAATGGATTGTGGTTCATTAAGGTCGTTTGTCCATTTGATATTTACAAAAATTACTTAAAGGTTGGTTGTTGAAGGATTTTGGATGTCTCCCCTCATCCTCCCACATTCATATAGTAGAATAGACCTTTAATTAGACAATAATAAGACATTAAACATCAAACAATTCAAATTTAAAAACTAATGAAAGAGTAGATTGTATTGAAGCAGTATTCAGAATATTGGGATTCAGACCTCCAACAATGAAAATTAAGACTGCAACCAATAGCAAGATTGCATGTTTGTGATGTCAGATGACAATTGTTTCTTCAAAAAAATTTTTTTTTTATATTTCTAGTGAAATATAGAGTTGTTAATGATTAAATATTTATTATAGGGAACACCATTTATGTTCAGATTAGCAGACTGTTTGAGATATTACATTCATGACAGAATCAATAGTGATCCAGGATGGCAAAATATTAAAGTTATATTATCTGATGCTAATGTACCTGGAGAAGGGGAACATAAAATTATGGACTATATAAGAAGACAGAGAGGTAAACAATAAATGTATTGTTACACATTTCAAACAATGAAAAAAACAACTTTGTATAAAGTCATTACACATAATAATAATATACTACATTATAAAAAAATGAATTCGATTGACTTGGACATAAAAAGGAATAATTATACTATGTACACTTCACTCTTATGTAATATGATAAATTTGAGAAACAGAAAAAATCTATCGAGTGAATGTGTATGACACTTACATGCCATACTAGAAGATATTCAGTATATCAAAGGCACTGTGTTTTGTTTTAATCTTAACTGAGCTGAAAGGTCTTACCAAATAAAGTAAAGAGCTTGACACAATGTGAATCTTTTGTTTATTCATTTTCTGCTCTCACTCTACAAAAAGATTCATATTGTGACTCACTGCTGATATTTAACGAAATCAGTGAGCAAAAAACCTGATAATCTAAACATTTTAAAAACTGCTCACTTGTTAACTTGAGGCAACAATGCTAATGTATAAATTTGTATATTACAGATCAACCAGACCATGATCCAAACACAAAACATTGTTTGAATGGTGCTGATGGTAAGTAAATGTTCAATTAGAAGTAAGATGGAGATAACATCAGAATGCATATATTCCTGTCAACATCTGAAAATGAGATAAACTGAAATAAATGTAAAATCATGTTGTAGATGTAAAATTGTGTCCTAACTTTTTAAGAACTTCATTGGTCAATTAAATCCACATGATAATCAAAGCAAATCTGATGACACATAACAAAAAAACATTGCAACATGTATTAACGTTCTAACTACACACAAACTTAAGAAATCCAAAAAATAGCATCTTCCATGTTGGAGATTAACAATCTAACTGATGGTAGCTTAAGTGAATGTATTAGCTAGTCCTTCAATACCAGATATGCCAACACACAAACTCTAACTTCTTACGTTTTTAAGTCTATTTATTTGTTTCAATCTGATGTCTGATAAATAATCAATTATCTACAAGCCTGTAAAGATATAATAATTGACAGGTAAAGAACACAGGAACCAGGAAGGACCCCAAATTCCAGTACAGGTTATCACTTTGATGAAAATCACAGTAAATTTATACCTAACAGACAGTTCACTATTATTTATTTCTCCTTCTTCTTTAGCATTAGTTAATCTGATTTATTAGTATGCATATGCATATTAATATTTATCTGATTCTCAACAAGATACAATTTGAATAACAGAAAACTGCATTAAGAATATTATGGTATTTTTTTAAAACTGACTTGAACAAATTGCTTGCTTATATTGGGTTACTATTCAGTGATATTGTTTGCCTCAAATTACCTCTGAAATTTGGCTCTTCCCCTAGAGAAAATTCCCAATCACTAAAAAAAATGGCATAAAATTCCTCATAATAAGTTGTACATTTTTCCCAAACGGTGATGGCATCGGTAGTAATGTAAGTAAATTTCGTATTCATGTTATTATTTTGATATTATGAAAGCGCTTTTGAGATCCGGGTTTCTGATTAGAATCATCGCGGTGTTTGTAACACACTTGGTTTTCAATGTATTAAGTACTGTCATTTGTTCCGTTTCTTTCCCCTCCCCAAAAAGTTCTTTTCCGGTTGAAAATGTCTCACAATTCAAAATATTACGTGAAAAAGCTTCCCAATTTCAAAAAAAAAAGGGTAGAGGTAGTTTTTAAAAAAGACAACAATATCACTGCTATTATTCTTTTGTACACATTATGTTTCTTTAATTAAGTATGAAAAAGGTGTAAGATTAAAACTCAAAATAATCTTTAATTTTCTTTTTTTCAGCTGATCTGATTATGTTGGGTAAGTATTTACACAATACTAACTTTAGTAAAACATACCTTGTCAGTAGTTGTTTTTGTCATATGTTGATGTTATTGGTTATTTAGAGAATTGGGTGATGATGACAGATCTTAGATTGTTTCTGAGTAATTTATTTATCACTTTTATAGACTCGTGACAAATTAAAGCTTGACATATAGTAAAGACCCTGTCTATTGTTGAAGACAGTTTGTTGCCCTCTCAATGTCTTTGAGATATTTTTGTTATTGGGTTGCTTTTTAATTGATGTATATCCCACATCTCCTTTTTGTCGAGCCTTCGACTTTAGTCGAAAAAGCGAGACATAGCGATCCTACATTCTGTCGGCGTCGTCGGCGGCGGCGTCCACAATTATTCACTCTGTGGTTAAAGTTTTTTAAATTTTAATAACTTTCTTAAACTATCCTGGATTTCTACCAAACTTGGACAGAAGCTTGTTTATGATCATAAGATAGTATCCAGAAGTAAATTTGTTAAAAATAAAATTCCTGTTTTTCCGTATTTTACTTGTAAATGGACTTAGTTTTTCTGCCAGGAAACATTACATTCACTCTGTGGTTAAAGTTTTTTTAAATTTTAATAACTTTCTTAAACTATCCTGGATTTGTATCAAACTTGGACGGAAGCTTGTTTATGATCATAAGATAGTATCCAGAAGTAAATTTGTTAAAAATAAAATTCCTGTTTTTCCGTATTTTACTTGTAAATGGACTTAGTTTTTCTGCCAGGAAACAATACATTCACTCTGTGGTTAAAGTTTTTAAGATTTTAATAACTTTCTTAAACTATCCTGGATTTCTAATAACTTTCTTAAACTATCCTGGATTTGTACCAAATTTGGACAGAAGCTTGTTTATGATCAAAAGCTAGTATCTAGAAGGAAATTTTGTTAAAATTTGTACCTGTTTATCCGTATTTTACTTATAAATGGACTTAGTTTTTCTTCCAGTTAACATTAAATACAGTCTGCAGTTAAAGTTTTTAAAACATTTATTAGATTCATAAACTATCCTGGATTTATACCAAACTTTGACAGAAGCTTCTTACAATCAAAAGATAGTATCTAAAGGAATATTTTTATTGATTTTTCTCCTCATTTTTGTTGAGCCTGCGATTAACAGCAAAAGTAGGCGAGACACTGGGTTCCACGGAACCCTTACAAATTTTATTCACAATGATTCTTTGAAATAAATTTTATGATTAGCTTTCATGTTTCGATATTTTAATTTGTTGTCACTCTAGACAGTTGTCTTAAGTTTCTTAAGCAAATAAAATAATATCAAAAAATCTCTACCTATATGCATGTACACTGTTTTGACATTTGACATGTAATCTCAGGTTTAGCTACACATGAGCCTCACTTCACCATTATCAGAGAAGAATTCAAACCAAACAAACCAAGAAGTTGTGATTTATGTGGTCAGATGGGCCATGAAATGAAAGAATGTACAGGTTTACCTAAAGAAAAAATTGGAGAGGTATGTCATTTGTCTTATTGATTGCTGTTAATAATTTAACTGCTATTTTGATGATAATGGACTACTTTTGGATAACTCAACAAGTCTTGTATTTATAAATGACAAAATATTTTGTCTATACACCCTATTGCAAGTGATTTCTCTTTCATATTATTTTTTAGTACAATATCTAATATATTTTGAGTGAAAACATATGGAAATGAACTTCCAAGTCAGTGCCACGGTTATTTAAAAACAGTCAATCACAGTCAATAGATATTATAATAGGTTCTTTTTCTACTGCACTTTGCAGGCCTTTATATATAAGTTTAATTATGCAAAAGGGGAAGTGTAACCTATGTCAATTGCTGTCTATTGTAACTTTTAAACTTGAAAAAATATATTTTGCTCTGAAACATCAGTGTTAGGGCTATTCCATTAAAATGTATGTGTGAGGGTAGGAAGGGAAGTTTAATTATTGAATGTGGATCATGGGTCTTTTTTCAGTATGTGTCTATTACCATTATGCAAAATAATCTAAAAAATGGTTCTTGGTTGTAGGGACATTTTGAAAGTCCCTTCCTACCCTCCCACATACATTTTAATGGAATAGACCTTATCTGAAACCAAACTTGGAGTCAATTGTCCACAATTTTTTCAAATTTTCCCAAACCCCGGAACTAAGTAATTTTCAGCAAAATTTATGAAAGATGGGCATGGTGGTACAAGTTTTGTGTAATCAACTTCTACTACAGTTTTCAACCCACATATGTTCAAGTTGTGCACCTATCTATTATGGAATTATTTTCCTATTTTCATAAACTTTGGAATTTAGTCATTAACCATCAAAATTTACAAAAGACTGCACCAATTTTGTGTTATCAACTCCCCATCAGTTTCAATCCATATCTTTAAAACTTAAAAGAATGATTGCACTTATATCAAAGTTGTGTTTTGATGTTATAGAAGAAATAAAATATTTTTACTGTGGTGTGCAAACTAAGTTTTGATCTGACAAATAATTTCAGTTTTTGTATTTGATTCCAGCATGATGAAGGACCAGTGATGTTTGACTCAGAACAACAGTTTATATTTTTAAGATTAAATATATTAAGAGAGTATCTAGAAAGAGAGCTACTGATGACCAACCTTCCATTTAAATATGATTTTGAGGTAAATATTAATACTAGACCATGTTTGAAATCATTTGAATCTGCCTACCAGAAAGTAACAAAAGAAAAAAGTATAGCCTTTTTAGTTTGTATCAGTCCTGTGGGACAAAAAGGACATCAAGCATATCAGAAAAATTAGTTATGACTGGTTTTTGCTTCAAGACATTATTTAACAACTAATTTAAGGCTAACTGACAAGCTTGTATTTTAAACACTGATAGAAAAAAAGTACAGATAACCTGATATGTTAGATTCAAATCTGGAAAATGAATAAATTTTATATGCTGCATTTGCTGAGGGGTATTTAAAAAAAACATAAGGTGCCCATATACAATGGATTATAAACATGCTGCAATATTTTGTAATGAAGACAGTAGCTTTTGACCTGATTGAGGTCAGAAATAAGTGCTGGTATGAACTCTTAACAATTTTTGCGAAAAACATGAAATGAATTCAGACTCAATAGTATTTTTAGTAATATTGTATTGGTCTCTTAATATTTTTAGAGATGTTTAGATGATTGGTTTTTATGTGTGGTGTTTTTTTTCAGAGATCTTTAGATGATTGGGTTTTTATGTGTTTTTTTGTGGGTAATGATTTCCTTCCTCATTTGCCATCATTAGAAATCAGGTGAGTACCACTTACTTTAGGCCTTCATTAGAAATTCATTGATGCTTTTGTTAGAAGTCAGGTGGGTTTTCTTTCAGCAGATATATACTTTATAGAAATTTTTTATACATTCAAGATGTGCAATCCACTTTGTATAAAAATATGAAGATGTGGCATGATTTGCCAATGATTATGACTATCCACCAGAGACCAAAGGACAAAGGTATAAACAGCTACTGATCATTGTATGGCCTTCAACAATGAGTAAAACACATACCGTATAGTAAGCTATAAAAGTTCCTCTGCCTGAAAAAATTTGAAACAATTTATATGAGAAAATCAAAGATTTATGCTAAAAGCAATAATGGCAGACATCAACCAATGACAACAATTGGATTACAGGCTCCTAAAATGGGACAGGCATATATATACACATTTAGATAATTTTTGCAAGCTTTTAAGAAGCTGAAACATAGTCAATTTTCAGAACCATTTATCAAAATGGTACCCATTTTGTGCAATCAATTTTTCCTACAGTGTTCCACTCAGTGGCTATAATTTTCATCAGTACTTTGGATGGAGGAACCCATTTGTTTTTTGTTGATTTTTGTTAAATGATTTTGTCTGTTTCAGCTAATGTCATCTCCTGGGAAGCTAGTTTAGCGTAGCTTTGGTAATTTATATATCACCTTTACTTAAAGAAATCAGATAGATGCTCTCTTAAGGATATCAAATTCAAGTATTGCAGCAACCTGGACATTTGCATATTTGACCCATATTTTAAACAAATACAAATTTATAAGACATATAACCTATTCATATTCTTTTTTTGAATATTTTATGATAATAAACAAATTTCAGGGTGATTTTCTATATCTTTTTTTGCTATCTTTTTACAGGGAAAATGCAATTGACAGACTTATAAAATTATACAAAAATTGTGTAAGAAGAACTGGGGTAAGTGTTTAGATTTATCCAAATTACCGCTTTACTGCTCATAGTAACAGGGTTTTAAGCATTTTCTCCCTTCACCTTTCTCAACATTAAATTTTGGAACAGCAGGCAAGAAAAAAAATGTTGACCTTGAAATGAATAGAATTTAGTTGCAGATATTTCAAATTATTGCAGATTTGATTTAGACGCAGCTTTTTTCAAATTATTGCATAAATTGATTCAGACTCAATTCTTACAAACACATCAATTTATTTTTAATGAGGTTTTATTAGAACAGAAAGAAGATTTTCCTTATAGAATCATATTCTAATAACGAATGCTGTGTGTGCTTTAATAATTCTATTGCTGTTTGTGCTTTAATAATTTTATTTAGTAAATGAATTGGGCTAAGATGGTTATTAGCTATGGACTATTAAGAATTATTGGTATACCTCTGCATTATTTAAAGTTCAAGATAGATGAAATAATGTAAATTCAAAAAGTAGTAAATTTAATTTTTTGAGTCACTTTATTTTAGGGGTATTTGACAGATAGCGGAGTAGTAAACTTAAGTCGTGTACAGATAATAATGCAAGGTAAGATTAACTTTAATATCTGCATCTAGTACTTATTTTAGTTTAAAGGGATATAAATTGAAATATGTCAAAAATGTACATGATTCCTCAGCGCATTCAATTACAAAGAATTTTTTTTCGCTGAGAGTGATGTTTTTTTTTTTTAGTTCAACCACACCAGATGACTTTCAAAAAAAATTTTGGATACACTCTGACAAATTTTGAGCAAATGAAGTCAATAAATATTGTTTTACCAGCTTACCCAGAATTTGTTTATATATGTATGATACATGGTTCTCTTTATTTCATAGCAAGATCCAATAATACTTGATTTAGTGGACTTCTCAATATAATTATTTTCATTGGATCACATGAATTTCTCGATGTGTACAAAACATAGTAAAAAAATCTGGTAAAAAGCAGAAATTTATTTTTCATCTACTTTATACAGTTATGGCATGTAGAAAAGGTGAATATCCAAAATTATCAACCCTAAAAGATTATTTCCCTTAGAATGCAGCTTGAAGTGAAATAACTTTTTAGGGTTAACAGTTTAGGATATTCACCACTAAGTGACCACAACTGTTTTATTATACCGAACTAACAGGAAAAGGATTTTTCTAACCAATGGAGAAGTTTTAAATGCCCATGCCTTTTTTTTACATAACAAAATGTCAAAACGCTTACTTCAGAGAATTATTACAACAAAGGAAGACTCTCTGTAAACAATTGATGACCCCAAAAAATGGCCGTTTGTGAAGGCTATCTTAGATTTATTTCCAAACCTTGTTTCCTCATTACTCAATGGACTTCTAACCTAGCCATTGCCATTTTTTAGCTCACCGGGGCCCGAAGGGCCCCATGTGAGCTTATGCCATCACTTGGCGTCCGTCGTCTGTTGTCTGTTGTCATAAACTATTTCAAAAATCTTCTCCTCTGAAACTACTGGGCCAAATACCTTCAAACTTTAACTAAATGTTCCTTAGGGTATCTAGTTTATAAATTGTATCCAAAGTTTTGATCCATCGACAAACATGGCCGCCATGGCTAAAAATTGAACATAGGGGTCAAATGCAGTTTTTGGCTTATATCTCAAATACTAAAGCTTTTAGAGAAATCTGACATTGGGTAAAATTGTTCAGTTGGTCAAGATCTATCAGCTCTGAAATTTTCAGACGAATCAAACAACCCATTGTTGGGTTGCTGGCACCGAATTGGTAGTTTTAACAAAATTTTGCAGTTTTTTGTTATTATTTTGAATATTATTATAGATATATATATAAACTGTAAGCAGCAATAATGTTCAGCAAAGTAAGATCTACAAAAAAGTTAATATGACCATAATTGTCAATTGACCCCTTAAGGAGTTATTGCCCTTTAAAGACAATTTTACACAATTTGTTCATCAAGTTCGCTAACATTTAAAAATCTTCTCCTCTGAAACTACTAGGCCAATTACCCTCAACTTTTAACTAAATGTTCCTTAGGGTATCTTGTTTATAAATTGTATCCGAAGTTCCATTGACAAACATGGCCGCCATGGCTAAAAATAGAACATAAGGGTCAAATGCAGTTTTAGGCTTATATCTCAAAAACTAAATCTTTTAGAGCAAATGTGACATGGGGTAAAATTGTTCAGTTGGTCAAGATCTATCAGCTCTGAAATTTTGGGATGAATCGAACAACCCATTGTTGGGTTACTGCCTACGAATTGGTATCTTTAACAAAATTTTGAAGTTTTTTGTTATTATTTTGAATAATATAATAGATATATATAAACTGTAAGAAGCAATAATGTTCAGCAAAGTAAGATCTACAAAAAAGTTAATATGACCAAAATTGTCAATTGACCCCTTAAGGAGTTATTGCCCTTTAAAGACAATTTTACACAATTTGTTCATCAAGTTTGCTAACATTTAAAAATCTTCTCCTCTGAAATGCAGGTGAGCGATTCAGGCTCCTGAGAGCCTCTTGTTTGTTTACATGCGCCAATGACATCATTTTGATGGGAGATAACTTGAATGGTTAAAAAGGTTGTTCACCAGTGAATAATATGATTATTCATTATACATTGTTAATGTTGATGGTTATTCTTCATTCCTCACATTAAAATGACTATACCCAATTCAAGTCACATGATAATGTTTTACACAATAGAATTCTGCATTATATATTTATGGTATAATAATATATGATGTACTATATTTAAGTCAAAAATGTATGTTTATTTTTGTTTTTCAATACTGAAATATATTTTCAGAGCTTGGTGAGGTAGAAGATGAAATTTTCAAGAAAAGAAGAAATAATGAGGTAACTCCAACCTTTTATACACTGGAATTATATTAACATCATTAGTTGCAAAAGTGTCTAAAATAGAACAACAGAAAGAGCAAAATGTTTTGATTAAGAGGTTTGATAGTTTTATTTGACAGATAATATGTCCCTTGGTTGGTGTATTTATTCATGCATTGTAAACAGTTGAATGACCTATTTGGACAGAACATGAGTGATCCAAAACCTGGTCTTTTTTTATATTTTCAGTTAGAATTCCAGCGCAGAAATAAAGAAAGGAAAGCAAGAGAAAAAAGAGTATGTAGTATACGTTTCTATAAATGCACACATTATAGATTAGATTTATAAATGAAGTTGATAATTAATTTCTGACTAGTAAGAAATATTCTGAAAAAGGTTGAAAATGAAAACAAATGTCTTTAAATGAAGACTAGAACCAGTATAAAAAATCTTGTTGATGACCTTGAATCAAATTCACAAAGTTTTTAAATTTATCAAATAATATCCTTCAGATGTTCTTTTCTGACATAAGATTGTCAGTTATCAGTAATAATTCCTTTAAATTTTGCTTCAAGCTTTCCAACTTCTGGCATTTAAGGAAAAACCAAAATAGTAGTTAAAATTGTCATTTAGAAACAGTATTTTCTCCACAAATAGCATCCTAGTAAACAAGGAATTTTTTATATACATGTACTATCTTGTTTTTAGAAATTATAGCATCACATTACCATAATGCAATTGATAATAAGATATTAGAAATAGCTGTACCCTAAAATTATTTTCATCAAGATGTTGTACACAAACATTTTGATACAAGTCAAATAATATTTTCGGTAGAAACAACAATACTCACTATTTCACTGTAACATATAAAAAAAGGAAAATGAGATTGTTTATTTGAGTTGAAAGATTTGAAAATCATTGATGCTAAAAGAAGAAATTTTATTTCAGTTTTCTCAAGGGCCTCGCTGGACACCAGGTGGACAGTTTGCTCCACAGGCATTAGGCCAGTCCCATAGCTCATCAGGTGTATCCAATCCAAGACAAGAGGCCTTCAAGGGTCGTGTGGATGCCATGCAGTCAATGATGGTATATTCAGGTCATGTACTAGTACATGGCTTTGGAGAACTTATATAATGGGAGAAAGCATTATGAGTCATGCAAAGACTGAAATTTCAAAAGTTTGAAACCCAATTTCTATGTCATTTTTATATATTATTGAAAGCCTTTTTTATGATTTCTTAATATAAAAAAAACTTTATAATTGTATTTAGAATGAATTATAACCAAGAAAAGTTATTAAATTTAAATAAATGTATAGCAAATATTTTTGTATAGAGCAAATGCAGATATTGGCATAAATAAATTTGGATTTTACAGACAAAAGACGAGCCAGGTAAAGGTACAAAGAGGAGTGCTCCTGACAGTGATGATACAGAGAAAGAGAAAGAAGAAGATGAGGAGAAAGAACCAGAGGATGAGGTCAAGTAAGTACACATGAAATCTATGTATTTTAAAAAAGAGTGGCTTTTTTTTTTATTGTTTAAATAAATTACATGTGATGGAATATTTGTAAAAAAAAAGTTTAAATTTAAAGTAATTAGATGGTCTAGAAATTGTTGTGATTTAGCCAATGTTTAGATTTATGTATATATTTTAAAATTTCAAATAAATTTGTTAGGATTTTTCAATTGTACCAAGTGGATACAGATGAAATTGCAACCATTTTACTTGATTATATCATTACTTTTGATTGTCATCTAGGCAACATCTATTTCTTTTATAGTCCTTACGTGAACTTGGGATTTCTATTTATAGACCACTATTTAGATTGTTCAACATTTGTGTACACTGGCCATCATTTATATACAAATTGCTGTATCTGTTCAATTCTGGATTACAGATACTAGCCATGTACCCACCAACAATACAACAAACTGCTATGTACCAATATATAGAATATAACAAAAGATCTAACAAATGTGTTAAACCAGGAAATAATTGCAACAGATTCATTCTTTGTTATTTCTGTTTTGATAGCTAATCTGTAAAAATTCAATAATGCAAAAGTAAAAAAGCATATTGCAGATAAAATAAGAATAAATAAGAAGCAAAAGCTTGCTCATTCTGCAGATTACACAAATAACTTGACATAGAAATTTGATTGTAATTACAGGTTATGGGAAGATGGATGGAAGGACAGATATTACAAGTCAAAGTTTGATGTAGATAAAAACGACATAGAATTTAGACATAATGTTGTAAGTTCATATGTCTTCAAAAGAACTTAGACATATTGTTAGTTCCTATATGTTCAATAAGTGCAGGTGTAGGATGGAATTTCCTCATTACTGTTTCTAAAGCTTTACAGAATACATTTTTTATGTTCTTCCAGTGTGTTGGTGGTTAATGTCATGATTTAAAATGTATAAATGATGCTGCTTTATTAAACTATTATTTAGCACTGAGGGTTTTGAAAAAAAACCCAATAGGAATGTTAAAAAATTAAGCTGTTCTGTAATGTTGCCATATACATTTCTTGTATTTATATGATTTATGTACTAGGAAAAGTCAGATTTGTCATTCATAAAAATAGTTTGAGAATTTTTTCTGATAGCAAATGAACAGAAAAGGTTATAAGAATGTGGGGTATATGCTAATGAGACAACGACACAAAAATACTTATAGATTATCGATGGTTTTTCAAAAGAGAGGGTGTTTCAGCTACAATCTCATGGAAGGGCGACAGCCCTGAGATGAGATGTGGCCGAGAAACATCCTCAAGTTTTAAAGACCATTGATAATCTGTTAATCGCTATTTTGCCTATGACATCGTTAATTTTTACATTGACAACGGCACATGCGCAATTAGTTTATAATGTTAATTTTCTATCTCAAGCGAGTAGCATGATATGAAAAATTATCACAAAAAAGATCAAAGGAAAAAACACAAAATAGCGATAAAAATGTTTATTACTGTTTTTTTTTAAACTTTATGCCTGTTATGATAGATTGTGATGAAAAATTGAGATATTTATTGTGATGAAAAATATTCAAAAGAAAGATTGAGATATTTAATACTTTTAACATTTAATTTTTCATTTTAGGCCAGACATTATGTTACAGGTTTATGTTGGGTTTTAAGATACTATTATCAGGTTTGTACTTCTAATCATAATTTAAACTCTTAAAAAAACATTTAGTAATTTGCAAATTGAGTTTAAGAGGGTGATAATGGAAAGCTATCTCTGCCAGCCCATTCATAACTCCCTTTAAAAACTGTAGCATTCAGGTGTATCATTGCAAGATTGTTAGTCTGAGCCTTTGTGATTATACAAAGTGACACCTGCAAGCACACACATATAAAAATAAGGAGATGTGGTATGATTACAATTGAGACAACTTTCCGACAAAGTTCAAATGAAGTGGATGTACCGGTAAGCAATTATAGGCAACCGTACGGCCTTCAACAATGAGAAAAGCCCATACCGTATAGTCAGTTATAAAAGGCCCCAATGTGAAAAATATGAAACAATTCAATTGAGAAAACTAACAGCCTAATTTACAACAAAACAATTTTCAAAAAACAAATATGACAGACATGAACTAATGACAACCACTTAACTACAAGCTCCTGACTTGGGACAATCACATAAAGAATTTGGCGGGGTTAAACATGCTTGTAAGACTGTTAAGACACTTGAGAATTAAGAGGCATATGTGGCATTTATGTTGCCCTAATGAATTTAATCCCTATATTTTGATTTGATTATGTCTTTTTGGCATCTTGCCTATTATCTTTATTTTATTTTGTTTTATCATAATACATGTATTTACAGGGTTGTGCCTCTTGGAAGTGGTATTTTCCATATCATTATGCACCATTTGCATCCGATTTTGTAAATATCAGTGATCTACCCAATGATTTTGAAAAACATACAAATCCAGTAAGTAAGAATAAATTAAGTGTATCAAGTTGAAAATTATTGCTGCTTAACATTACCTTTTAATATATCTAGGACAAGTTTAGGTTAGCTTTGAAGAGGAAAACTAAGTATAATGAAACCTTAATACACCTTATCGCTATTTGTGCGCCATTACTGGACATCACAAAGGTTCCTATAAAATTTTGACGTCACAACAGAAAATATCTGATGCCAGAATGGAAAAGTGATTGTTGTATGACGTCAATAGTTCAACAGGCCAAAATTCTCCGGTCAAGCGGTGCAGAGTTCCAAATAGCGATAAGGTCTATTGGTGTCTGAATGATTCTATAGGATTGAAAGAGCTAACAAGCAATTTTTATTTTGTCATAGAAATTCATTTCATAATTGACTGACATTAAGAGTCGAATAATAATTATAAAAATTTAGTTGTAGTGTGTTCTTTAAAGAAGATAATTTTACCATTAACTGTTACACTTAGAAAAATTGTTTTCAGAAGATTTTAATTTATTATTTTTTACTATAAATTGTTCTCAATGTTTTACAGTTTAAGCCATTGGAACAGTTAATGGGTGTATTTCCTGCAGGCAGTAAAAAACATCTGCCACTAACCTGGCAGACATTAATGTTTGACCCTGTAAGTATTACCTAAACCATGGTAGACATAAAGCAAATAACAATTAAAAATCAATTGTTCTCTGAACAATTGAAGGTCTTTCCACCCGAAACGATATATTTTGATGTGAAAAATATTAAAACTCGGTTAGAAATGTAATTTCAGGGCCAAATGATAGCTTATTATACGCTGAATTTAAAAATATATGGTTTCTATACATTTTTGTTTGAAATAAGGGAGATAATTTGTTACTTCCGGTTTGAAAAAGGTCACTTCCGGTATCATTTGATAGTTTACTTAACACTGATTCCAAAAATATATGGTTCTATGTACTTTTACATCAAATATGGACAAGAAATAGCTACTTCCGGTTTACAAAAGGTCATTTCCGGTTGATTTTTTCAAGGTCACATGGCTTGCAACTTAAAGCACAAAGTACCATAGCTTTATCAGGCATACTTTAAAAGTTAAAGCAAATGTCAAAATCTAGAACATCAAATCAAATTTTGACCTTGACCCCAGTTTCAAGGTCATGAAACAAGGGCCTCAAATTAAAACACTCTAGGTCTCTACTATATATTGTTAATGAGTTATATTACCATACAGCTAATATTAGATATAAAAGGGGCGAAAACTCCATTGAAAACTCCCATTAAATGTCTACGTACCCTTTCAACTAAAATTTACGTGTTACGACATGTCGCAACTTACAATTCTGTAAAAATATTATGTCGATATCTTATACAACCTCTGAAAATAAGTGATAGCAAGCCAAAATCAAAATTTAGAATATGACCTTGACCTTATTTTCTTTTTTTTTGGACCGAGGACCTCAAATCAAAAGACCTCAGGTCTCTATAAGTTATGGTTTTTCAGTTACAAATGCACATCACTTATATCAAATGCATAAGGGGAAATAACTCTCATATGGAGTCTCCGGATAGCTTCGGTCAAAATTAATCAAATCATCCTGAGGATATAACGAGCAATTTGGTAAAATAAATTAGTCGGTTTCTTATGCGGTTGCGACGTATAAGTAATAACAAGAAAAACAGTGTTTGGGGAGGTAACTCTTACATCGAAAAGTTTTTGGTTACGCGGTGTCAGTTTCAAAAGCATATTAACTGTTCGATATCATATACCATATGTCTAAGCTACATCTTGCGAAACAAAAAAACAGCGAAGGAAAAAAAATTAGGCGGAAGAAAAAAAATAATAATCAGAAGAATAAAACCAATAGGTCTATCCACGGAAAAGTGAAAAGACCTTATTAAGACATTTTATACTAACTCTTTAGTGCAATGCTACATTTATAAATACTGAAGTAAAAGTAAAGGAGACAGAGGCTATGTTTGGATATATGCATAAGGCGGTCTATTGTTACCCATAGGTACCCTATGGTTTGATATTCTATATATCAAAATATCAAACCATGGGTACCCAAAGGTACCTATGGGTGACCATAGTCCGCCTTATGCATATATCTTAACAAAGCCATTGATGAAATGGCAATCCGAAGATGAGAATGTGAATATTCAAATCATAATGCCCTATGTGGTATTAATGCACACTCCAACACATTGTTTTAGTTCTGAAAATAAAAAGTATAAACATTTCGAAAATCTTATTTATATTCCTTAGCCTTTGACCTGAAAAAAACTTTGGGAATAATTTATTGGTATTGTTATATAAATTTGATAGAGATCAATATAACAATTTAAATTTGTAAAGGTCCTACTATTTATTAAAATTAAAAACTAGCTTTGGAAACTCCAAAATAGTATGTTGATCAGTAACATTTATTTATTTCAATTTTGAATGAATGCTACTACTTTTTTCATGTGAACAGGAATCTCCTATCATAGACTTTTACCCAACAGACTTTAGGATAGATTTGAATGGGAAGAAGTATGCCTGGCAGGGAGTAGCTTTACTACCATTTGTAGATGAGAAAAGATTACTGAAGGGTTTAGAGACTGTTTATTCAGATCTGACTCCAGAGGAAGGTATTGTTTATTATTTATTATCTAATCTTCCTGTCATTTATTTTTTATCAAACATTTTTGTTTTACAGTAGATAAGGTTTCTTCCAACATCTGAGATTGTGAGGTTTAAAAACAGGTTAAGGCTTTTCATTTAAATGAAGAACATTATGTGATTAATTTTATTATAATGACTGTTTTTACTAATGCAGATTTTTTTTTTTTATTCAGATAAAATTAACTTACCTATATAAAGGGAGATAACTCAGATAATATAGTTTTATAGCTATAAATACGTTACCATCATAAATTCTGAGTGTAACCCCAATTGCGTCATAGGTCAGATGGAAAATCCCGACTAAAAATAAACGTACTCTCACTGGTCCGGACATATACCCCTGTTTGCCCATATTCTCCCATTCAATTTCCATCTGCGACATCGGTCACACGTGCAAATTATTACAGATTCAACAGAGAAGTGTTTAGTTGTTTGTAAAGTTTTTTTGAATAGCTTAATTGCTTTTCATATATTGTATATATTATTGGAAATTTATTCCCTTGTTTAGTTTGAATTTCTAAACAAATTATTTGTGTTTTTTTGACTAAAGTAAATTTTATTATGGACTTTAATTTGAATAGTCCGTACGTAAATATTCCTGGTTCGGACTATCTCTTAGATGGGTCACTACCTTTAAGTCCCCCCCAAACTACCAGTACATTGACCGGAGTTTCGACAACGGTGTCTGGTAATGCTACCTATCCGACCCTTTCACAAGGTTCGGCCATGCATTTTGGGGGAGTACCTACATCAACTTCGGTGACTCATACTTTATCTAGGCCTGTTAATTCATCGGGTACTATTAGTTCTGTCCCAGGTACAGCTATGGGCTTGAACTTGCCAGGTTCTAGACCCCCATTATCCTATTGTGGGTATATGCTTCCCAACTCGGGCACACAACCTTTACCCTCATGGTCTCAGCCACCTTGGCCACAGTCTTACCCTTATGGTGGGTTTATGCCAAACCAACCTGGTTTTTGGCCTTATAGGGACAATTTCTATGGTCCCCCTTCTGGGGTAGCTACTGCACCACCTTTAGCTCCTGCTCCACCCGTAGCAGTATCTTTGACTCCTGCAGTAGCTCCTTCTACCACTGTACCTGACTTTCGAGCTCAATCTTCTAGCTCTTCTCATGGCACTCAGGGTTCTGATCATGCATCATCTTTGGATGGTTTTCAGAAGTTACTTTTGGACTTTGGTGAGTCTTTCAAGGCTGAATTTAGTACTCTATCCAGTCGTATGTCTCTACTGGAGAATAGAGTTTCTTCTCATCAACCTTCTCCAGCTAAGTCTGTAGAATGTGATGAGAGGGAGGATGACGAGCTTTCTGTTTCCCTTGGGAGTCATGAAAGGGCTTTCCTCACTGATGCGGATGTTGAAAGTTCTTCTTCTCCCAAGGTATCGAAGACGGCCCCTGAGCCTTCTTCTAAGTCAGCTCAACAACCTCCCACCAAGGAGACTGAGGATCCTCCATCCTTGAAGGATCTTAGGGATAAGGTGTATACCTTGATGAGGTATGAAGCACATATCCCTTTTGCCTCTCCTTCCAAGCCAAAGAAACCTTCTTCAACTTTTGAAGCTTCCTGTGGTATTTCTCAGGATACTGTGACTTCTCACAATTCTTTTCCTGAATCTGGCCATATGGCATTTGCTTTACAATTTATTAATGAAGGTATCGCTAATTCTGCTAGTGAGAAGGTTGCTAATAACAATATCTCTGGATTTGGAATGTCATCCTTTTCTGATCAGGTTAAGTACAAGGATTTTGATATCTTTGATTCTTCACTGGGTAGACTTGTTCCCAGTTGTGACAAATCTATGTCATCTTTATTGGGAAAAAAGCCAGTAGATGGTCTTCGTCTCACTCAACCTGTTTGGTCAAAGACTGAGAATCTCCTTCGTAGTGCTTCTCAAGTTCTTGGCACAGCCGAACATTTTCTAGCTGCAACCGGACATTTGCTTAACAGCGAAGATTCGGTTGTTCCAGCAGAAGTACGATCCTTCTTACTTCAACTGGATAAAGCTCTAGGTTCATCTCAGTTGCTTTTAATGGGTTCTATTGGTAATTGCACCCTATCTAAAAGAGCAGAGTTTCTTGAAAACATTTCTGTTGCTGAGCCTTTGAAAGATTCTTTACTGAAATCTCCACTTACTGACAAGATGTTTGGTTTACCCTTACAGCGGGTTCAAGAGGAACTCAGCAAAAACCCTCCTCCAGTCAAAGTTAGTGTACAAGTTACTAATGGCAAGAGGTCGGTTAATGCTACATCTAGTTCTACTAGTACTTCTGCTTCAGGTGGTCCTCCTTCTTCTGCTAAGAAAAGGAAGAATAACTACGGCAAACCGCAGAACAAACCCAATAACTCCGGAAAAAGCTCAGGTAAGCCTTCTGGTGGTTTTAAGGGTCCCAAGAAACCTGGGTCTAGTACCTAGGTTCTTGCCCCCTCGTACGTTATTGACAGCTTCCCCAGGGGAAAATTTACAACAAGTTCCTCAAAAATCAATACCAGTAGGGGGGAGGTTAAGTTTTTTCCTAAATCAGTGGAAGAAAATTACCTCAGACTGTTATGTGCTGTCAATAATTCGAGGGGGATTAACACTTCAGTTCAAGAACCCACCTCCTCTGTCTGCAGTTCTGATAAGTTTGTCTCATACTCAAGACCCAGTCAAGTATCAACTTCTATCAGTAGAAGTGGACACAATGTTACAAAAATCTGCAATAGAGGAGGTGTCGCTCTAACTCTGTCTCCGGGATTTTATTCCCGTCTTTTTCTGGTTCCAAAGAAGACTGGAGGAATGAGGCCGGTCATAGACCTATCTATTCTGAACAACTTTCTTATTGTTCCCCATTTCAAAATGGAAACCAACAGATCAATCAGGGCTTCAATCCTTCCAGGAATGTGGACTACTTCTCTGGATCTTTCAGATGCTTATTTCCACATTCCCATTTCCCATACTTACAGGAAATACCTTCGCTTCGTTTGGAACAACAAAGTTTTCCAGTTCAAGGCTCTCCCTTTTGACCTGTCTACAGCCCCTTTGGCTTTTACCAAAATCATGCAGGCAGCTATAGCTCACCTACATTCCCTGTCTATTCAGATTCATTCCTACCTGGACGATTCCCTTCTCAAGGAATTTTGCCCAATCAAATTGAAGGTTCAGACAGATTTGGTCATCAATTGTTTTCTGTCCCTAGGCTTCCTAATCTCTTGGAAAAAGTCAGAGATAATTCCTTCTCAAGACTTTATTTTCCTGGGAGAACATTTCCTAACCAGTGTAGGCCTAGTCCTCCCACCAGAGGAAAAATTTACAAAACTATGTCAGAAAATACATTTATTCCTGACGGTTCAATCAGTCACAGCACGTCAATTCTTGCAACTTCTGGGTCTATTGAACTCACTGGCAGATGTAATTCCATTGGGACGACTTCACATTCGTCCGCTTCAGTTTTATCTGCACAAGTTATGGATTCCAGCTTCACAAGAATGGGAAGCATTGATTCCAATCACTCAGCCTTTATTTCCACACCTTCAATGGTGGTTAGTACGGGAAAATGTAATGAGGGGCCTATGTCTGTCCCCTCAAGTTCCCAGTCTAACATTATTCACAGATGCCTCCACCCTCGGTTGGGGAGCATATCTGGAGGGGCTTACAATCTCGGGAGTCTGGAATCCAGATCTTTTGGAAGAGCATATCAATGTATTGGAAATGAAAGCAGTTCTGTTTGCACTGAATCATTTCCAAATGTCTCTAAAGAACCAGTCTGTCATTCTGGCCACGGACAACACAACAGTTGTAGCTTATCTCAAGAATCAGGTAGGAACTCATTCACCTTCTCTTTATCAGATAGCCAGAGACATTCTCCTTCTGTGTTTTCAACTCCAGGTTCATCTAGTGGTGAGACATATTGCGGGGCACCTCAATATTCTAGCCGACACTCTATCCAGATCCCTTGCTCCAGTAAACACGGAGTGGGAACTACTTCAAGTAGTTTTCAAAGCTGTGACTCTTCATTGGGGGTCACCTCAGATAGATCTGTTTGCGACCAGTCTCAATCACAAACTTCCAACATTTGTGTCTCCGGTTCCAGATCCAAAATCTTTTGCGGTAGACGCAATGAGCCTATCTTGGAAAGGAATGTTCGGGTACGCCTTCCCTCCTTTCAGGTTTCTCTCCCCAGTACTTCAGAAAATAGCAGGGGAAAATTGCAAGATCATAGTTATTGCTCCAGCATGGCTGAAACAGTCTTGGTTTCCAGACCTTCTGCGCCTATCATGTGCTTGTCCTCTAGTTCTACCTATGAGACCAGACCTTCTGTCTCAAATCAAGGGCAAGGTTCTTTATCAAAATCCAGAAAAACTTCATCTACACGCCTGGCTTCTCTCAGGGTTAGCCTCAGAAAGAGAGGTTTTTCTGAAGGAGCAACCAAGCATCTCACAAAGTCTGTCAGAGACTCCACTAGCATTGTCTATGATGCAAAATGGTCAATCTTCTCAGATTGGTGTAGTGAGCGGGAAATTGATCCTTTCCAAGTCACTGTACAACAATTAGCAGACTTTCTAGTTTTTCTTTTTGAATCCAACGGATTATGTCCCTCTACTATTAAGGGATATAGATCAGCTATTTCAAGAACTATTCATATTTCTGGTGGCCCAGATTTTGGAAACAATGAGCATATTTCTCTTTTGGTTCGTAGTTTTAGTCTTGAAAGACCAAGACAAAAAACTTTAGTTCCTAAGTGGGACCTTGGACTAGTTTTATCCTTTTTAAAACTTCCTCCTTTTGAACCAGCAGAAACAATAGATTTAAGGTTTCTTTCCTATAAATGCTGTTTTCTTTTAGCTTTGGCTTCTGGACGGAGAAGGAGTGAAATCCATGCCTTCTCTATTTCTGATGCTTGCCTTCGATTTAACAGGGATAAATCTTCTGTTACTCTTTTAACGGGTCCTGCTTTTTTTGGCAAAGAATCAGATTCCAGATAAGGGTGCAGAACCAGTCGTGATTCCTGCACTCCCTAGCGATTCTATTTCTGTACTTTTATGTCCAGTAAGAATCCTTTCTATTTATCTGGATAGAACGAGTAGTTTACGTTCTGTTTCTAACTCAAGACTCTTTATTCCTATTAAAAAAGGAATCTCAGATCTTTCTGTTAAAACTATTTCTACTTGGATATGCAAATGCATATCTTTAGCTTATGGTTCTTCTAAGGCAGAACTTTTAAATAGTTTTAATGTTAAAGCTCATGATGTTAGGGGTATCTCTACATCCTGGGCTCTGTTTAACAGTGCATCTTTAGAAGAGGTACTGTCTGCAGGTTTCTGGAGAAATGAGAACTCTTTTATATCTCATTACCTCCAATCTATGGCTACTTTTGCCGAGAGTTTATACTCTCTTGGACCTATAGTTTCAGCACAAAGATTGAACTTTCCTCCTGTTTCTTCTGTTACAGGGGATTCAGCTTTACGTTAGATTCTGTTACTCAGAATTTATGATGGTAACGTATTTATAGCTATAAAATATTCAAATTTTAAAGTAAATTTGGATTTTATTAGATAAATACTTACCATCATAAATTATAGGTCCCACCCACCTCCCCTTCATCCCCTTTCCCTACGTTTCTGTCTTGAGGAAATTGAATGGGAGAATATGGGCAAACAGGGGTATATGTCCGGACCAGTGAGAGTACGTTTGTTTTTAGTCGGGATTTTCCATCTGACCTATGACGCAATTGGGGTTACACTCAGAATTTATGATGGTAAGTATTTATCTAATAAAATCCAAATTTACTTTAAAATTTGAATATTTTTAGATAAAATGTACAGGAAATTTCCCTATTTAGCTTTGTAGCAAGAAATGAGTATGGTGACCCCAATTTTTATACGACCGCAAAAATTGAAAATTTTTTGGTCGTATATTGGTATGACGTTGGCGTCGTCGTCGTCGTCGTCGTCGTCCGAAGACACATTAGTTTTCGCACTCTAACTTTAGTTTAAGTTAATGGATCTCCATGAAATTTTACCATAAGGTTCAATACCATGAAAGGAAGGTTGGGATTGATTTTGGGGGTTATGGTACCAACAGTTAAGGAATTAGGGGCCAAAAAGGGGCCAAAAATAAGCATTTTTGTAACTTCCAGACAATAACTTGTGTAAGTGTATGGATCTCTCTGACATTGTACCACAAGGTTCCATATCACAAAGGGAAGGCTGTAATTGATTTTGGGGGTAATTGCCTCAAAATTTTAAGATAAGGGGCCAAAAAAGGGGCAAAAAACAAGCATTTTTCTAGTTTCATGACAATAACTTGTGTGTAAGTGTTTGGATATTTCTTAAATTGTACTACAAGGTTCCATATCACAAAGGGAAAGCTGGAATTGAGTTTGGGGGTAATTGCCCGAAACGTTTAGGAATTGGGGGCCAAAAAGGGGCCAAAAATAAGCATTTTTCTAGTTTCCAGACAATAACTTGTGTTCAATTGTATGGATCTCTCTGAAATTGTACTGCAAGATACCATACCACAAAGGGAAGGCTGGGATTGAGTTTGGGGGTGATGAATCATAAGGGGGTTCAAAAAATTGGGGGGGGGGGGGGGGGGGGGTTCTTTTTTTTTTCTTTTTTTCCTTTTTTTTTTCTTTTAAAATTTTCCATTTTAAGTTGGTTATTTCTGATTTATATTTAAAAGCAAATAATAATGATATGGTAGGAAATACACACCAAACAGGATGTGTAAATTATTATACAATAAGTATTGTGCAATAGCAAGAAATTTTCAATTGCACAGTATTGCACAATAGCAAGAAATCTTCAATTGCACAGTATTGCGCAATAGCAAGAAATCTTCAATTGCACAGTATTGCGCAATAGCAAGAAATATCCAATAGCACAATATTGCGCAATAGCAAGAAATTGTCAATTGTACAGTATTGCGCAATAGCAAGAAATATTCAATTGCACAGTATTGTGCAAAAGAATATACTTCGTATAAATTGCTTATTTCTTGATCAATTTCAATGGGGTTTTATTCTTGAATTCTTGGGGTTCTTTAATATGCTGAATCTAACCATGTATTAAGTTTTTGGATTTTGGGCCCTGTTTTTAAATTGGTCCACATTGAGGTCCAAAGGGTCCAAAATTTAACTTTGTTTGATTTCATCAAAAATTGAATTATTGGGGTTCTTTAATATGCCGAATCTAACCGTGTATTTAGATTCTTAATTTTTGGTTCCATTTTCAAATTGGTCTACATAAAGGTCCAAAGGGTCCAAAATTAAACTTAGTTTGATTTTAACAAAAATTGAATTTTTAGGGTTCTTTGATATGCTGAATCTAAACATGTGTTTAGATTTTTGATTATGGGCCCAGTTTTCAAGTTGGTCCAAATCGGGGTCCAAAATTAAACTTCATTTGATTTCAACAAAAATTGAATATATGGGGTTCTTTGATATGCTGAATCTAACCATGTATTTAGATTTTTGATTTTTGGGCCCCGTTATCAACTTTGTCCACATTGAGATCAAAAGGGTCCAAAATTAAACTTTGTTTGATTTCATCAAAAATTGAATTCTTGGGGTTCTTTGATATGCTGAATCTAACCATGTATTTAGATTTTGGATATTGGACCATAATAGGTGAATGTCCAATTTAAAATTTTTAAGTTCTTAGACCACATTCATTCTGTGTCAGAAACCTATGCTGTGTCAAATATTTAATCACAATCCAAATTCAGAGCTGTATCAAGCTTGAATGTTGTGTCCATACTTGCCCCAACTGTTCAGGGTTCGACCTCTGCGGTCGTATCAAGCTGCGCCCTGCGGAGCATTTTATTATTTTTATTTTCTGAAAGCCCATTTTTAGAGCTATCTTCTCATATTTTATTTTAAAATTTTATTGGTTAGTTTTCTTTCTATTCACTTAAAAGTGATTTTCCTTGTATAATCCTTACAAAATCTGACAATTTTACTCAACCGATAGCTTGAAAAAAAGCTGTGTGACATATACTTTTTAGTATACTTTTGAAAATAGCATGATATAAAATACAATTTGGCAAATTATTAAAAAATTCTATCAATTTTAATTTAGATCCTCTGTTTACATATACTACATTAGATTTACCAATAATTCATTGTGCTAATTGATAAAATCAAATATTTGTATCTTTATCTTAAGGTCAACCAAGCAAACAAACACAATTAACTTCATTGTTTCGAGTACACACTCAAGTATATATTCTGTAAAACTTCTCTGATTTATTAGTTTTTAGAAATGGTAGAGGTAAAGACAGGCTGTTTGTAGGTAAAAGACATCCAGCTCACTCCTTCTTTGAGGGTCTGTATGAAGGTGAAAGGTCAGAAGAGGTGAGTAGATAATTATATTTAATATTAATAATTTATTGAACTGCTTTTAAGATCAATTAGATAGAATCTGAATAATAAATAGTAAATTAAGTTTGATTTATTGATGGTTGTTCACATAATATCCAGTGGCTAATATTTCATGCATATTTCAGATGAGAGAAAATAAATCAATCAAGTAGATTATGCACACTGGATCGAACTTAATGAAGGATTGCATATTTATATATCTTGCACACCAAAATATACTTGCTCTCAACACAGGTTGAACTGCAAGATGGAAGAGGCGACCATATTTGTATACACCAGTCAACACTTGGGGTCAAAAATGGCTTTCATAACTGATTATTTTCAGAGTCCCCTTTATGTACTGTAGTTCCAATAACTTGGTTTGAATATTGTAGTTATTATGAACTTCACAGATCTTTTTTAATAGTATAAAAATTATGAAAAGTAATGTATGATTAAATATTGGCTTTAGATTAAGTGTTTGTAGCCTTTTCCTTTTCATTTATCAACACTTCATTTATTTTGATCTGATTGTTTTGGTGTTTCTGTGATGGAATGGATTTTTATGGTCAAGCAGGAATCTTTCTATCATAGACAGGATGTGAACAATTTAATTTGTGTGTGAGCCCTTCTTTAAACTAGACTCACATACTGAGTCAGATTTTTAATGTACTAACTAAGAAGGTAACAATGCAGAAGAAGATATTTATTCCTCAACACATAATTCTTAATCTCAGACAACCAATCTTTACTCTTACTTCAAATACCATTTGCTAAGTAATGAAGCAGCAGATATTAATTTTTAAGCCTTTTATTTTATCAAGCCTTTGATTGACTCAAATACAACTGCACACTAGAAGTGAACAAGCCTCCACAAGACTACCTACTCTGTTTTGAAGGTCGCAGGAGGTACCAACAGAAAAAATATCATAGTTTTTTCAATAGATAATATAGTTACTGTAAATTCAGAAATTAATGCGTGCATTTATTATTGCGATTTTTGAAGAAATAACAAAAATGAGCGTTTAATTATTGCGATTTTAAGAAAATCTACATACAGATATATGAATTTGTTATCAGAATGGGAGTTCTTATTATTATGATACTCAAGTAGTCGCATTATTCACATTAATAAATACCTCGCAATAATTTCTGAATTTACAGTAATTGATCATTATTTTCTGTAGGAATCTTATCTCATTAACATCATGATCATAACAATTCTGAATTATTTACTTATAGGGTGTAGATGTAAATCCCTCTTTGACGCATGGTATGGCAGGTCGTGTCTGGTGTGATGATAAAGCTACAATGTCGGGAGAGTAAGTTTTTAAATCAACCAATACCAAAATTTGGTGCCTTTTTATATATTCACAGCAGGGTTATACTGTTTTACCTCTGTCTGTTCGTCCGTACATACGTCCACCCATCTGTCCATCCCACAAAATTCCATCACAATTTTCTCAGGAACCACAAAACACATCTTCCTATAATTTGTTATCAGTCTTCATAGGAACATGCTATACATTGCGATACAGTTACAAATTTATCAATCGCCAACTTCCTGTTTTCCAAATATTTATATATTCTAAAATATAATGGCCATATCTGAAATTTTCATAGCATATTTCTAGGGAACTAAAAATAAGAGCTTTCTGAAATTTGTTATCAGGCCTCATGTCAGCATGCTATACCGTATAATGTGTTTTCGGATTCATCGTTCATCAACTTCCTGTTTACTGATTACTTATATATATTCTAACACATAAAGGCCATGTATGAAATTTTCTTTGCATTTTTCTAGGCAACTACAAAAAGAGCCTCCTGAAATTTGTTATCAGGCTTCATGTGATATAAAAATAAGTTGACCATGCTTTACAGTGTGATGCTTTTTCAGATTTATGGTCCATCAACTTACTGTTTATCGAATACTTTTATTTTCTTACACAAAATGGTCATGTATGAAATATTCATCACATTTCATTATTGAACTACAAATAAGAGCTTCCTGAAATTTGTTTTCAGTCTTAAAGGGAACATGCTGTACTGTGTAAAATGTTTCAGATTTATGGCTCATCAACTTGCTTTTTGTCAAATTCTTAAGATGGAGGTATCATAAGTGAGCAGTAGCTCACAGTTTTACTGGTTTTTATTTTCTTTAAAAACAAATATATATATATATATTTATTAAAATGTTTTTTTTTTCTTTTTTTGTAAGATTTATTTAAAGAAAAAGGTTTAAAAATAAAGTTTCTGATGATTCAAACTTTTAACCATCTAATAACTCTTATTTTCTTTGTTTGAATGGATGTTTTAATGAGATTTTTCTGCATGTAAGGGTTAATGTTTTATTAAGTACGTCATTTCTATGTTTCAGAACGATTAAATCACCGTTACCACAACCTGAAATGAAAGACATTCTTGATAATCAGTGTTTATGGTTTGTATCACTATAGTATAGAACATCAATTGTTTAGTTTACAGACACATTAAAACAAATATGAACTCTCTAACCTAATCAAGTTTTGGTTATGTCACATCTGACATGTCAGGAACTGATCTAGATCTTTTTGAAAGGTGAAATATACACAATTGGATGTTATTTTGGAAATTACGAAATTTTGCATGCATTTAAAACTCCTTGAATTGAATCTTATTATTAAAAAAAAATAGTATATTTAGCAGTTAAACTTCAGAGATACATCAGGGATCTCCATGACCTGTTTTATGATGGCACACTGCCATTGTTAAAATATCTTCCGCCATAGTCAAATGATTCACGCCATCATTAAATTATCTTCTGCATCGTCAAATGATCCCCGCCATTGTCAAAATTTGTTTTGGTTTCTCTTAGCTGCCGCCTTTTTTGTTAGCAATTATTATCAATTGCATAACCCTTAGGCTTTTTGTATTTATAATCCAAAGGGTCCTCCTGATTACAGTTTTAAAGCCCTGAGGGATATCTGGCTAAGGATCGCTAATCACTTGTACAGGTAGATCGACACAACTGATGGGAGAACACTTGATCAAGATAGATGATTGATTGCATTATTTAATTACATTTCAGCAAATGCTAAGGAAAATTTAGATGAAAAGAATAAATTTTAAATCTAGTTAAAAAGAATAAAGCATTCCCCTTTTAAAAACCAAGACGTAAAACAACATAATTTCATGCCAAATAACACAAGTACAGCAATTATCGATAATATTGAATCACTTTACAATTTTAAAAGTAAATACATGAAAATTAACTGCAACTTGATAATCTGAAGAAATTTCATATCGTAATACTGAATTAATTTCGTAGTTTACAATCAAATTGATACATCCTGTTTTCCGGTTAAAAAGTACACCACTAATTCATGGCCCCATTGCTTTGTATGTTAAATTCCTCAATTTCAAGCAGGCACAGCTCTTTTGTCTTAATTTCAAATAAAGTGACAATCATTGCATGTCAAAGCAACACCTTATGGTGTATTGTACTGAAAAAAAGTCAACATACCTTTAATGGCATATAAGAGAGAACTGGTTCCCGGAACTTTGAACGTACCAAAACAGGTACTTCAGATCTGACAAACAGGCAAAATGTACCCTCCTTTTTAAATTTCATGAATTTTTTTTATTATTCAAAATTATAAGTCAAAATGTGTTCTACAATGACCACCAGTCACTCAGCTTTCATTTGATACTAAAATTAACAAAATATTCTACATAGTGTCAAAGTTACACCCATGCGTAGGAACTATTTTGTGTTTAATATGTACTTCTTTCTGGTATGTGCTTTCTGACCGAGTCCGAATTAGTGGTGTTACACCTTTACATTCAGAATCGAAAGATGCATGTATATTACTATGAAATTTGCTATTTAAAGTCATTAAAACCTTTTAAGTTGTAAACTTTTGCCCTCCAAATCGTTCTTCAACGTTTTACAAAACGCTACGAAACTTCTTGTTGTTGATGCTGCAAATCGTCGATACCTGTTCATGACTTCTGAATTTGACAGTGAAAAATAAAGAACCTCTGATTTTTAAGCCCTAAACAATTACCAAAATAGCCAGAAAACGATGTGGGAACCTTAAGGACAGCCTGTGGTCATTCTTGACTAAGGGGGAGCCATGCAGGCTTGGCATTGGAATTGTTACAAATGACAATTAATGAAAATATTGGTTATTCTATAATGAAATAAATATAATAAGCAATATATCAGCCTGTTCACCATTCCTCAAATTTAAATACTAAAGATGTATAATATTTTTCAGTATTCTGTTCAAAGATCCAGTATATGATGATGACCATCTGTTTCCATCCAAAGTACTCCCTAATGCTAAGTAAGTGTGCACACAACATTATACAGCTTATTATGTGAATATATACCCATTTGATATTGTATATGCACAAATTTACCTGTCTGACTATGCTTTTGCTGTACTTTTTGTTATAAATAATTTTGCATTAATGACCAGGATTTTGTGCACTGAATACTGTCTGTTGAATTCATTTATATTTAAGTTTTTAATTCATCAAATAAATATTTACCATTAATATAAAAATAAGGAGACATTGCATGATTGCCAATGAGACTGCTATCCACCAAAGTTCAAATGAAAGTGGATGTAAGCAGTTATAGGCAACCATACAGCCTTCAACAATGAGAAAAACCCATACCGTATTGTCAGCTATAAAAGGCCCTGACATGAAAAATATGAAACAATTCAATTGAGTAAACTAATGGCTTATTTATAACAAAACAATTTACGAAAAACAAATATGACAGACATGAACCGATGACAACCACTGATCTACAGGCTCCTGACCTTAGGTTCTTTCTTAATACATGAATTCCTTTTGAACATTGTAATAATTGGAATTGTTTGCTCTCATTTTAGAAGAGTATGTCTCATAGCAGACAAAAGCCTCCTCTCTAAAATAAATTGTACAAAGATGTCTTTTGCTTTGATGTTTCTTATTGGCAGACACCAGTTGATTTTCAACTCATCTCATGGCTCAGGAACTTAGTTATGATAAATTTCCACAACAAGTTTAGTTTCTCAGAAAACGATCAATCTGTAGATGCTTAAATAGGGGTCATTGTGAGTCAGACACATGAAACATAGCCTTCATAAGTCTATTCTTTATATTGTGTATATATTTCCATTTGATAGTATCATCTAACCTTAACCTCATTTGCATGGTCACTTGATTTAGGATGTTTTTGTAGAGCCTGCAACATTTATGTCAAGAAAGTGAGCTATAGCTATCCTAGATTTTGTTGTCGGCAATGTCCACATTTTGGTTGAGTCTCTGGTTAATTTTTTTTTAGAAATTAATAACTTTGTCAAACCTTCATGAAATTTGAACAGATGCTCTTTCATGACCAAAAGACAGTATCAAGAGCAAAATTATTTATTTTCACTTTTCTGTATTTTACTGACAAATGGACATTTAGATGTAGTCTAAGGTTAAAGTTTTTCAGTCATCAATTACATTGTCAAACCTTCAGGAAGTTCATTAATTTGATAAAATCTTAGACTTAATCTGGAGAAGGCCTTCATACTTCATAGGTCAACCACATTAGTTCTATTACTTTGCTGATTGTATGTATTTGCCTGTCATAGGGGTCACATGATTTAGTCATTCTTATGTTTCTTTTGTGTGCACTTTATTCTTATATTTTTACATTTTACTGAAATTATACAATTGTATTTTTAAAATTTTTGAAACTATGGCAATATCATCGCATATTTATGAATTTCTAAACAAGAATTGAATTCAGTTTCATCGTAAAGTCGAAAGTTTACTGCAACCATTACTAAAGTTATCATCATGCATGTATAGTCATTGTATAGCACGTCATTCAAATATGTTATGTATGTTTCGATTTATTTAATCAGTCATGAGCTGTCATTTGCAGATTTCCTAGAGAATTACACATATTAGAAACCTATGGTTTTAGACTGACCTCAAGGTGACATGTTACCTTGCAGATCCGTAAACCCTTTACTAACTTGTCCTGCTTATTAACCCATATTGCTTTATAGAAGGCATGTTTCATAGCTAGTTATAAGTAGTAGATCATGTTTAATAGAAATAATGGTTGGCAAATATCTTATTTCAGGTTTAAAAGGGTACAAATTTTCAAATTTGAATTTGTTAACTGTTTCTATAAGTACTTTCAATGATATACAACCAATGATAAGAAATTTCCTGTTTTAAAAATCTGTAATATTTCAGTAATCAGTGAAACATGTAGTATTCAATATTAATGTAAAGTTCCCTGCATGTGATTACAAAATTAGATAAAGTAAATAATAAATATGGCTTCATTTAAAGGGGCATTAGCTACAAATTTTCGACAAAAAAATAAAACATGATTTTTTGTTTGTTTCAAACATTTAGAAAAGTAGAATAAAGAAATAATATTTTGCTATTAGCAGTTGGTTTGTTTCATTTTGTCAAAGTAAGCTAAAAAAAAAAAAAAACCTCACTGGTGTATTATTGACTTTCAAGTCAATAATTCAACTCATTTGAATCCATATTCATGCAACCTTTTAAGTTGACCTTTAGAGGAGATGTGTGCATATGTTCATCGTGTGGCTCATTCATTAAAAAGAAAAGAATGTCAACAATGTTGAATTACTGCTTCTTTGCCCTCTTTTTAGACAAAACTTTTATTTAAGATATATATGTGAAGTAGACTAAGTATGTATGTACTTAATTTAGTTATTATCTGCAGACTGCAATGTTATTTTGTTATTATCATTATTAGCTAGAAGGTAAAATAGGGATATTTGCCAACCATGTGTACTTTGATAATGACTGTTTATTGTTATAGTTGTATTTATTGATTTTTCTTTCAGTTCATTTGCTTTTTTAATTTGCATGAAAATTATTTATCCAGAAAATTTTAATTCACAAAGCTTCTACAAAGTTAAATATTTGATTTTATTTGTTTTGCTATTTGCATTTTGGTATCCTAACAAGGAAGTAATGACAAGATAACTTGTGTATCTTGTTTAAGGAAGTAATGACAAGATAACTTGTGTATCTTGTTTAAGGAAGTAATGACAAGATTACTTGTATATCTTGTTTAAGGAAGTAATGACCAGATTAAATGTGTATCTTGTTTAAGGAAGTAATGACTAGATAACTTGTGTATCTTGTTTAAGGAAGTAATGACAAGATTACTTGTATATCTTGTTTAAGGAAGTAATGACCAGATTACTTGTGTATCTTGTTTGAGGAAGTAATGACAAGATAACTTGTGTATCTTGTTTAAGGAAGTAATGACAAGATTACTTGTATATCTTGTTTAAGGAAGTAATGACCAGATTAAATGTGTATCTTGTTTAAGGAAGTAATGACTAGATAACTTGTGTATCTTGTTTAAGGAAGTAATGACCAGATTAAATGTGTATCTTGTTTAAGGAAGTAATGACAAGATAACTTGTGTATCTTGTTTAAGGAAGTAATGACCAGATTACTTGTGTATCTTGTTTAAGGAAGTAATGACAAGATTACTTGTATATCTTGTTTAAGGAAGTAATGACCAGATTACTTGTGTATCTTGTTTAAGGAAGTAATGACAAGATAACTTGTGTATCTTGTTTAAGGAAGTAATGACAAGATTACGTGTATATCTTGTTTAAGGAAGTAATGACCAGATTAAATGTGTATCTTGTTTAAGGAAGTAATGACTAGATAACTTGTGTATCTTGTTTAAGGAAGTAATGACCAGATTAAATGTGTATCTTGTTTAAGGAAGTAATGACCAGATTACTTGTGTATCTTGTTTAAGGAAGTAATGACCAGATTACTTGTGTATCTTGTTTAAGGAAGTAATGACAAGATTACTTGTGTATCTTGTTTAAGGAAGTAATGACAAGATAACTTGTATATCTTGTTTAAGGAAGTAATGACCAGATTACTTGTGTATCTTGTTTAAGGAAGTAATGACCAGATTACTTGTGTATCTTGTTTAAGGAAGTAATGACAAGATTACTTGTGTATCTTGTTTAAGGAAGTAATGGCAAGATAACTTGTGTATCTTGTTTAATTATTCTTATGAGTTGGTAACAAAAAAAAGAATGCTTAATCATTTAAAAGATAGGTGAATGGAAAATATGTTTCATCTTTTAGCAGTAGCATTTCATTCTCTATAAGTAAAATGATGCACAGTAGGACCCTTTGAAGTGTAAGGACCACAAATATGATTTCAATGATGATAGTATGATATATTGCATATTCAAAGTATAAAGTAATTATCCCCTACTATAATGTCAAATAGTACTTTTGTGTTAACATTCATTGACTCCACATTACATCTCCAAAAATATATTGTTGAAATTTAAAATCTAGATGAATTAATACAAGGTGCCCTAAAAATTTTTACTTTTTGCATGGAAATAATTTTTACATTGACGAATCCAAGTATGGGAAAAGAGATTAGAGAGGGGCATCCATGATATTTTTCAATAGAAAAAGATCTTCAAATTGAGTTTTTTTGTTCCGTGATTTATAAAGGATGTGTATTGAAATAACTTTCTGAATGAAATTGTGATAAAAGTGCACAATAATATTCTTGTGACCAACAGTTTTCTTTAAAACTGATACATAATAGTCCTATGTAAAAGCTTTCATAAAATATAAAAATATTGGGAATGATGCATACTTCCAGTTGCAAATATTACATGTTTATTTAGGGGGAATACATTTTAAAACGTGATATGATTATACTCTGCTTTGTACTAGACTGACATGCTGAGTGAAAGTTTTAATTGTGGTAGCCCATAAAGTACTAGTCTACAGGAAAACATGTCACTCTGCCCAGACACATTTTCTCCAACCCTCTTTTTTCTAACTTAAATGTGGTTTGATAGTCGGGAAAGCACCAAATATTCAATTTTTAAGTCTTTTGTTTAACCCTGTAGCTTTCAACTTTTAATTATATGGAGTAATTTTAGATAAAATATGTCCTGCATACTGGTCTGATTTAGTTATTAGTCCCCTACCAACGAAGTCAAGGGGGACTTTAGGTTTGCACTCCGTCCGTCTGTCTGTCTGTCCATCTGTCAGTCCGGAAAATCAGTTTTCCAGACTTTTTTTCTTCGTGCTTGAAGATAATGATTTGATATTTGGTTTAGTGATTTATCATGACAAGTTACAGGTCAAGACCAATTTTCACGATTTTAGCTTTTCTTTTTGTTCAGTAATAGCCCTTTTCCTAGAATTAAATTTTTGATGAACTACTTATTAATTAGTAGATTTCTGTTCAAAGGGAAATAACTCATTTTTTAAAAGATTTTTAAAAGACAAAATGACATTTGGAATTTTTTTCCTTTTCTTTGGTAAATTGTTAGAAGAATTTAGTGGTAGGTTTGTTTGTCATTCTTGAAGATATTGATTTGATAGTTAGTATATAGTTTTATCATGACAAGTTACAGATCAAGTTGGAATTTTGTTCCAGACTGATAATTTTATGCAGAGTTATGGTCTTTTGACATAGAAAATTCACTTAAATAATCAGTTTTCAACAGTTTTTTTCGTCATGCTTGAAGATTTTGACTTGATATTTTTATGTAGTTTACACCATGACAAGTTATAGATCAAGTTAGAATTTCGTTCCATTTCAATGAATTTGTAAACGGTAGGGGACTATGTATTGCCATGCAATACTCACAGAATGCTTGTTTTATAGTTAATTTCTGAGCACTTCTTAGTTTGTAATGAGTCATGGATGAGGTGCTTACATACTACATGTATGTTAAATATTAGCACTTTCTAATTGTTTCCCCCACTGTATTGAGTGCTCACAGACAAGATTGATGCTGTCAGATTTGAATGCCATCACAAGCACAGTTCTGACAACAGTGGAAACATTGTTAATCTGAAACTTGAAACTATTATGTAATACTTGTTGTTTTAGGAAATGGATTTCCTGAAGAAAAAGAAATCTTTGAAATTTTCTATGATTATTTTATACTATTGATCATGATTTGAAAGAGAATGTTTTTTACATATTAAGGTCATATATATTTCTGTTATAACAAAATTGTTAATAATAACTAACGGAAGTGTTAATGCATACATTGATTAGAAAAAAAACCCATAATATCTGTTGATTTTAGAAATACTTTGAAATTAGAATTCTGAGAATTGTGAAACAATATTGGACATTAATTTTTGCTGCTTATTTCAGAATGCCAGACAGAGTATTAAAACCAGAAGATTTTGATCAGAGAAATAGGGGAAAGAGTTGGATGCCACAGTTAGGCTTTCAGAAACACAGTGGTTATAGAGGAGACAGAAAAGATAGTTCAGCAGCCAATAGAATGTTGAGGTTTGTTCTTAAACTTGATATCCTTCAGCTCATATTCTTTATAAAGTTATTATTGTATGAAGCCAGACTTGGATAAAATTCCTGTATACCAATAGTTAGCCACTTACAAAAGTCTGTTATTTGACTACCTTTATGACCACAAAATTGATGGCCAGGAAGATGACTACTTCCACAATATTCCTAGTATCCAATACAGATTCAGGAGATTCTTTCACAAGACTTTCACTTTCTCACTTTGGTCAAGAAATTTAAAAATGTTTATAGACCAGATATGAAGATGATCCCCAATTGTGACTGAGGAAAAAAAGATGGTCACCTTGGTCTTCTTCAAACCAACTATAAATACATAGCCACCTCAGGTTGAAATGGGGACATTAATTCAGATGCCTTCTGTAGAGAGAGTGTCATGCTCTCTGCACTTTAAAAAAAACCCTTGCAGCAATTCAAAAAGAAGTCATTGTCATTCAAAGAAGGACAATCTGGGTCAAATCCCTATTTTACATATATTTGAAAAAGGTCTCCTCATAATGAAAGTGTTAATGCCACTTTCATCACTTATGGATATTTCACTCCTGAGATTTTTGTCAGCAGATTTTTATAAAATTCATATCCGAAGTTTTGTAGCAGCAATATTGTCAAAGAGTCCAAAAATTAGCGCCAATCAATTTTTGACAGGACTATTGCTCCTTGTAGTTAAGGTAAATTATATTGGATATTGTGTTGTAAGTACTCTCACGCCTACTTTTTCTTTCACATTTTTATGAAAATTATATCAAAGGTTCATTTGAGAATGTCTTGTAAACCTGATGATCTATGCACTTTAAATGGAAAACAATTATAACCCTTGGACAGATAAAACATGTGCTGTGTCTTGGGACATTAAAATGATGTTTTTTTTCAGGGATGGAGTAATGCTAATTAGTAATTATAATGCCGTGTAATGCATAACTTTTTCCAAAGTAATGCACGTAATGTGTAATGCCCCAATTTTGGCATTACATGTAACTATTATAGAAAATTGAAATGTTGACTATGCATTTTTTTTTTTATAGAGGAAGTTTGGGACGAGGTAACAACCAAGGAGGCGGAGGTTGGAACAGACAAAGTATGTACAAATCTCATAGTGCTCCCTCACTAAGGTATCCAAGAGGTTGGTAATACTTTCCTCTCAGTTTAGGCATGAGGTTTAGGCAATCACAAACAGTTTTCTGACAACAGAATCTTTCAAATCATGATCAGAAAATATCAGTTGTGTTTGAAACTATTTATCATTTGTACACAACTTTTTAAAATATTTTTCATCTTTGTATTATGCCATACATCAATCAGGAGAATCAGAGATAAATGAAATTCTGAATAATGATATATGTAAGATTAGGCAGACATTGTTCTTTTCAGAATTACATATCATGACTGGTCTTACATTGAATATTGCATCTTAACTTAGGATAGTTAAAACTCAACTTTTCAGGATAGATTAACCGAGGATCTTGTGGAGAAACTTATTGAAAAGAACTGATGAGAGCATAATTTGAAATATGTTCTTTTAAAATTGCTGTGCAAAATTTAGACTGAAGAATATATGTAAATCTTCTCTGACTTAATGAGAGTAGTGAATAAAATTGAGGCAATTGATTTTCGAAAGAAATGATGTGCTTCATTCAGTTCATAAAATTTGCTCTTCATAACTTTTAAATTTACTACAAAGGTATTTACAGGTAATTTCTGTACACATTACTTTGTCAGATAACTGTTCATTGTTAGCATGTTTTAAAGTTTTTTATTATTATTTGTTAACAAATGGTTTGTAATATTTTTTGATATACAGTATCAAAACCATTTTTCAAAACTTGTGTCGATTTTGAGCATAAAAGAAATTTTGCTAAAACAGTGAGAATAATGTCTGGGGAAAATTGGGTTGTGTATTCTAATGCCCCTATTTGGATAGTATTAAAAGAGTCTTCTCATTTAAGAACCCCATTGAGACAGCTATTTGAGGGATCTGTAGGTGATGTGTTCCAAGGCTAAAATTCCCCCCATCCCAAAATAATGATTTTTATGCAAATTTCTACACCTTCACGTACATTTGTTGGAAGATCTTTACAATTGCCATTTCACACCTAATGTTAAATGTATTTTTGTACATGTTTTCAATTCTGTGATTGGTACCTATACATTTTAAAACAAATTGCTCATGATTTAAAAGGAATACTCAATTAATACATTTACTTTTACTTTTATAGTAAAGACACATAAGCAGATTTCATTCTCCTACATTTTCTGTGGTTTTTTTTATTGATACTGTATAACTGATACTTTTACTGTTATCTAAACTGTTAATCAATTTCACACTTTTTAATCACTTTCACACTTGTTGATTAATTTCACACCTTAAGTATTGTTAATTGTGTACTGAATATTAACACTAATCTGTTCTTATACCATTTTGGTCAGAAATCATTTAGGTTTATTTCCCCCAAAGTTATTTAGTTGAGTCTATAGCAAAAATTTTCGCAGGCGATACCAAAATTTATGCACCAACTTCTAAATCTGATGTCTTACAAAATGATCTCGACGCACTCTACAATTGGTCATGGTTATGGGATATGAAATTTAATGTGAACAAATGTAAGCGAATCCACTATGGAAGAAACAATCCTGAAAATGTGTATACCATGAACAATATTGATATCACTAAAGATGAACAAGAGAAGGATCTTGGAATTATTTTTCAAAAGGATCTTAAATTTTCACAACACATTTCAAGTAAAATAAATAAAGCCAATAGTATACTTGGGTTGATTAACCGGACTTTCAGCTTTAAAGATCAATCTACATTTTTAAGACTATACGTTGCGTTGGTACGACCACACGTGGAATATGGAAACATTAATATGGTATCCGCATTTGAGGAAAGATATTAATGCAGTAGAAAAAGTGCAGATGAGAGCAACTAAATTAATTCCTGATATAAGACATTTGGGTTATGAAGAAAGATTAAAAGTACTTAAACTTCCTTCTCTTACTCACAGAAGGCGAAGAGGTGATATGATACAAGCTTTTAAAATTATAAAAGGAATCGGAAGATATATCTTATGAAAGATTTTTTACTGTTATCAGGACAAATACCCATAGGCATAATTGGAAATTAGTAAAACCTAGATGTAACACTTCTTTTCGTTTAAGACATTTTTCACAACGTATTATAAATGTTTGGAATAACCTACCAGTTGAAGTTATTTTTTTCAAAAACTATGGAAGCTTTTAAAATTAGTATAGACCGTCATTGGGAGTCAGTAATATATCAGTTAAGTAATTGATGAGGACACAAATAGTTTTTCTATAACTTTTTAATTGTATGAAATATTGCACCAAACCATGCAGGATTGATGTTTGTATCAGTTATAAAAGTGTACCAAAATAAGGTGGGCTAAAAAGGATAGGATCCTTCCATATGAGCCCCACAATGATCTTACAGGTATCTTACAGGCATTTACACTTAAATGATCTACATTGACTTGACAATAAGACTTTGGGGGTGAAACGAAACAAGTTTTTTTTAAGAATTAGCTTTGTCTTATACTTCTACTATGAAGATATCACTTTTATCCAATTAGTAACTTTTATTTCTAATTATGTGATACACTAATACAAGTTCATTTTCAAAAACCATGTTATTATTAACACAGAAGCACATTTCACAAAATGATAAGGAAACAGGTAGTTAAAAATAAAAATGTCTTTCAACTCTGTTCATCCATGCTATTTAATTGTTTGGAGTTATCTCCCTTGTCACAGTTGAGTTTGCCACATCCATGCTATTTATTTGTTTGGAAATATCTCCCTTGTCACAGTTGATTTTGCCACATTCATGCTATTTATTTGTTTGGAATTATCTCTCTTGTCACAGTTGATTTTGCCACATCTATGCTATTTAATTGTTTGGAATTATCTCCCTTGTCACAGTTGATTTTGCCACATCCATGCTACCGTATTTATTTGATTGGAATTATCTCCCTTGTCACAGTTGAGGTAATCATTTCCATATTTGTATCTTTAATAGTTACTGTTTTAACGATATTATCAAATAAAATAAATGCTGATGAGTCCTACCTATGTAGTATGTTTTTTGTTTTTTTCTTTTACATGACTATCAAGGGTCTGGAAATGTTTTTACATGATTTGAGTCATTTGATGATGATCTAAAAGCCAGAGTCTCTCATTCAAATAGTCAAATTTATACTGGGTGTCAAGACATAAGCGAGTTTGTATCAATGCTTTTGTTGTATGATCTACAAAAGCGAGTTTGTATCAATGCTTTTGTTGTATGATCTGCAAAAGAGAGTTTGTATCAATGCTTTTGTTGTTTGAATGATCTGCAAAAGCAAGTTTGTATCAATGCTTTTGTTGTATGATCTGCAAAAGCGAGTTTGTATCAATGCTTTTGTTGTATGATCTGCAAAAGCAAGTTTGTATCAATGCTATTGTTGTATGAACTGCAAAAGCGAGTTTGTATCTATGCTTTGTTTTATGAACTGCAAAAGCGAGTTTGTATCAATGCTTTTGTTGTATGAACTGCAAAAGAGAGTTTGTATCAATGCTTTTGTTATATGAACTGCAAAAGAGAGTTTGTATCAATGCTTTTGTTGTTTGTATGAACTGCAAAAGAGAGTTTTTATCAATGCTTTTGTTGTATGAACTGAAAGTTTGTTTCAATGCTTTTGTTGTATGGACTGCAAATTTATTAGGAATTGATCATGCTACTTTAATTTTTTTTTAAATGGAACTCGTTTTCAGGCCGATTATAAATTATGAATAAAATCAGATTTACAATAGAGTTTTTTTCTGACTTTCAAGTGGCAGTTTTTTCAGAATCATACTTGTAAAAGTTTTTTAATATGATTAATGATCGTTTAACTTAGATTAAAGCACATTTTACAATTAAACGTCTTGTAATGATCAAAACCGAGGGACACATGCATGCATAATGAATATCTGCATGTTTGACTTAAATTTAGTTTTTTATAATGATTTGAATAGTAATCTTTTATTTTAAAATCTTGACTATTGACAGCTTTTGCTTCAAAGTTATTTCATAACAATGACAATCGTCTGTACATGGTAGTGGGATAATGGGATAATCACTTTTGAACAATCTGTGCATAATTTGAAAAAAGCAAAATGAGGTCAAACAGTGGAACATGTTATCCTATGTCCACATTAAATGAGACACACATTCATTTTGTTTTTATTTGGGATAACAGCTTGGTGTACATATTTTGACACCATGGTATACTTTCTGAAGGTTTGAGATCTGTAACAGATGGCTTTCATTTGATTCGCTATAGTTAATTCTGATGTATTCCCTTCTACATAAGGTATGAATTTGGACTAGAATATGTTAGTATGAATTTGTGAAATTATCCAAGAGTTATGTCTTATAAAAAGAAAATGTTAATGTGCAAATGCGGCCAATTACGAGCCTTTTAATCTCAAATTGTTTTGGAAATAGATGATTTGATTTAAAGGTGTGCCAACAGTATATATTTCTAAGTGTCTTAGTTTGGTACAGATTTAAATGTAACTTATAAATCAGATTCAGTATGTTGGTACTCGTACAATACAAGGTTTATTGATATAACATTCAGAGCTCCAATTAAGCTGTGTACTTGCATGATTATGCAATAAAAACAATAAAAAAGCTCAATCCATTTGTTTATTTCTGTGTTCAAAAAGCAAAGGAATGCAAAATAAACATAATTATGAGTTAAAAAACTATGCTTTCTAAAGCCTTCTAGTTGCTGTAGTTTGCCTTATTTACCCTAATGGATAAATTGTTGTCGAGTAATTTATCTAATTTTGTAATTTAGGAAATCTGCTTTCATTCTAAAATTAGAGCTTCAAATCAGCTGATGTGGATTGCTGTTCGAATTTCTAAATCAATTACCCCTTGCTCAAAGAGTGTATCCCAGTAAGCAATAGACACCAGTTTATAAAGTTTAGTTTATTTACTTGAAACTTAACGCTGTTTTAGGGATAAGTAAAAATAAGATCTCTTTTGATTTTGAAATATTATTGGTTTGTTGTTCAAGAGATAAAGACTTTTACCCTCATATTTAAGTGGCATGTTTCATACTAAATTGAGCCTTGGATTGTATGTAAAGTAAAATCAGACTGTTGAGTTAGATTAACTATTAAAAGAGTAATAACTTGAATTAAACAATTCATTTAGCTAGTGCATGGTTTATTCTGATGATTAATATTATTTTTAATCTGTATCTTGTCATTGGAATTTTGTATTTCTTATATAATTACACCTTATATAAAAAAGCCAGATTTTGATTGGTTGATAGCCAGTGTATTTTTCGCATATTCTAATATTTTTTCCTCATTTCAAACGAATTTGCCTGTTTTTCACCACTGCCGGTGAATTTGCCTCAAATACCATGGTATTTGCCATTTTGGATAATCCTTTTTTACTCTCTCGAGCATTTTCCCTCCAAATTTTTTCGGATATGACATTACATAAAAAAGGGAGCTAACGCCCGCGATTCTATGATAATATCCTCTTATCCTCAAAATTATGCATAAATATGTTAACGAATTAGTTTCAATCCAAATCTATTTGGTGTAATTAAACAGATATATCATGTTATGGAGGGGTATTTGCGAAAAATACCAGTCTTGGGACCGAATTTCCCTCGCCTAGCGACTTTAAATATGATAGGCAAAGTGAAAAACAGAAAGTGTTTGCTTAGTATGTTTTAAAAATGTTGTATAGTAATATTCTAATATTTTCAGCAGGGAAAAAGAGTTTGAAGAGAAACATTTTTTTTATGTGAACATGACAAACTTATTAATTTTTTTTAAGTATTGATTGATGTCTGTGTGTCCTGTTTGACTTAATTTCTTGGTTAATGTCAATATCACAAGATACAAGATATGGTTTACTGTGAATTCATTATTATTCATGGAATACAAATTTTTGTGGATTTCGTGGGTATTGGTGAACCACGGATTTAGATGTTCAATGAAGTACAAATTTTCTAAAGGCTTGTATACAGACTTTGCCAAAACCATGAAATCAAATATCCACAAAAATACAATGTATCTTCTGTCCACGAAAATAAATGAATCAACAGTACAAATGAATGTAACTACTGGGTAGATTGTTGGTTGTATAATAAAAAAGTCCCCCATGCTTGTAATTATCTTGTTCACACAATTTTCCTATCCCACTACCCACTAAAAATAAAATCTGATTTTGCTGCCACAAAGACATCTTGTTCTAGCATATCCTGTAAAAGATACCTCATTCAATGTAAAGGATTGATATTTTTGTGAAAATGATTGTTGATATGTGCGATTTTACACATTATGAAGACATAAAAAAATATTGAAAGAATATCTTACTGACAGAAAGAACATTAATTGTCATCTTAAAGAGGGTTGGACTGGTTTTAATGGACTTTCCAATGACCTGAATAGATGATCACAGCTGTGTTTTTGTATACTGTCTGAGTTGTCTTGTACCCTTTAGAAAATGGATGTAGCACCATTTGACATGTGCCTTGTTCCTTTGTGACCCACATATGACCTTGACCTTTGACCTCAAGATCAAACTTTAAATTTTTACTTTTTAATTACTTATATAGCCATATCGTCCCACATATTGCACTCAAAGGCTTGAAGAGGGGGTGAGGCAAGGTTTAGTTCACTGAAACAATTCTATAGGACATGTGATAAAAGATGGTACTTTTACAGTGAAATAACACTGATGAAGCCTCAGTCTAAACAAGATTGATAAATTTTATTTCGTTAATCACATTTTAAAAGTGACAATATAATTAACTCAATTAGTTAATGTGATAATTTTCTTTGGTGATAGTCTTGGAGTGGAACATTTTAATTGGCATATTGTCAGTCCCAGTTGGTCATTACGTTCACAACTACAACAAAGTTTTTGACGTAAGTCAATCAACATCTAATCTCATAGAGTATGCCATGTGAATCAAAATAAAAGGTACATTCACAACACATTATTATAAATGCCAATTTTTATAAACATTATCTAGTTATAAGATTGGCAATGGAATCTAGATGATTAATTAAATATGTAAATTTATTCATGACAATGTAATTCTTTTCTCAATCATGTCTAATTAATTGTTATTGGCCAGTCTTTGCGACCTCATAGGCATACTAAGTCAATTGTTGACTTCGAAAAAGATTTACTTCTCACAAATAAATTGGATTTCTTGCCTCATAACTCTCGTCAAAACTTGTCAATTTTTTCAAAGAAGTAATCTTTGGTTTCTAATGACTCTATCTCTTTCTAATATTCCAACTGTGTAAATAGGAAGAAATTTGGTTGGCGAAGAACTTGATGTGTATTGGCCAGCACTTGAGAATAATTACGCAGGAATCTTACCGTTATATTTAATCACGATGAAGCTTTATCGCAAGTTCTACTCTTTATGTCATTTTTATAACAAGGTTTCTTTCAGTGATTGAAAATTTTATGCAGTTTTTAAGGTTATTGCTTTTTTATAGCAAATATTGATGCCACAGATGAACATTTAAAAAATAGAAGACCAAATATCTTGAAAAGCACTTCAATATCTAATCTATTATGGGATTTATGTTTGATGTCTTCTACAAATATATTATTTATTGAGAGAATCTGAATTACATTTACCCACAGTATTTGGCTTAAAACAATACAAATGTATTGACAAATATTTAAATGTTTTATACTTTTCTTTTAAATTTTTTCACAAACTTTATTGATCAGAATATTAATTAAACCAATTATGGTTTTTATACAAATTTAACTAAACTAGGTTCTATGCAAAGAAAAAGTTTAACTACAACATATTATGTCATATTCTTTATACATATATTGCTGGTTTGGGAATCTTATATTCTTTATATTTTTATGCCTCACCTTTGCATTATGTTTTACCGTCTCTGCATCCATCCATCTATTAGTCCGTCTGTACATCTGTCCATCTGTCTATCCTGTATCAGGTTGATATATTGTTTTAAGGTGGTATACCATTAAGTTGTGTTCACATTAGATTGAAACTTAGTTTATATGTTCATTATGTATACTTTTTAGAGTTTATGCCAATAAGGTGTTTGACCCAGATTCCATGGTTCACTTGTCGATTTAAAGTTTTGTTTTAAAGTAGTTCACCATAAAGTTGTGGTCACTTTACCATGTGAACTTTTCAAAAATGTACCGGTATGCCAAATTAGGGTTTTTACCAAGATTTTGCTCTGCACTGAACATGTAAATGTTGATTGTGCAAGTGGGGCATGGTGTCCTCTGGGTATATTTTCTACTTTATCACAATATAAAAATTATAATTTACAAATGTTACCAAAGATTAGCAGTGAAAATTTCATTAGGCATATTATATGTGTCTCGAGATATGTTTAAATTATGAATAAAGTTCTAGAAGTTTGAATGTTTGAGAATGTGAGAGAAATTATTTTTAGTAAATAAATCTGAACCTGTTTATTATAACAGACTGCGCCCACATGGGAATGCACAGTTAATATAAAATTTGATTTTTTAATATCTTTAATTGCAGTCTTTGATTTTATATGATCACAGAAAATAAGGTTACACTATGTCAAAATTTTACACAATTTCATTATTTATCAAATTTTAGTGAGAACTTCAATCAGATTAAAGATAGAAATAATTCTTTCTTTGAAAATTATGAGTATAATTGATACATTATTAATATTTACAGTCTGTGTATTATGAATGTTTCTTTTGAATATATCATTCTTTGAGTATTTAAATACCATGCACAGTTTAACACGATTAATTCTTTAAGTTTACAGATAATTTTAGCTTAAGAAATGAATTATTTAGTAGAATAACCTACCATCTTCCCAGCAGATAATTATATGTTTATCATGTCGGTAATTATAGCATCAATTAAGCTTGTGGCCTTGCCATATTTTCCACCCCAGAAGTCTGCAGCTGCTACCAGGGAGAAATAACACCCAGCTCTTCCCAAACATCTTTTTCTGATCACATTTAATGATTTTACTTCAGGACTTTTCAACAAAATAGACAAATCATTGTGCATGAGTTAGCATTTGACAAATTGTACCATGATGGTGCGTTTGACTCGCTTGATTCTTTAATGAGGCATTGATATGTGTTAAAAGATGTGATGCCCCAGGCTTATGACAGACAGAGCTTGTTAATTCAATAACTTACACCTGATTTGCTGTGTGGCCTTAGAATTATTTTTTAGCACAAGCTTTGAAACCCATTGAGTAAGGGTTTTTCTTTAATCAAAAGTTTTTGTCTTTGATTAACAATGTTTAAGACCTCCTTATTACTTTCCATATATCATCAACAAGGTTCTTAGAATATGATCTAGTAGGTAGAAAGGCTATTGAACACTATATTTGTAAAAGAAACAAATAAATTGTTTTCTCTTTTACACAGTATGTAATTATACTACAGCTACTTAGAAAGGTGTTATGAAAATTCTTGGTGTTCTACTTATAATTTCTAAAGAGATAGAAAAAAATAAAAGGTCCTTTATATTTATTATTTGCACAAGCCAATTTTTTTTTATTTCAGCAAATAATTATTATCATAAAACAATTTTACATGGGTTATGTGCTAATTTCCTTTGAATTAATACCTTAAATGATTGATTTTATTACTAATATTTTTTGTAAATATGTTTTTTTTTTTTTTTAAAGGCGGTGGCTATGGTGGTGGTTATGGTGGTGCTCAAGGTTACGGAGGTGGAGGTGGTGGCTACAACAGTGGAAATAACAGAGGAGGAGGTCAAAGGTTAGTATTTACTCTAAATTATCCAGTTTTCATCAGTAATTGCACATAACATAGGATCTTTTGTCCCCCGCACAACACTTTGTGGGGGACATAGAAATACCGGGTGTCCGTCCGTCTGGTCTTGTTAGCGCTCTCACTTGTACAATTCTTGCAAGATTTTTATAAAACTTATACCATAGAATTATATCAGCAATGTCTCAGACGTGTTTGAAAATCAGTGCCGATCAAATATTTTTAAGAGAGATGCCCCTTGGAAACATTAGTTATATAGAAAATTGCATCGTTAGTGCTCTCATCTGTTCAATTCTTGTTGGGGGCCTTGGTGGCCGAGTGGTCTAAGTAGTTACTACTGTAATCACTAGCCAGTCAACACTGAGGTTGTGAGTTTGAACCCCGCTCGTGCGGGTGCACTCGACTCCAATCTTAATTGACTAGGATTGTCAATTTTCCTATCGAAGGTTGGTGGTTTTTCCCCTGCACTCCGGCTTCCTCCACCAATAAAAACTGGCCGCCACGAAATAGGCCAAAATTGGTGCTTAAAAGTGGCGTTAAAACACCAAAAATCAAATCAAATCAATTCTTGCCAGATTTTATGAAACTTGTATTGTAGGTTAATATCAGCAATGCCTTGGACGGGTTTGAAAATCAGTGCCGATCAATAATTTTTAAAAGAGTTATGGCCCTTAGAAATATGAAAATTGCATTGTTAACCCTCATGTGTAAAACTCATGCCAGATTTTTATGAAACTTATATTGTAGGTTTATATTAGCAATGTCTCTAATGAGTTCGAAAACCAGTGCTGATCATTCATTTTTAATAGAGTTATGCCCCTTAAAAATATTAATTATATGGAAAATTACATTGTAAGCACTCTCATGTGTACAATACTTGCCAGATTTTTTTCAAATTCATATCAATGGTTTATAACAGCAATGCCTCTGACAATTTCGAAAATAAGTGCAGATCAAATATTATTAATGAGTTATGCCCTTTGGAAATACCAAATATTTCGGAAATTGCTCTCAAGTCTTCAACTCTCAAAGATAATAAAAAAAAGTTTTAAAGAACATAAAAAAAGTTTTTTATGCCCCAGCGATAGAGGAGGGGGCATTAAGTTTTACCCTTGTCAGTCTGTACGTCCCAAAGTTGGTTTCCGCTCTCCAACCAAATGTTATGAAACTTATACACAATGCTTATAACCACAAAACACAGATCAAGTTTGAATTTTGGTGGTGTCACTTTAACCGTTCTAGAGTTATGCCCCTTTACAAATGGAAAAATTGCTGAATTTTTTGTTTCCGTTCTCTTACTTTAGTTTGCCTCAATCAAATGTTATGAAACTTATACACAATTCTTATTACCACAAACCAAAGATCAAGTTTGAATTTTGGTGGTGTCACTTTTACCGTTCTAGAGTTATGCCCCTTTACAAATGGAAAAATTGCTGATTTTTTTGTTTCCGTTCTCTTCTTTAGTTTGCCTCAATCAAATAATATGAAACTTATAAACAATGCTTATTACCACAAAACTCATATCAAGTACAAATTTGGGTAGCGTCACTTTTACAGTTCTAGAGTTATGTTCCTATATAACTTTATATGCTAGCAGGGGCATCATCTGTGTCCCATGGACACACTCCCCATTTATTTTAGTTATGGCCCTTGGACTGATAAAATATTTGCAACACGGGGGACATTGGAACTCTGTTCTTTTATATTTACAGGTATCAGAGGTCTTTTAAGAATGAGATTCATACTACCAAAACTTATAACACACAAATCAATAGACAGAAAATTGTAAACAATAATCCAATCCAAAGAGTCTCAAATATACAGAAAATTGAATAGAATTAACAATGTAAATGTTTTCAAAGATTTTAAGTACAAAGATGGCCTTGATAAATTAAGATGGCGCTCACATGTGCTCTATATTTGACTCCCAACCCCCCCCCCCCCCCCTCAAGCTAAAAGGAATAAATAAATGTTTAACCAAAACTTGTTTTTCATTTTGCTACTAAATATATGGCTAACATTTTTTTAATCATGGCTAATTATTAATATTTGTGTATGAATTAGTTACAAATTTCTTGTAACTTTCATTCAAGTTAACCTTAAGCAAACAACAGTTTATCAATCTTTTGATAGAATTACACTCTTTGACTTGGAGAATTTTAAAAGAAAAACTGTTTTCATCAGCTTTGTCAACCTTATTTTAAACTTTTGAGCTAATACTTAAGATATATATCATATAAACCCATATGAATTTAATTCTAGTTAATCTACTCTTCTCCAGTTTTCAGCCTCATGGCATTTAAAATTTCATTAAAATAAAAAGTTTTCTCTTTTATAGTTAGTCATCTTTCTTTGCAGGATATTGAAGTAATTTGTGAATTTTTTTTATGATCCAGATTTTCATATTAGTCATAAGAATAAAGTTTATTTGAATAAAATGGTTGCTGACTAATTTTCCTACTGATTTGACCATATATTCCTATATATTTTTAAGCAATAATAAATTTAATGCAAATAAGTTTTCTCTCCTTTATTGTCAGCCTAACTTCAAGATATAGTTGAACTGATATATAGTATATAATTCTAGAATGTCAGTGAAGTAAATAAATAATGCCAAAAAATAGTTAGATAATATATATTGTTCTGGTTTTCAGCAAGACTTTATTTCATTATATTTTATTATTTATATTATATTGTTCTGATATAAGGTTTATAATTGTACCATTTGTAAATAAATGTCACACAGGAGTTTTTTTCTTGAACTAATTATTGACAACAGTAATTTTTCTGCAAATAAATGTTTTCTGTTTATTTTTCACTTATTTGTTGGGATATTATACAAATTATTTGGTATGTAATTGTTAATGTAATTTCAGATAAGGTTTACGTTTTTTGTTTCAGTTAGTATTTAGAAAATTAAATTTTTTATATGATTATGGTTGTCCTTTTAATCGTTTTTGTAGGATATAAACCTACAGACTCTAAAAAGACTTTTGGTCATCTGACATTTATGCATATTTTGACTCAATCCAAACTTAAAATGAAAATGATTGTATTGTAAGATGTGCAACCATTTAGTCAAACTCAGTTGGTATATATGGGAAGAATGAATTTTATAAAACTAAAAAGTGGAAGAGGGATCCCATGCAATTGATTTCAGGGTTAACGTAGGTTGATATGAAGCATATATTCTTGGTAAAGAGATTATTCTGAAAATTAAGTTTGAGGTAGTTTTATATGAAAAAAGTTACATTTTATATCATTGTAACAATAACTAATTTACATTAATGAAATGAATGCCAATCATGTAAGGATGAACAAGTATAAGTCAGTTGGCTGAATTATAATTGCTAGATATTGAATTTTAATCTAAAATTATGTCTATTGGTTTGGACAGTATTATGGATGGAAATTCACATAAAAAAGATATATAAAAAATACTACAGGAACTGAACATTTCACTTAAAGACCTCTAGCTCTGTATATGTATTAAAAAAAAATCCCTTTTATCATGACCATTCTTTGATTTAAATGTATAATCCATGGTATACAAAGTAGGTAAATATTCAAATAATTACATTTTCAAAGACAATTAATTTTCTTGTTTCATTGAGTAGTATATAAGTAGAAGTTTAAAGAAGTATGGCCTTCAGAAAATTATTTTACAATAGGTATCTAATCTTTGATGATATGTTTTTTAATCAAATTTAAGTGAGATATTTTGACAGTTATTTGCTTTTTAAACTAAAACTTTCATGAAAGAAATTAAGTAACAATATCAATACAGTAGTTTCAAAAATTTTCTAAACAAAATTTTGAAATTTGTTTATTGTTCGTTTTTATTTTAAACTTGCAGATTTTTATGTTGCATATGGAGGTGTATTTCATGTCCAAAATGATTATTTTAGTCATTTTATTTTGATAAAGATGTACTATTGACATCTTCCTTTATTCATTGTCTGTTTTGAAGCAACTTAGAATTTTGTTTTTCCATTAAATAGTAATGAAATTATTTAATTGTTGAGATTAAATATCTTTTATGTCTTAAAATAGTTCTATAGAAAAAATATTACTAATTTAATGATTGAACATCCCTGATAAAAAGTTGACAGATGTGCATGGAAAAAGTCTGATGTCAGTGTCGATGTTGAATCAAATCAGGGCCCTTGAAGTGCCTTTGAGTATCTTTCGCAGTATCACAGGACACAACATTTAGACACTGATTCATCATAGCAAACGAAATGAAAACATAGAAGACGATATTGGTCTAGTAAATGATCTCATTAGATGTAAGCCAAAGGAAATTAGAACACAGGACCCACAATGGACTCACAAAAACTTGTAGCAATTAATTTTGGAGTGGGGTTGTTGAGATTGATAGGATTGTTAAAGATAGAAGTCTGCACACCTGTGCCGCTATCAAAGAATTGCTCCCCGCTACTTTCAAATGTAACAAACAAAAAAATCAGGGTTTGAATAGAACTTGAACTCTGAAAAGATATCATTGATGATTATTAATTGAGGTGTCATTTTTTCCTTTATTGGAAACAATACAAAAGTACTTGACGCATGCTGTATATACATTCGAACGTAAATTTCAATCTGTTTGATATCTTACCTCTGCACTAGTGTTTTACTCAGCAAATATCTCCTTAGAATTATTGATCTTATTTAATAATATTGTACTCTAGTAATATTTTTAAATTGACTACAGTGTTTTGTTAGGTATACTTGAGTTCTTAATTCTCTGACTGCAAGGTTTAATATTTTGATTATTTGCAGGATTTTTTCATTAAGATAGAAAAATATGTCAATCATGATGTTAAAGGTTACGTAAACTTATGACTTACTTTTATCCCCTGTCATTGTTCTAATATTACGGAATTTATCAAAATACTTGACTTTCTGTACCCACCAATTTATCATTTTATTTTTACTTTTTGTGATTTCCACTGACACTATCTGTGTGGTAGTAAAGCTGCTAGAAAAAGTCTTGGGTCAATTTATTTTCTAACTAGCATTGAATGTTAGGTTTAGCATGTTGTTATTTTTATCTTAGTCCTTAATAATTATTAGAATTTTTGAGATATTTTATTTAGATTAAGTTGGAAAATGAAATTTTAAAATAGATTTTGAGAAAAGAGAATTTTTTATTCAATAACATGATTTCTTCATCAAAGTGAAATTTCTATAGAACTTATGTATCTTATAATAATGCCAAGGTAATAAAAAAGATGTTTTTCGCCTGCAATAGAAAGGGGGTATTATTTTTTCTGGTGTGTGCATCCAACCAACTAACCATACTTCTATTGGCCATCCCATCTCTGTTTAAAGTAGTTTACCATGAAGGTTGAGTCACATCAATTTTCAGCTTAAAAATGTTCATTACGCTGTGAACTTTTTAAAAATAAATGTCAAATTAGGGTTTTCACTCAGATGTCACTGCTCACTGAACATGGAATGTAATCAATGCAGAAAGATGTTGGAAGTTTTAATTTTTACTATTGTCTGCCTGTACATGGTGAAAAAAAATATATTTTGTTCAATTGTTTCAGATTACCAACTCATTTGTAATTGGAAATAAAACTCCTGACCAGATTTTACACATTTCACATAGTGCCAGTGTTTTTATTGCCCTGCTGCAGTGGAGGGGACATTAGGTGTTACCCTTGTCTCTCTGTAGTCTGTACGCCCCAAAATTAGTTTCTGTTCTCTAACTTAAGTTTGCCTCAACCAAATATTAGGCAACTTGTACTCAAATGCTTATTACCACAAAACACAGATCAAGTTTAAATTTGGGTTGCCTCTCTTTTAGTGTGCTTGAGTTAGGCCCTTTATAAACGGAAAAATTGCTGAATTTTTTTTTTTAGTTGTCTAACTTAAGTTTGCCCCAGCCAAATGTTATGAAACTTATATACAATGTTTATTACCAGAAAACACAGATCAAGATAAAATTTGGGTGGCATCACTTTTACAGTTATGTCTCTTTATAACGTCATATCATGTTTCGGAGTTAAGTGTGACGTCCATTTTCACTGAACTAGTACACATTTTTCTCGCTGTGTTGAAGACCCATTGGTGGCCTTGGGCTGTTTTCTGCTCTTTGGTTGGGTTGTTGTCTCTTTTGACACATTCCTAATTTCCATTCTCAATTTTATGCAAGCGGGGGCATCATCTGTGACCCATGGACGCATTCTCCATTTCTTAAGTTATGTCCTGAAAAAATGTGAAAAATAGATAAATGAGATGTCATCTTAATAAAAGGGTATGCTATAAAAAGTTAAGTTAGATTTAATAAGAAGATTAGAAACCATTGAACATAAGTTGAGGTTGAATTGATACATTTGGAATTTGTGGTTCTCAAGTTATAATTCTAAATAATGTGGAAAATTCAAAAATCAAGGTTTGTTTTTATTTTACATGAGTATTCTTGAAGAAAATATATTTTTTTAGTGCAATATGCAGATATCAAGATGGATTTTCCTGACAAGTACTCTTGATACTAGATCATTTATTAAAATCTTGTTTTGACACTGGTGTTTTTGTTTTTTATGTTGTATCATTGGATTACTGTTTTATTGAAGTATGTCCTACATCTTTGTTAAATGTAGCAAAATCATAAGAGAAAAGAAATAAGGCTGGTGGGAATCTAGAAATATCTGATAATGACCGAAGGAGAATTAAATCTTTTTGGCATTTTTCAGATATGGTAACCAAGGTAACCATGGTTGGCAAGGCAACATGAACAATCAGGGAAATGCATATAATAGAAATCAGCAACAGGGAGGATATGGAGGCCATCAAGGAGGTTATAATCAAGGTGGAGGTAATTGGAGTGGAAATCAAAGAGGAGGTAATTGGGGTGGCAATCAAGGAGGAGGTAATTGGAGAGGAAATCAACAGGGTGGCAGTAACTGGGGAGGTAGCAGAAACCAACAGCAGAATAGAGGAGGAGGAGGAAATTATAATAGTGTAAGTATAAAGTGATATGCATATAAGAAAATACAATATTATGTTGATAAGCCAGAACAGTGTGTTTTACCATTAAACTTTGCATGAGTGGTTGGAAACTTAGGTGACTTTCATGTATAGATATATAAGCAAACTTGTTTCTTGTTAGATAAATATTCAGAAAAATCTTAATAAATCATTTTTTTGCAAGATTAACAGTTTATGGTTAAACAAAACACACATTAAAATGTCTGTTACATTTTGAAGGAATTGGATTTCCTATATAGAGACAATATACAATGGATACGTAAAACTATTTTGTTGAAAGGAGTAAGTTCGGTAAGAGCCATATTTGGCCTCGATTATTAGGTTCAATGTTTCAAGATAAAAAAATGTTTTATTTTGATGTAAAGACATGTAAGAAAGTTAAAACATTTTTTTTGTATAAGTTTTATATTAAAGCATTGATTTTTACATCCAAAATAGACCAAAAATAGAGAATTTGGAAAATTTGACAAAATCATTCGGATATCAACCGAATTAAGGCCTAGAAAGCATAGAGGGCAGGTGTCAACAAACTAAATATTCAAGTCAGAAATGTAAAATGTTATAACAAACATTGTTTGAAAAGATAATTTTTGTCAACGTATGCATTTCCTGTCCAAAAAATCTATGGAAATTAACCCGTTTTCATTGAATTTTCGTTGAAAATCAATGTGAGTGCTATTTGTGACGTCTTGAATTGAAAGCAAGTACATAAATTTTCGACAAAAAGACATATTTCCTACCTAGATTATGTATTAGCTATGATTCATTGTGATATTGGTCAATAAATCCTAACTTGAAATTGTTGCTAGAAATAGGGGCCATTTTAGGGCCTTATCGATTCTACTGCTTTCTATTCATAAACAGTTTATGAAACATGATAAAAAGTACGAAATATAAAAAATAAAAAATTAGCTTTGAGAAATGTTAAGTTTGGAAGTTCATTAAAAGCATTACATTGCACATTTTCTCATTAAACATACAATTTTCCATTCTTATACATGAACGTATTATATACTTTCAGAATAACAGAGGACAAGATAGATACAGACCATACTGATGTAATCTTTTGAAAGAACAGAATATTGCACATAAAACAAACATTATATGAGAATACAAGTGAAATTATAAATAATCCCTTATCTCAAGATTTGACAATTCAATTTTGAATATGAAAATGTTTTGGACATCTAGAGCATGAACACAGACATAATATGATACATCTTTAACCAACAGCAAGATATAAAATGGTTTAATTTGATTTGTCAAGTCTTGTTTTGAGTTTGGTTATAATACATAACAAATGTATTACAATGTATGTGAATTTCAAATTAGTGAATGATGTTACAGTACCACATCGAATAGTAATATTCATGGATAGTATTCAATAGCATCATTTAATGTGCTGTAAATATTTTCATGATTATTTATAAGTAATATATAAATAAAGAACTGATTGAAAGTAAATGCTTGAGATATTTTTTTTTAAATTCTTCAAATATGTTTAAAGTACACATATTTTTTTTAAATCCAAGATATTTAAAACATAAGTTCAGAACACATACCACTCATCATGTCATGTCTTAACTTAATTATTTCTTTAGTCTTAAGAAACAGTGAATACTGAAATTTCAATTGTATGTTTTATATGTCATGTAACTTCATGGTATTTTAATTAATTTATAAGATCAAACTTCCTTGTAAATATCATGATGAACAATTAAAATTATTATCATTATTCAGAGTCTGGTGTTATTTTTCTTCTATTACAAATGAACTTTTTGACTTTGATTTCATATTGTTTTTAATGTGGAGTGGCTAAAAAAATTTGGGGCAAATAAATCAATTTTTGGCCCAAAAATATGAAGAATGTGTATGAATAATTTTTATGATATACAAAAACATTGAAAAGTATACATCGATTAAGAAAATAAAATGATTTGACATAATTTTCAAAGTGTGGATGTCACAATGACGTCATACTATACCATCATTTTATAAAAATAACAAAAAGAACTAATTAAGAGTTTTCATGCAAAAGTTAGGGACAGGGAATGTCTGAAAGGTGTACTTGTTCGTCTGGCAGCTTCTGTCTGACCTTGTGATCCATTTCACAGTTCATTGGTCAATGTTAAGTTTGTGTGTTTTGATCTGTTTCTCAGATACACAAGATGTCAACTGTATAGTGTGTATAGGTATATTCTATTTAGCATTGCATCTGATCTTGGTCTCATTTTCATGGTTCATTGATCAATTTAAAAGTTCCATTGTTTAATCTATTTTCTATAAGCAATAGGTTAAACATATTTGATGTAAGAAATCATTGTAAGGTATACATGTCTGTCTGGCAGCATTCAATTTTGACCTTGACATCAATTTCATTGTTCAATGGTCAGTGTTCAGGTTTTGTTGTTAGGTCGGTTTCTCTGTTACTAAAAGCAGTAGGTGAAATGTATTTTGTGTACAGAATGAATTTTATGGTATACATGTGTACCTGGCAGGGTTCATCTTACTTTTACCTCATTTACATGGATCATTGATAATGTTAAAGTTGTATGATACTTTTATTAAACTTTTATCTTAAAGGCTTTTAATATAAATTCAATAATGTTCAGTAAAGCAGGCAAAACATTTAAGAGTGTGTACTCTTGTGTAGTAAGCTGATGGCAATATATATATATATATATATATCTCGTGAGGGTCACATGTTTCCTGCAGACTTTTACCTTGTGTGGCTTCCATTATAAAACTAGACTACTACTGTGGATTCATTATTATTCGTTGGATACCAATTTTCGTGGTTTTCGTTGGTACAGGTGAACCACGAATTCAAATGTTCAACGAATAACTAAATTTCTATGGGCTTTGTGTGCAGAGATAGACAAAACCACGAATTCAAATATCCACGAAAATGCAAGTTTTCCTCAAACCACGAAAATTGGTACCCACGAAAATAAATGAATCCACAGTACTTGGACAAATAGGAAAGTTTTTCAGTGTAAAATATCCGTGAGATTAAATGGAAATTGAAAGATATCACTACACATAGTGATAAAAGAGGTGAAATATACTTGCTTACTTATCATCTTCATCCCCAGTGGGACATAAGGCCACAAGTGCCTCCACTTCTCTTTGTCCTTGGCCATGTACTGGGTTTGGCTCCAGGTGTAACCCATTCCTTCCAAATCTGCTGTTACAGTTCTTCGCTAGGGGATTCTTGGTCTCCTTGGTTTCCTTTTTCTTGGTGATGTCCAATATAGAGCTGTTTTAGGTGTGCGGTGTTGTGGCATTCTCAGGTCATGGCCTAACCATCTAAATCTTCGTTGTTTGATTTCTACTGTTATGCTCTTAGCATTACATTTCTCCAAAAGGCTCTTGTTGCTGATCTTATTTGGCCAGAGTATTCTATTGATCTTTCTTAAGCAGCTAGTATGGAATGAATCTACTTTTTGAAGGTCACTTACTAAAACACTCCAACTTTCTGAACCATACAGTAGGACAGATTTGACATTGCTGTTGTAGATTCGCAGTTTGGTCCTTAAACAGTACTGGTTGGACTTCCAGGTGGTATGAAGTCTTGCAATAATGCACGTGCCTTAGATAGTCTTCCCTTTATGTCCTTTTCTGTCCAATTCTCTTTACTTATGATGCTTCAAAGGTAAGTGAAGTCTGAAACACTGTCTACTGGCAGATCATTAGTTGTAATTGGTGTTGTATTCCTGGTATTTATTGACATAACCTTGGTCTTCTTGGCATTTACATTCAGAGCATTTTCCTTACATAGTTGTTTAGTATTTTGGTCTTCTCTTAGAGGTGTTCGCTTGTTGATGATAGTATGGTTGTCATCAGCAAAATCAAGGTCTTCTAGCTGATTAAACATGGTCAACTGGATACCCTTCTCTTGTCTGATGTATGCCTTTGTATCCAGTCAATGGCCAATAAAACAGGATGGATGACATAGTACATCCCTGTCTTGCACCAGATTTAACTTCAAATGAATCTGAGATAGAGCTACCAAGGATGACACTGCACTCAGAGCTGTTGTAGAAGGTTTTTTTATTAGCATCAAAATTGAAGGTGGGATTCCATATGATTTTACGATTCTCCAAATAGTTTCTCTATGTATACTGTCAAAATTCTTTTTGAAGTCAAGATGGTCTATGGTCGGGTTGTTGTCTCTTTGACACATTCCCCATTTCCATTCTCAATTTTATTTTAACATTAATGCAAATTGGTGTTTATAAAAATAAGGAGCTGGGGTATGATTGCCAATGAGACAACTATCCACCAAAGTTCAAATGAAGTGGATGTAAGCAATTATGGGCAACCATACGGCCTTCAACAATGAGAAAAACCCATACCATATAGTCGGCTATAAAAGGCACCAACATAAAAAAATATGAAACAATTCAATTGAGAAAACTAACGGACAAATTTATAACAAAACAATTTACGAAAAACAAATATGACCGACATGAACCAACGACAACCACTGAACTACAGCCTCCTGACGTTTGACAGGCACATAAAGAATGTGGCGGGGTTAAACATGTTTTTGAGCGCTCAACCCTCCCCTAACCTGGGACAGTGGTGAAACAGCACAACATAAGAACAAACTATAAAAATCAGTTGAAAAAGGCTTAACTCAACAGATCGATATGCATTACTCAATGATGTTCCTGAGCGTGAAAATTTGGTCAATGCATCCTATCCCTCTTCTAAAGCATGATTGTTCTTCTCTAAGCTTTCCATCTAGGGTTTTATCAATTCTTTTTAGAAGGATTTTGCAGAACACTTTACTTTGGACAGAAAGTAGTGTAATCCCTCGCCAGTTGTCACAGTTGCGTAGATTACCTTTCTTTGGTAATTTCACAATGAGACATTTGCTCCAGTCTGATGGTATGTCCCCTTCTCTCCAGCTGAAAAGGAAAAGATTGTAAAGTACCTTGGATGATGTATCTAAATCTGCTTTTGACATCTCTGCGTGGATGGAATCAATGCCTGGTTCCTTGCCTGTTTTCAATGATTTAATGACATTTCTTACTTCTTCTATAGTTGGTGGTTCTGTATTGATTTTTAAATCATCTTCTGATGGTTCAGGATTAGCTATTACATCAGGCTCAGGCTCAGGGCAATTTAATACTTCTTTGAAATGTTGGACCCACCTTTCTGCTTGTTCCCGTTTACATGGGCTGTCTGGGCATTTGATGTTCCACGAAGTTGTTTGGTGATTTTATAAACTGAACTCAACTCACCCAGAATGGCTGCCTTTTCTGCCTCTTTTGGTAGGTCTTCCAGATATTGTCTTTTATCTTTTCTAGCACTTTTTTTAACTTCTTTGTATTTTGTTGTGTATGTTACTTGTAGTTGATCTTGTAACCTTTTGGATTTTGCATTGACTATTTTCTGCTTTATAGTTTTTCTTTCTTCAATTTTTGCCAGGTTTCCGGTTTTAGCCAATCTTTGTTCTTTTATTTTATTTGTGACCAACTGGATTTTCTGCAGTCTTTAAATAAATATCTTTGATGTTATCCCACTTCTCTTGTATACTGCCTTCTACGTCATCAGAGTTGTCTAGCACACTAAACCGATTTTTCAATTCTAAGCAAAATGCTTTCTTGACATTTGGTGATCTCAGCCTTGCTGTGTCTAGTTTCTTTCTGATTTTCAGTTGGTGTCTTTCTAAGTTTTAATTTGAAGCTGGCTTTCAGTAGAACCCCTGAGTACTCGTACACCTCTTAATGATCAACACCACTTGTTGTTCACTAATATGTGGTCAATCTGGTTTACTGTTCTTCCATCCATTGATTTCCATGTTAGTTTATAGATGTTTTATGAGGAAAGATGGCCCCTCCTATCACCAATATAAATTCAATAATGATCAATAAAGCAGACAAGACATTTAAGAGTTTGAACTCTTTTTGGTATATTGTGTAGTAAGCTAATGGCAATATATATATATTGACCATATATATATATTGAACAAATTATAACCCTTTGACCTGAATTTAAACGCCATTGTCAATCAATCAGGAGGCCATTGATTGCTTCCATTACGGGGCGAAGCTATTAGTTTCATTTAATATTCACACCATCTTGAAATTATTACTTAACAAATTTTGGTTCTGATCGGTTGTTTTATGATGTGGTTAAGGTTCTATTGGCTTGAATGAGATATAAAATTGTTAACATGTCCCAGATAGAAGATAAGGAATAAAATTACAGTATGGGTACTAGTATTCAAGACCCTGTCAATAATTATTGCTTCATATTGACGTTATTCATGATACTGCGAAGCACTCTGTACCTTTTTAGAAAGGTTCAACTTGCCTGGTGTTTAGTATCCAATGGTCTGACCTTTAACAAATTTTGCTGAAGATCTATATGCTAATATGGCTTATATCAAATATTTATATAAAACTTTATCTTTATATTACAATAGGTAGAACTGGATATGCCACATCCTTTATGGCAAACTAGTCATCTTCCTTTCCAATAAACTGCCTCTTTGGCATGCTGGCCTGATTGATAAAGGTTGTAGTTTGACCCACAGCTGGGTCAAACCAAAAACCTTTAATACAATTGGTATTTGCTGGTTGGCATGGACTCGTAATAATATATCTGGTGAGGGTCACATGTTTCCTGCAGACTTGTACCTTGTATGGCTTCCATTATAAAACTAGACTTTACTACTTGAACAATTAGGAAAGTATTTCAATGTAAAATTTCCGTCAGATTAAACGG